GCAAGGGAAGCACGACAAGCTGCCAGGGCTTGGCGGGCTTGACTTTGGGTGAGGGAGGAGGCTACTGATTGCATGACTGACGATGGACTTTGAAAGTAATCCTTAGTGATGGCCAGTTCAAGCTCGGACTTGGGGATTTTTGAGTCTTTACAAGAATCGGATTCATAAAAGCACCTTTTGAGGTTGCCAGACGCCGCAAGGTCCCTATAGGCGGATTCATTGGTAGCAGCGGTAGAGGCTGCTCCAGCGGAGTACTTGGCAAGAGCTCGCATAATCAGAATTGAGTGCTTGTTAAAGCGATGAAGCAGGAGTTGATTTGTGTTCACTTTTTGTTTTGTATTGGAGGTAGAAATGGGAGGAGGAGAGGGAGGCTCAACACCATAGCCTTCACCTATCGAGTGATCTTCTAAATCGCCAACATCTAGGTGACTTGCCAAGCGCATTTTTCTGCACCTGAGCAACTCCTGTCGCAGGATTTTTTCATCTAATCCATCGCACTCACTGAACACATCATCTTGATTGATAATTCCCCGATCCCTAAAATAACCAAATTTAAACGCTGCAGTGAGCAGAACAACTGGAACAGAACTTAAATACTGTCCTTTGCCATTCAAACACATGGATAGTGAGCCGGCATACCATGAGAAGTGTAAATTGATGTGAAGGACAATAACATACCGATGGTAGTAGTGTGATTGAAAGAACTTATTCCAAAAGTCCGCCTCAGAGAGTTTATCAGGAACAAGGTCTCGATGTCGCTGCCGAACGGCAGGATAGGCCCGAAAGATTGCGTCAATTATCTCTTTAGTGAGATTATACTTGATGCTGTTTGTACCATCCATTTCGGGCTTGATGTCACTCAGTAAACAGCTGGGAACTCCAGCAATCTGGGTACGCTCTTGAGTTAAATTGAGTGATATACCCGAACGTGACACCCACTGAGATGGCACAGTCCCATCCTTTGTTTCTGCTGATGAAAGAGCTGTTGAACCCACAGACTTCGATTGGGAAAATTCCGGTCGAGCCCAAAATTCTTCAGAACTCAATATACCAGTAACTACTAGTTCCTTATAAAGAGACAGTAGATGGGGATTTGACTCCAAAATGCGAAATTTTTCGTTCAACTCGGAGTGGGCCTGTTTAAAGGAGAAGACTAAAGTATGTATAAAATCTGTTACCAAATAACAACATCAAATGCTAAACAGCATAGTAAAGCATTTACCTAGTTCACGTATACATAAAACTACCTGAAAATGTATAGGCATTTTCAATACGATTAAAGATTCAGAAACAATGTAGTGCGATAGTACGACCACCAGTTGCTAAAAAAGCTACCTTATCCTTAAACTTCGGCAGCATAAGCTGCAGCATTTCTTTTACTTTGTTGCGCATCTCCAGCTGCTTTTCGCGACCAGCAGTGTCAGCAAAGTGAAAAGTAAATGATTCACCACTGTGCATTAACAGTTGGAGCTGAACCTTTTCCTTATTGTCTAAACTGACACGCTGCAGTCGAATATCCTCGAAAGCTGCGCTGATCCGAAACGAATCAGAGGTTTGATTTCTCCAAGCTATTCTTCCAGAGTTAACATATAAGGTTCCATCGACCTTCTTGTGACGAACATGCTTAACCATTAGCAAAACATCCTCACTCTTTTTAGACATTCTTTAAACCTACGAATAGGCTGTTTGGGTATGTGAGCTAACCCAATAGAAATCAACACAGCCCAATGACGTCAGCGTCAATTTCTAATTAATTCAAAGGCAAAAAACTGCTGGCTTTGGTACAGGTGCTGATGACATTAAAGCGAAAATATATGACCAAAAAGTGCAACAGGCTTTATAACCATACTCGCTTCTACAAAAGTTTATTAATCGTATTTTACAATCAGTTAAAATGTGTGAAAAATATGAATAGTAGTATGCTGAATGAAGAAGTGGAAAATACCTTTTTTTAATTCTTCGCAGCGTCTTAAGACTGTTACAAAAACGAAAGTAGTCATAATACTCGGGCAGAGTGCATACACAAATATATAATCGACACATAAGATATTAGGGCAATTGCCATGGTCCCAAGGCCAGAAAACTCGGTGTGGTACAATGACTAAGTCAAAGCGGTTCATGCGAAAACTGATCACTAAACAAACAACCAATGCATTACACATATCCTCGCCTATTTTGAGCGACATCCCCGGTGCTCCCCTTGGTCAACCTCCCGCATCAGACATCAACGTAGTCGCGGTTGCTTTATCGAAATACCTACAAGCCGGCTGTGCCAATCACCAAATTTCTACGCAACAGAAGATATATGTTATCGCAATGTCGCTGACCCCTCTTGGCGTTTCGTTCGGTTTAGAAACTGGATTCAGGAATGAGGAATTGTGCTGGCCATCAAGTGTAGCTATAGACAGATGTAGGACTACTCGCCTAAAAGTAGACTTATGCAAGAAAAGCGGGATTTAACACAGGTCTGTAGGGAGAAGGGTATCGTATCTGTTCCCCCTTGCCATTTTGTTCTCACTCCGGAGCTGCCCCTTTATATCCATCTGGACTCTATCTAGCAAATGAAAAAGTAGAAGAGGTATCGCTAGTCAACTTTATCGACAACTTTATGCAGGCACAGTAGGGGAACTCCGCAACGAAACTATTCCAGATGGTTCACGGTTAGTGTCACTTCAGTTGATAATAGATTTCATGCACAACACGAGACTGGGGTAGTTGTGAAGGTGGACGTCAATTTTATTCTTTTATTTGGGGTCATCTCCAATTCAGTCATCCGTAGCATATGTGCTTATGCCTCGCTAAGATCTACCACCTAGCAGTAGGAATCAGGATGGATATCCTGTTGTTGCGCCCTGAGCCTCCCCTGGAGACGAAGAAAAACATAATCCTCGGACAAAATATGCATATTTGACACGCAGAAGACATTAAGGCTACTGACGTGACAAAGAGGCCAGATCAAACTGCGAATTGTAGTGGCTAAGACAAAGTGGTTCTTTAGGAAAACTGGCCATTAAACAAACAATCCACGTCCTACAACTTAACTTAACCCCTTTTAAGTTTCAAACTAAATAACAGTGTGAGATAAAGTGAACACTTGAAGACATTAATATGCCTTCCTAATCTCGACGGTGACTTGCACTATGGATATCAAAACTGAGTATTTTCACACCACGCAAAGAACAAATGAAGTAACCCAAGGCTGTAGTGAACAGGAGTTATGCAGGTAAATGCACCCCATTCGAGAACGAGAGGACATGAGTGCCAGTATCCTGGCTCCAAGGGCATGCATAGATTAGACGCACAACTTTGGACACTTACGAGTATTGAAGTACATTGGTTTTTTAAAACTCGGCTTTGGTAAAGAGCAACTTTGTGTCTTGGCCAGTGTACCTACTCCAAATGAGCTGGCCTCTGGGCCATGGCTGTGGCCCGAACCCATACTCTATGCTGAATAGATAAAAATGTATTCTGCCCTAGTAGCATGTCCATTTTCGTCTTCTTAGAGGTATCGGGACACTATAAGCACAGTGATAAACACATCGCGTAGCACCACCACACACCTCATCGCCCTCGAGCATGACTCTAAGCATTCCCTATGGTCACTTCTTGGTCACCCTTCCGCTTTACTCTGCACAACATATCCAGTGCGTTCAACGACAAAAAATCTTTCCATTTTCCTACATGTTGCTGAAAGCAAGTATTGCTTGTGCAGACCAAATTGCCTGTTTTCTGGTGCGTAGTTATAAAAATATAGGACCAGAGCCATAAAATCACTGCCTCAAATGGTTTCAGAGGCAAATTTTTATTCAAGAAAGTTATTCGACTTAAGTATTCGGGACAATGTGATGACTTCACTTGTTTATCCTATGATTTAATGCAAATTACATTAGCGAATAATGTTCCGTGGCCTCTTTGATATAATTTATTTCAACAGTACTCTCACCGCATATGGAAACTGTAGTCTGTATATTGGCTCTCAGCCGCTGGAGTTCGTATTGACCCTGCGGTACATTTCTAGGTTGTTAGCCGTGGATGCTGGCGTTGGTATTTTTATGCGTTCTAATGTTTGTCGGTTGCTATGCGGCTGGCTATATTCCACTAGCCTTCAACTATTCCCCTGTGAGTTACACATAATGAGGTTATCATTCAACACAGTTTCCTACTCTGGCTACATTTCGGTATCCCCTATGCAATTCGGTAGATTCTGTTTCTATTAGTTGTTCTTATTCGTATAGTGTTTTATTTGTGACCATAATTTCATCGCGCCTATTGTTCTATATTTTCACACATTAATTATACAATATTTTCACATCATTTTCGCCATAGGGGTTGATATGCTTTTAGTTTATTCTCGACTGCTTTTGAGACGTTGCAGTATGATAAGCTAAAAATAACAGTAAACAATGGAAGCATAACTAGTTGCTACATAAATGAATTAGGTTTGTGGTTAGTTGACCTCTTCTAAGTTCGGACGGAGTGGTTTTTCTGTGATCGGCCCCTAGTACTCAAGTATTTCCTCACTGTAGCACAATTTGCGGCTGGTTACGATTTTCGGTGCAGGACTTCTGGTGGGTGCCGCTTTGGCCATCATCATACCTGAGGGGGTTGCTACTATCTACGGTATCCAAAAGCAACACGTAAGGATCTTGTCTACCGTCACTATTTCCACACTAACTCTTAGCTTGAATATGCGGATTCGTCGAGTTTAATGCGCACTTCAGTATGTATCCAATCATTTTTTCCACCATATTATATTGCTACCTTTTTGCCTCATGTGAGTGAAGGATCGTGGTAGAAATATCGATCATGCAATGCTTTTTACCATTTAGTTTATGGTGTTGTACCGTTTCAAGCAACTGTGCTTAAATTTTTTTAGTTTAGCTTACCCTTTCATACCTTACTGTCTTCATTTCACAGGTGTAGATGCTAATTATACTCGTTTGTAAATACATAGAAACTCAGTATGCGGCTGTTGTAGGGCATTTATCGAAAATATCAAACCTATCGATTGTGCTTGATAAATCTTTTACTGATATTCGCCACTTGAGTGGTTGCTTTTACATCGCACCAATGAATGTTTTACTCTCTGAAGTAAACATATTTGAGATTTTCTGACTCCTTAATATTTTAATTGGGGAAGGTTACACGCTGCCTGAGTTTCTGTGTTTTTGTTGGCAGGATAGTTTCCTGCTCATTTTTTGCAATTTTAATAAACACTATTTTTAGTCGCTTAATCCATACTTACATGTGACCATCCATGTTAGATTAGAATACCCTCATCTTTTGCCCCCGTGTAATTAGAATCATGTAATAACGTACAACTACATCCTTTACTTTTGTGTCATGCATTCACTTTTCAATTATTTTAGTTTTATTAACAAACTGAAGATATTCTGTAGCCGTAACAATATTCGCTGCTGTCTAGTGTTATTTTCCGGTGTACCGTGAACGAGAAAATTCGCAGACGTTCGACCATGCTCGTGTAATCGTTTTTTTTGTAACATGCCTCTTTTTTCATCCATCAGATGGATCACAGTAGTATACACGAAGTCAGCGGCCTCGAGGCACGTCACCTAAACCAATTGGAACCAGTAAAGCAGAATGTCCCCCTGCCAGATGTAGAGCCTGTTCCGCTACCGCCCGCAGCGAAAAAGGTGGAGGAGACGGTCCCGACGACGACCATAAGTCACGGTCTCATTGGATTAGCTCTCACTATGGGCTTCGTGCTCATGTTCTTGGTGGATCACCTAGGCAATGAAACATTTTGCCAAGCCTGCACCCGCCCTCTTTTCTCTGTTTTCCATTGCTTCAGCTGTCAGAGGCGATCCAATGACTTGATTTTACGTGGGTTTCTACTCTTCCTCTGTGTAATGTTATTGTTTCGCATGTTAACCTTTGGAAGCATAAGAATGAGTTTCCTAACACCTAGAACTGCTATTTATTTAGACTTGGGAGAAAGTTGCATATTGGAAAGGACAAACGACAGAATTTTGTTTTAAAGGCTTAAATCAAATTCCGGTTTTCTGGCAACACTTTCTTTAGCCATGATGGAATGCACAAACTAAAAGAAGAAATAAGTATGAAAATGGTCTCAACAGCCGTTTTAGTATTAATTGTTGTTGATGTTGATGTTGTTGATGTTCTTTGCATCTGCAGCGCTGAGTGATTCTTGAATGCATAATGCTAATGTTTATTAATAGCGTACAAAGGGGGGGGGTGGAGTGGCCGTTGGCATTCGCAGTCCTCACAGCTAAATATCCATTTGAATAAATGTCGTTTTACTGTACAGCCACTACATCAGATGGAGAGGGAGCGGGTTTGTCGTCTCCCTCAATTTTGTCGTCTTCGTCCCCGGCAGCCGCTTTAGCAGCAGTAGAGCACAGCGCTAAAACGACCACGCTGGGTCTGGTAGTTCACTCTTTCGCAGATGGACTGGCCATTGGTGCCGCCTTTGGGCTCACTCTTGACCTCACTCTCATCCTCTTCATCGCCATCATGTTGCACAAGGCAAGTCGGCTCTTCTGCTTCCTCTTTTTCCTACTGTTCAGTGTGCATCTGGATGACTTTAGGTATGGTGGAGGTCACCACATCATGACTTTTTATAAATACACACCGGGTTAGGTGGAGCTTTTCGCAATAGAATCTGATTTTGTGAAATTCTGGTGAAAATTATTACGATACATCACTGAACATTCGCTTCTCTGTTTCACGAGTTTGTTTTGAGTCTTTGTGTAATTTACTTGAGCAACATGCTGGTGTTTGACGAACTGGAGTGTGATTTAATTTAATGTCACGTATTCCTACGCATTTAATGTTTGTCTTAGTTAACACTCACCAGTGCATTCGCTAATACTGACTTCATGGACTTCTGGTGTTCTACGAAACTGAGTCCAAGGATCATAACTAAGGTAAAGGTGTGTGAAATCTCATTTTTATTGCTTTAAGTCACTACAAAGTCGCATTCGGTTCGCGCATTTGTGTCAATTTACCGCGGCTTTAAATGTTTTGGATGCACCGCCGATGGGGGGAGTGGTCAAATGCTGGACACGTTGCCCTAATCTGGTCAATCAATTTTCAGGCGCCGGCGGCGTTTGGCTTTGTATCCTTCCTGGTTCATGAGGGTCTGCCTCGGAATCGAATCAAGGTGTACCTCCTTGCATTTGCCCTCGCCTCTCCCGTGGGCGCCCTTCTCACCTACCTAGTCGTCACCACTAACGCCTACATTGCCGCTCAGCAGGCAGGTTTTTTCGTCCACCTCTTTTTGTTTCATCCACCCAGCCTTTCACCTGTATTGAGTTTTGGTTAGCATTGATCGTCCTAACAAAACATTGTGCTAAAGGAAAAAAGAAGTATGGATGTACAGTTGTGCTACTTCTTCGTTTACCACAATGCCAATCAGCGTGCATCTGACCGCCTAGTGCGCAGTCACGAACTCACTTTCTTCCCATCTCCCCCTATACAATGGCTCTTCCGGTGTGACGAGCAAAATAATGCCTCTTCCCTACGTCTGTCTGATTGTATCACGTTCACGTTCCGCTAATTTCAACTACAGCCACTAAGACACTTGACGTTTGTACCGTAATGCGTCAAGTCTGAACCTTGTCAGCCTTAGTGAAGTTATAAAGGCTTGTTTTACGATTTCATTGATGTGCTACTTTACCAACCACCTTATCCTTCAAGGTCCTCTCCATGGGAGTCACCAGCACCCCATCCACGGGCACGGGATTTGCACTGCTGCTATCTGGTGGGACGTTCCTCTACGTCGCCACCGCGCACATTTTGCCCCATCTGAACACGGAAAAACCTATTTCCTCGGGCTCTCTCAATGGAAGCTCACACCACCGCCACCAAAATACCACCTTTAAGCCCGTCGAGTTGATCGCCTTTGTACTCGGTAGCTGCGTGCCCGTTCTCATCTCCTTTGGCCACTCACACTAACGGGCATCTACCCATCTAACGCCCTTCTCCAGGTAGCACTGCGATGCATGTGCCCACAAGCACTTTGTATTCTATTTGGATTTGTACATTTGCCTCAATTATACCTTTTTCCCTTGCATACTTTTGGCACTTGCTCTAAACCTCCGGAGGTATAGTGTCGGAAATGTGGAAGCGCCTTACATCAACCGAGGTGGTACATTTTGGCTTGAGGAATGCGGAAATTCAAATCATTTCAAAAATTATAGCTTTATGCGGCTTTCGAGGTGTGAGAACTTTTTCGACTTACGGAGAAAAAAGTGACCTCACGAAAAAGGCGATTCGACTACGCGATCACTAGATGTACTATCATAGTGACATAATGAACAAATTACGGAGTGTATCTCGATCTTTTTTTGATGGGTCACTGATTCGGTATTCTTGTCCATGAACGCAAGGGTTGGCACAGTCTAAGCAGAACCCGGCAGACCGATTGCGTGTTAGCAGAAATGACTTTTCGCTAGGCTAGAGAGCTATTAAATTGTGGTGCACCAGCCTGGCACTCATGTAGCCGAGGCACCTGAAGCCACTTAGTTGCATTCATACGGCGTCAGTGAGCTCCAGTGGGTGCCAACACTGACAATCGCCCTTTTACATGGAGCGATGAGAGAGGAAGGGCATGACTCAAGTGTGAATTCATGGGCTCTAGCAGGAGAGCGTGCCCCGCCCTGCTTTTACCAGTGGCTTTGTCAGAATCAAAGAATAGTGATTGCAGACTTGGAATGAGGAATATTCCTTGTACAGGTAAAATCAGTCCTTCCAAGCAGGACAAGACACCAATGCACGAAAACAGTGGCAGCAGGTCATCCGATTCCTTAATTCAAGACATGATAGATCCAAGGCTAATTAAGCAATTTATTGCGTCGTACGTCCTCTTGAAGGCTTTTTAACCTGTAACAATTGAGCGACAAGTAAATCACATCTAACCCAACTAAACGGTTTAACATAGGTAATCACTGCTACCGCTCAATTTCAAAATTAACTCGAAAATCATGATCTCGATGGGCTTTTTATCACAAGGTTAATATTACTCAAATGGTAAAATTCCATCTACAAAAACTGAAATACAATTTTCTACGATAAAAAGGTAAGAAATGATATATCCGATGGGTGTAAGTAGTTATGTGGGTCATGATGCGGCGGTCAAGTGCACTAGTTTATCAAAGTAGGGCTTCCAGTCGCGCTGGCGTTGATCCCTGAGAGAGAAGAGTCGCACGACTGCAAAGTGATCTGCGCCAACGCCCAAACTTTCCTTTCTGAAGTCCTCCACGCGAATGCTTAGGTTACGGTTACCGAAATCTAACCGTCCCGTCGTTGCTGTCGCCCACTCAACTGCCTTTCCTTTAGCCTACAGTACATACCAATGTAATCACGAAAGCAGTCGCGATTCGTTTGCTTAAGTTACCTTTCATATTTAAAAATTTTAGAATTTTTAAAGTTATCATTAGTGAAAATTCCAGTGATATGACTATACCTCGGGGTGGTAGAAAACAGCCAATCCCCTTTGATAAAGAACAATTGGTGTCTTAGGTGAGAGATGTAGAATAGAAAGGGCTAGCTGAAAAAAGGGAAAAATTGAAAGTTAAATTGAGCTGCATGGACATCCAGACAAAGATAACAACATTCGAGTTCCCAAAAGAGCAATCTGACGAATTTTGATGTCACAAGCTAAGTTGATTGTGAGATCCAGATTTATGATTGACGATAATTAAGACTAAAAATACACACCTTTTCGAAATTGCTAATATTGAAGGCTCCAAAGAAAGCAGAGCTTTTACCGCCAGTTTGGCCCCCTTTGAAAAGGCGCTCGAGTTGTGCGATCATGAGGGGGTCCACGTGGGCAGGGATGGAGGCGCAGTCCCGCATGGAGTCCTTGATACCTCCAAGCAGAGCCGATAAACGCTTCTGACAACGCGTCAGAGCACTGCGGTGAAGGTACGACAGGTTCTCCTCCAGCCCACCCAAGACCAAATCCACTTGCGACATGAGAGCGATGAGGCGCTCGGCGCAGTCAAGAAGCCGAGGTATTGAGCCCTTCGCCTCTTGACTATCTGTTTTAAGGGCCTCCGATTCGGTAGATATTTGCGAAAGCATACGTTCTCCATAGTCTCTTGACCTAGCTGCGCTCTCTCCCGATATAGCCACAAACTACAGGGCGATGGAAATGAAATTGTTAACTGATGAATGTCGGAAACTGCTTGGGGAGTGAATATTATTAAGCTGATAATAAACAAGGATGACAGCTTTGGGAAGACCCCACTGTAAATGACAAACGTTGTTCCAGCATAACTATTCAGAAGATAAAAAGTGCAGAATTAATGGGCATAAATGATGAGCTTTGAATTAGCAGAATATAAAGAAACTCAAACAGATAGGGTGAATAAAGTGGTAAATTTGATAATGACACCCTATTTAGGACAGACAACTTTGCGACAACAAGAAATACCATAATTGTAGAATTAAGTGCGCATCTGAGTAGAACGAAAATTGGTAAATAAGACAAAGTTTACAACGAGAAAGGTGAACATTCACGGGATATCTAGGAGCCAAAAAAGCATCTACATTCAAAAGACATCAGCAGAACACAGGGAATAAAAAGAAGGCTGCAAACCTTCTTGATTGATTGGTTGCGGCACTGCAGTCCAACAATGATAACATCCACAAGATCCTCTATCTGGCGTAGATGCGTCCCTCCACACAACTCGGCCGAGTAAAAAGCCGAAGGACCGTTGCTTTTTTCTTCGATTGTCTCCATGTCGCCTCCAACGCAAACCACACGAACTGTCGGAGGGTAAATCTCCCAAGTGAACCGCTTTACATATGGTTTCTGCACAATATGAAAACATTTAAAATCACCGTTATTGTCGGGCATGTACTAATTTTTGGTCCATGACAATTGATTGATAGCACAAACCTCAAAACAGGAAGTTTTACGTAGCTCAATGCGAAGATGTAAGTAAATAGCACCAAGAAATGGAAATTTCTCATTCAATTATTAAAATTTTTAAATTACTACAAAAATTAAAAGTGGGAAAATAACGCACTTCGGCGCAACCATCAAGAACGTGCTTTAAAATTTTTCCCAAATCGAGTTAATAAAAAAGGGAACTTTTAACAAAAAATTATGAAACAAATGTATATCAATACATTCAAAGGTCTAGTTTTTGATACTGCCAATTATAGTTGATCTTTACCAAATCATTCAACATTACGCCCTACTCCTATTTATCCTATATTTGGAGGCCAGACAAACGAAAAGCAGATGAAATTTGCGAGACCTTGCAAAAAATTAGCAAAGAGCCAACTTTTCATATGTACTACATTCGATAGAGATTACATGGTTGGACTAACGAATGAAGAATTAATTAAGAGAGAAACCACCTCAGTAACTTGTTCCAGTTCAACTTCCTGGCAAACAATTGGCAATTTGGCCTCAATCGCAGCGCGACAGCGCGCCTGAACATTTTCAACGAGTGTCTCCAATTTCTCCGGCGTTTCAATAAGGGTAAGATAAACCGAGCAGCGATCAGGCTCTACATGCCCTCCATGATGAAAAGTGGGCTGTTGGCTGGGACTTGCTTGCTCGGTACTTCTACTGGGAAACTCTATTGAGGCTAACTCATCTTCGAATGCCCAATGCAAGAGATGCTGTGCCGTGTGGCTTCTCATTATTCTGAAACGGCGATCCTGAAAAGTGATTACGACTGCTTATATTGAAGAAAAAAGATTCAACAATGTTTCAAAGGCATCAAGAGGATGTAATAAAATCTGGAGAGCTAGGTAAACCACCAAAAGGTTAATGAATGCTAGATTATCTGGAATATTAGACTAAGCAACTAGTTATTTGGTAGGGTACACTTCATGATATGACTGCTTGCATTTTCTTTTTTCTGATTTGAATATAAATTCCAATAAAGTTAAAATGCGGTGCTTTAATGGTGAAAGAGCCACAACAGAAAAAAGGTCAGATGAAAAGAAACTCGAATAGGAGACACGGTTGGATAGAAGCACCTACCGAATCTGGACAAAGGTAGAGCGAATCTGTTGGAATGTTCCCTTCAACAAAATCACCGGGTGTCACCCAATGAATCACCCAACCATCACTGGATAAAGCTGAGTTGTTTTCAAATATCTTCTCAGTATATAGCACACTAAATAAGGGTTTCTACAAGGAAAAAATGCTTGAGCAGTATAGTTTGAGGCAAAATAACGAACTGACGACAAGATTCAACATCATTCTGAATCCATACTTGATTTGTCGTCGCCTTAATAACCCCAACATCACTGATTTGTCCCCCACAAGGACTAAAAAAGTTGGATTGGTCAAAAACCAATCCTAGTCGCTTTCCGTCTGAATGGTGCGAGGAGAGAACCTTGGTAAAATGCATGGGGTCGATCACCACCTGAAGATTATCGGAGTCACCATGAATGAGAGCAACCAGTTTCGCCTTCAGTGGAGGGACTTCTAGAATATCGGAAGATTCTACTTATCGAAATGGATGAGTAACAAACATGCAGTAAAACAAAATTCGGTTTACAATGTGTACCTCAAATGTGCAGGTTCGTCGAAACCATCACGAAATGCCAAGCCGCGATAATGTCCAAATTAAGAATAAAGAACACGACTTGAAAATGTCATTTTGAACCAAGTACTACCGTATTGCTCCTTACCACACAACATTAATGGAGGCAAAAATTCAAGATTCAACTAAGAAGCAACCATCCCAGAGACCTCCTAAGATAATTTCAGAAATCTAGCGAAAAAGGCACTGAAATATGCAAGTGGTCTGCAACGAAAGTGTCCTAGAAAGTATTTCACCACTTGAAAATATTTTATGAAAAAATACATTATTTCGCATTCAATGCGCGGCTAAAAGGTGTGGTAACAACATTGAGAATATTTAAATTTGAAAGCGAATTAAACCACGTAACGGCTATGAAGAAACGACCTTCGGAAAGACAACATGGTTTGGAAGGGTACACACAGCACACCTTTTAATAAAACCATAAGAAGTTACAAATCGATCCACAGACTAATTTATCAGCACTTAATAAAAATCATTATACGTTGAACCTATAACAACCCTTTCCAAGGAAGCACAAAATGAAATGGCCATTGTCCCGATATGTAATCCACATATTTTTAATTTAGCTTTTATACAAAAAAACTACTCAGCTTTTACCATTCATCAGGTGTAGAAGCATTCTGCGTGATAATGTCTCCACTTTGACCCTAATACCTTCATTTAATCGCATCTCAGTCCACAAAAAAGTACCGTATAACGTTGCATTGTATCAGTATGATGAGTGATATTGATGGAATAGAAGAGACAAAAAGGCTTCCTGTGCTACCGCATGTGCGCAAAATGCAAGTTAACTACCTGAATTCGACTTACCGTAAGTGTATGATGAGCCGCAGCCGGGTGATGAAGATGTCGCTCGAAGCACCCGTTCAATTTGGTATTTGTTGTGATCCTGAGTAGTAAGGAGGCCCTTGAGGAGCGTGCGCAGCCGGTTAAGGTTGCCCACCGATGGCAACGATGAGGGTGGTGCCGATGATCGCCTACCGGGCTTCGGCTGGGGCGGTCCAGATGGAATCTTTAAACCATACCACCGAGCCTGAGCACAGATCATGTCCCAACTAACCGGTTCTCCATAGCGTCCTATCTGAAGCCCCTCCACTTGCCGATCTGTGGTCAATACAACAGCAGTAATGATGACCAGCAATGATCCATCAGCTGGCTGGCTCAGAAATGCAAAATTGTCTTTACTGTTTGGCATACTAGATCCGATGTCTTGATCAGAACACGAGGCCGATTTCTACCTTCATCACCGTATGCAAATTTACACATTAAACGCACATGTAGATAAACGAAATGACAGATAGGGCCAAAGCAATAAATTGAGTAACTAGGTGAAGTCCGATTAAAATGCCTCTTTTTTAACAAAAAAAAATGATACTACCTGACAACGAACCCAATTCGTCAGCGTCACGAAGGCAGTTGTTGAAAGCGTCTTCAAGCTTACTGAGTCGAGGAATAAATCGGTTCACTTCCTTTTTAATAACGTCACTTATCTATGCAATTAAAACATAATATTTATAAAACGATAAATACTTGATATTTACGAAATTTCAACGGATTCAAAGCACCTGTTCTGTAGAAAGAACTGGTGCAGAGGGACGAGCTAAAGGGCCTTCGATGTCGGGTGGGAATTGAGCAGCGGGAGGAATTTGAGTAATGACGCGTTGTAAAAGAGACGGTTTTGTAACGGAGTCAAGACCAGTGAGAACGGCGGCTCGGGTGGCCCGACAGACGAGATGACGCAGCTTCAATCCCACACCCTGTCTGCCCGGCAGCAGACCATCCCGCAGGGCAAGGCTAAGAGCTCGACTGTGATCCGCTACAAGCCGGTAAGCCACGTCACGGTGTAGAGTCTCGTAGTCTATCGGAGTTGCGCTTGTCCCAGTCGAATGAGTCGTTTCAGCCTATATCGCATAAAGGAAAAATGAGTAGCATATTCCTCGTTCAATGCAGTAGATAAATACGCTGAGATCTCGAAATTGGAGGATAGTTTGATTTACTCGTTATGGACGCTGAAAAAATAACGCAAATACAGGGGCTTGAACTCACTTGCACCACAGATGTCACAGAACTAAAGTAGACATATTCTCACCTACTCAAGACGTTATTAGCAGATGTGTGATTTCGACACAGCGGTAAGCAGTGTAACTTCATGAAAATTATGTGAATCGGTTAATTATGTAGGAAAGTACACAGAAATGTAGGGAGGATGCTATCCCAAAATCGATACTTGAAATAAATGAGGAGTCTAAATCAGTGCTCTACAAATAGTGTGAAAAATTTTGAGGTGAGAATATGCTTAGAACACTCCAAGTTACCTGTTTACCAGACTCCTTGGAACCAAGGTTAAAGGTACGTAGCAAATTAGAGAGCCTGCTGGGTTTAGTGCGCCTGACAATTGAGGGATCTGATTCAGCTTTCCCTTTGCCGGATGATTCCTCTTCTGATTCCACGGGGAGCATGTAGTAACTGCTGTAGGATGGCATTGTATAACCCGTGATCCGCAGCGCCTCCGAATGGATAAAGGCCAAGAGAGGCATGAACACATCTGTGTCGTACGTGGTCATTGTACCCTAAAATAAAAAAGGCGTCTATTATATATAATGCTTACACAATAAAAGAACACAAAATATATAAAAGCAAATAACAACAGGGGTTAAAAGGATACAAACCTGCATAACGGAGGCCAGTCGTTCAAGGCCCATACCAGTGTCAACGGAAAGACAGGAGAGGGGAAGAAGTGTACTCCGAAAATCGGTCTCTTCGACCATCCGATGGGTAATGAAGACACAGTTCCAAAGCTCGACTACTCGTGCCCCGCCGCTGTTCACCATGCAACGCGCACAATTGAGATCTCTGCGACCGGAAAGTGCGGCGAAGTCCACATGAATCTCCGTCGAGGGACCGCAAAGGCCGCCTCCACTGGCTTTATCCGCACGCCAGAAGTTCGACTCTGCTCCAAATGCCAATAATTTCTGATCGCTTACACTGTGAAAATTGGTAAACAATGTAGACGAAGTTCTGAAACCCAAGATTCTTGCGATCATATGCTTGAATACAATAGTACTATGCTTCATTGTCATAAGCTTAAGAATTACATTGTCTTTTCGAAAATTGAAACCGATGAGAAAAGATGCCGATGGCAAAACGTTCATTTATTTAAGAGACAATGTCATTTGATGTTAAGAGGTATGACTAATGCATTTCACCAATAAAGTAATCGTAAGGCAAATGATTTACCCAAGACTAAGCCATATGTCTCGAGTCTCATCATCAGCGGGTAGGCCGAGCGCATCACTGCCGCCAAAGTAGGTGACGTAAAGGCACGACGAGGGTAAACCGAGGACTCCTGTCAGAAATCGCCACATCTGACGACAGGCGACTTCCTAAGGAAGGCCAGAACCACAATGGATAAGCCTGTTTTCAAAACGCCTAATATTGTGGGCGAGAAGCATACCTTTCCATAGGAGCCGAATGACCAATTTCCAAGCATTTCAAACATCGTATGGTGAGAAGTATCGTACCCTACCTCATTTAGATCACCATGGCGGCCGCCAATGCGAATGCAGGGCTGTGAGTTTGCTGCCTTGTTAAGACAGAAGAATTCCGAGCCGTGGCTACCATTACCTTCCCGGCTCCTCATAAATAAGGGCTTAAACTGACTCATACCTTTGGGGATAAAAACCGTTTAGGAAAACATGATATACTCAGAAAAGATTATCAAACTATCTTCTAACAACTTGGATAAACGACTCAGGAATCATCTTGGCTCAACCAAAAACAGGAGTTTGCAAATTACCATGCACAGATACAACTAAAAGCCGCAAAATAGGATGGGCACACTATTCATCATACAAATTTTCCTAAGCAGTATTTTTCACTATTTTCTTAGCTATGGTCAAAGCAAAGGTCATTACGGTTACGAACTTATACACCAATAATTTCTGCAAATCTTGTAAACCTATGAAAAGAAATGAGTGCTGGAATAGCGTACCGGCATTGACAAAATAGGCACCTTCTTGATGTCTAGGATAGACTGACGAGGGAGCGACTAAGGCGTGACCCCTATCCCTGAAGAAAGACAGAAATTCCGCACGAATATCATTTGAAGTAGTGACAGAGAGATTCATCGAAGAGGCAAGGGGCACTCTACGGGAAAATGGCACCTTGTTATCAACTCCACATTCTCCATAGGCAGTTGGCCGCCCATAGCTAGGAAAGGTGGCATGATATCGTACGCCACGCCAAAAAACAAACGACCTCATGTCCAGAACTGCAACTCAAAAAAGTGCAAAAAAGGACATTTAGTCAGGGTTAGCAGCAGATTAAAATAGGAAATAAGACAAAGTATTTCACTCTGACCCCACATGGGAATGACACAACAAAGAGCAATAAAGTTGGGTAACAACAGCATGAAAAAGCATATCACCAAGACAAGTCGGACTAAACTAATGGCGAGAATATCTACAGTCAATACAATAAGGTTGATAACCAATCGTGAACCACATCATACCCGGGAGAACCAAGACAGCAACGATATACTGCTGCAAACGTGGTTTAAAAGAACGCGCCAACTAGGCTGCAGGTATGAAGAGAAAGTGTCATATGACGTAAAAAAAAAATAAACAAAAATACGCACATGTTACTGGCCTAGATAGTAATCCTAAGAATTCACCTGATCTAGTATTCGCTGAAATTTGGGCAGCACAATGATTGGCATTAACAATTAAAAATGAAGAAAAGATTATCAACTCGAAAACCGCATATTACTTCGTCCAACGATATAGTTGCTTTGCAAATAAAGATTGTTTATTATTTTACAGGAGGTACACTACTATGCGCTCAGAGAAATTGATGTGGTATACGGGATTCAGTATTCAACTGAACATTCGCCTAAAGGTCTTACTGTAGCACGTTCCTCACTTACCTTTTCTTTGCTAAACTTCAATGTAATACGATAGTGGTTTATCCCTCGGTTTTGGTGAGGCGCAACTTTTGTACTTCGAATTAGCCCCCCTGTACGTCGCTGGGTGGGCTGGCCTTTTGGGCCATACCAATAGCCCAGACACCTTCTCCGTGCTGAATACACATATTCTGCCTGAGTATTGTGTCTTCTTTCGTCTTAAGGGAGTCTCGGGAAGCTACATTCAACACTTCAAATAAGGAGGCTAGGCATATCACAATTCTGCGTTCCCTTGTTTTTGATTTGTGCAGTCCATCCATCACTTATTTTATCGACTTACCAACCATCTTTTTTTCCCTCTATGCTCAGCTATCAAAATTCAGTTGAAACAGGAAAAGTTAGGAGAGTTACTGCTTGTTTGCAAGGGTATCAATTAATGCCTATGTTCTTTTAATGTACCTTTCAGTGAGGAGTCAATAAGAAAATACGGATCTCGCGACGGGATCGTGCTCTCCTGTGCCTAGTGACTGCGTTGTGCTTTCCCTCTCGATTTTTCCCTCTTTAATAAATATATTTAACTTGAGTCAATCGGGCTCTTTTAAGAACGCCAGCAGCAGGGAAGTGGGGACTGATGAGTCCCGTCCTACAATCAGCCTAATGCAAACATTAAAAATAGGTGGTAATAATTATTGATAGTTATAACCTAACTGTGCTCTGGCTGTTGTTACCGTTTTTGTAACCCATGTGAGTGCATGTACACGTGAAGCCTATGGCCAAAAGTGCTTACAAATTAACATTTGCGGCTTAGATACTTCTTTTCTCCTGTTTTCTGGGGCAAATTTCAGTCATGCTAAGTAAGGCATATATATTTTATTATTGCAGTATACCGAATATTCTCCTTAGTCCAAACAATCCCAAATACAGTAGACGGCAGTTTAGTTCATGTAGAAAAGCATACATAGAGTAGCGAAGCTACTGCCGTGGCCAAAGTTCCATGTTACTATGCAAGGGCACATCCCACAAAGACCAATTTGTCTGTAAATTTAATTAGAGATTTTAAAAATCGAGTTACTCTTCAATAAAGCGACTGCACTTTCATTCCTTTAAACGTTGAATAGGCTGTAACTCCCGATATTTTACTTTTGCAAAAGTAAATTGTTTTCTAAGTACACAAAATGATATGTTCGCGACAATAGCATATATTTGACATATGGTGAACGAATTATAAGGAGCGCCATTCGAAATTAGCTGAATATCTCGTGTGAACATGTAGGTCATTTGTCGATCAAATGCACCCGACATATTGTCACTTACATCTTTTAGGACTTATTTGCCAATTTATTTGTGTGGCATTACAAGTTCTGCATAGTTTTGGGTGCATTAGTGTGTAGTCAATTTTGCTCTACAGTCCTATGCCTTGCTCACATATCCCTGAAATTTTTCAGGGTCATATTTGATTGGTTGGTTGTTACGCTTGTCCTATTTTTAGCCACTGGTGATCTTCGTACTCTGTTACGATTGGGATGGCCGTTGAGCAAGGCGGTTCTGATCAAGCAAGGGAGCGGGCGCTTGCCGATTATCGCCGCAAGCTGATTGAACACAGAGAACTTGAGGCTAGATTAAAGGAAGGTATGGCTGCAAACCCTGTAGCTCTCCGGCATTTGATCTTATAGACCTTCGGTGCCTTTCTCCTTTATTGACCCACTTCTTCTAATTTGTGAATTTATGGCTTGTTTGGGCTAGTTCGTGTTCTTATTTCCTGTTGGAGCCTTTGGCGTCGTGTTTCGCCTGTTTCTTTAGTGACCGACTACTTGTACACTGCTGTCTTTATTACTCTTCCTTTGGTAGTCTTCCAATAAAGAGTAGTCTGCCATTATTGAACCTCTATGCTGTCATATTTTAATGCGCGCCAGCTCACCATGTATTTAAACTAATCTCGTTTACTTAGCCCGTGAAAAATCTAGGGCTGTGGATAAGGAATATGAGAAAGCAGAAAATGATTTAAAGGCATTGCAAAGTGTCGGTCAAGTTGTCGGCGATGTCCTGAAGCAGTTGACAGAGGATCATTGTAAGTTGTCTCCTACTTACATTTAGGTGTTGCTCGCAACAATCTTTTATTACAATAACATGGTTTTCTCTTAATGGTGATCTCTTGTCTATCTTAAGTCATTGTGAAGGCAAGTAATGGTCCTCGTTATGTCGTCGGCTGCCGAAGAAATTTACCCAAAAGCAAGCTGAAGGCTGGTACTCGTGTAGCTCTTGACATGACTACTCTCACAATCATGCGCCAACTGCCGCGTGAAGTCGATCCTCTTGTTTACAACATGTCCGTTGAGGACCCAGGAGCCGTTTCTTATGCTTCTGTTGGTGGTCTTGCTGAACAAATCCGTGAACTTCGGGAGGTCATTGAATTGCCTTTACTGAATCCTGAGCTATTCCAACGGGTTGGAATCACTCCACCTAAGGGATGTCTCCTCTATGGACCTCCTGGCACGGGCAAAACCCTTCTTGCCCGTGCCGTCGCCTCGCAGCTGGATGCAAACTTCCTTAAAGTTGTTTCCAGTGGCATTGTCGATAAGTATATCGGCGAGTCAGCCCGTCTCATCCGTGAAATGTTCAGCTACGCTCGCGATCATCAGCCATGTATAATTTTCATGGACGAAATCGATGCCATCGGTGGTCGTCGTTTCACTGAGGGCACAAGTGCTGATAGAGAAATTCAACGTACTCTCATGGAACTTCTTAACCAAATGGACGGTTTTGACGCTCTCGGGCAAGTAAGAAACACCTAACCCATTCAAAATAATTTTTTTATCGGTTGGTAAATATATTCTTCTATCTTAAAAGGTAAAAATGATAATGGCAACAAATCGACCAGATACTTTGGATCCAGCTCTTCTTCGTCCAGGTCGACTAGACAGAAAAATAGGTGCGTGTTTTACTTTAGATTGGCTTTTAAGGGTTGTATTGCGTCATTATTTTCATTCATACACACTCCTTTTGTTAATGCGTTGAGCTCTTAAAGTGTATTCTAACACCGCTGAAGAAATCCCTACATAAAATTACACTAAAATTTGAATTCTTTCCTACTTTCTAGAAATCCCTCTTCCCAACGAACAAGCTCGTATGGACGTTCTGAAGATTCATGCTGCCCCGATTGCTAAGCATGGCGAAATAGGTAATTATACAGTAACTTCTCGAGAGATTCTTCCCTAATTCCCATCATTCTTCATGCAGATTGGGAGGCAATTGTCAAGCTCTCTGACGGTTTTAACGGAGCAGACTTAAGAAATGTTTGTACTGAAGCGGGTAAAAACCAGTCTTTATTAGGTTTTTTTAGTTTCGTCTTCTTTTTTAAAAGTCGTTGCTTTTATTCCACGCAAGGTATGTATGCTATTCGTGCTGAGCGTGATTACACCATCGAGGAGGACTTTATGAAGGCTGTTCGAAAACTGGCCGACGCCAAAAAGTTGGAGACGAAGCTGGACTACAAGCCTGTGTAATCTTTGTGCAGTTGTGTACCTCCGTTTTCTCGTACACTATCGCAAATTTTCAATATCACTTTCTTTTACATCTACGGCCCATCTGTTGACTCTGGTGTTTTTCTTGTACGATCCTTTCACTTCCGAAGTGATCGTGAATCGCTTTCACCGGTTGAAGAATTGGAACAGTGAGGTTGCCATGTTTATTATGATAGACTATATCGAATGGTACACATCTAAAATTTGGACTAAGCAGAAAGTTAAAACTCGAGTCTTTTTGAAATCGAAACCGGAGGAAAGTCCCTTCCTCAAATCCTAATACACAGTGTTTGGTGCTAGAATTTGAAGGATTTGACTTTGTAAGGGCTCATGAATTCTCTGTGATTATTGGGCTTTGCTGGGAATCGCATTCATCGACTCCCAATATGTGTGTCCGCGCGCCCAAATGGTGTCACTACTTAGAGGTCATCGGTTAAAGAGGCCTCTTATTCGCATTTGGATGCACGGGGCCGACTCCGGTCGTTTCACGCGTGGTGATACGGAGTGTTTGCATCCCTGATGGGATCCCCTGCTTCCTGCACATCGTTCAGGGCGCATTCACCCGAATAACTTGAACTTCAACAAGGGTGTACGCACACCAGTGAGTTCGTACTCATTAATTCTGTGAAAGAAACAGTTGTTGGTAGGCATTTTCTATTTAAAGTTTGCCATGATTAGGACAAATAATCATCTAAAAATTCATCGAGGGAGTTTTGTAAGTTGTATGATGGAAAGTCTTCAGGTTACTACGTTTCCAACCCAATCGTGGATACACTGTAGAGGTTTCCCAAAACCAAGGTTAAAATGGTGAGAAACTGGATTATTGCTTATTCGGATCTGGAGTACGATACATTCTTGCAGAAACGGAAGTGCAAGATCCTCCTTGAATGCGATTCCTTTAAATTTTCAACATAGCGACTGTGTTGCCTTCTGATGCGTGTGCAAATTTTGCTTAGGCCCGAGTAATGCTCGGTCAAACGATCAGGTGCCCCAGGAACCATTTCCCATGCTGTGGCTTGGCGGTACTGATTAACGTCTGAGAAACTTCGAAAGCTTCTTTATTTTTCTGCAAATTCGGCGCTAAAAGGACTTTGGTGATGTGAACTAAGATAAAGGGAGTGATAAATAGTGGTGTTTAATGCAATAAAATCGTCCAAACCTCGGATTGCAAACTATTCAAGTTTAATAGGTACTAAGAGTGCTTTACATACCAGCTTTTGAATGCATTTATGCAAGTAAAAAAGAAACGTTAACTTCTAGGAAGCTGTCTAAGTGTGATGTCTTTAGCTCGAGCCATCCTGTTGTATACGTCGAGGATTTGGCAGATGGCACCATTGCGTTAGACTGACTCGAAAATACAGTCGAGCCCGGGTGCCTTTCGCCACGAGACAGTTAGATCGAACTTGAACCCCAGGCCTGCCAGTTTGCACGTGTCAATGACTGCTTTTCTTGGCTGCCGTACCTCCTCTGCTAGGGGCTCAAGCGACACTTCTCAACGCACTATAGAACGTCTGCACTCATTACTGAAAACCTCGCGAAAAAGGATGCTCACTGGAACTAAGAATAACAACTACTCTGGGCCAAACGGCACGGAAAGTATTATTTTGGGTAAATAAATCTACAACGTAGATTGCAAAGAGATCGAGCTGCGCCTGCTGCTTGGAACGGAGTAGAAACCGCGGAATTTGCTCCTGGCTCGTGCAAACCATGAGAACTTGGTGGTTTTTACAGCCTCCCCTCCTCTCATTCCAACGTTTCCTAATAATTACCGACTTTCCATGATTGACATATTTTTGGTTTCAGACTTCATATTTGTTTATCTGCAGTCGCTCTATCGTGTGAGATATGACGCTGAAGTTGTGGAGCCCGAGAGCACGCGCCTTGTTGGTGAAGGTGGCCATGAACACGACCGATTGAGTATGCGATGTCGAAGAAGAGATTGTCGTATAAACAGCGCGCTTTCGTCGATTTTGGCCTCCCCGGTGTTAGTTTAGTCGTTGGTTGTCGTAGGCTTAACCTTTCCTCCACGACACCGAGTGCTCCGTGATCTCAACCACAGCTGGAATTATAAGTTTCAACAGGAAAATATGTCGAGTAAAACTTTTCAGATTTTAAAAGTTTGGGTGTTGATTTATTCTGTTTGCAAGCAGCTTACAATGCTATTACTTGTAACAGTCTCGATTTTGGTACTTCATGCAAAAGTACGTTCGTTCATAATAATAATTTGAAAGATATTGGTCGTGAAGAGGCAACTTGTCAACGAGAATAAAAAGTGCGTACGATTCACCTTAATCAAGTCGCTACCAACGACAACCCAAAAATAATGTTGGAAGCATCTTGAAATTGCATTTATTGGAAGAATTCGGACACCATTACCTTCCGTTCCGAAGCAAGTGCGTCCATGTGTTAAAACGTCGAAAATGTTCTTGCCAAATCTGGACGTGCGAGTTGCAACACCCCTATCACAGACGCATTAACATTGCCAGCTTCAAGAAGGAGAGGTTGTAAAAAGGAAATACTGTAAGTAAGCAACTCGTGTCGACGTGTTTAAACTATCTTTACTGAAATAACATTCAAGAGCGAAGAAGGCTTCTAAACTTAGTGTGTTTTCAATATGAGAAGTGTGCTAGTAAAATCTTACGTCAAAATGGCTTTGATCGACTTCCCAGGGTGGTAATAATTTTCTAAAAAGGAGTTAAACTAAAAAATGCACATGAATTACGGCAAACAAGTATATTATCTCAAGATTTGGGGGATCTCCATTCATACGATCTGTGATTTTACGTCTTTCAGAAGCTCAGTAATCTATTTTACTGAAATAAATAAAGAAGAATACTCCGGCAAATGCAAACAAAAACATAGCAAATAGACGTTGTGGTGGCGCATACTTCGGGCAGAAAAATACGATCGACATTCAATGCGAAATATTAATAATTTAGCCACACACTTGATGAACTTTCTACTTGTACCATTGTAAAGTGGGCCATTTATGCACCCTAGGTGAATTATGTATCTGTTTGCCTGCTTTTGAGATGATGAAACGGCTATTTCAACGAACATGATGGTTCAGGTAACACTATCAATTGTGGATGAAATGGATGAAATGCGGTCCCCTTTTCAAACAATGCATTATGTCTTCATCAATCCACTCTTCATGATCAAAAGGTCTGAAACCGGCGATAGGTGGAAGGGAAGAGGGAAATTCCACACAGGTGTGCGTGATTTATAGTGACTTGTAGCCCCTTTTATAGTAAATAAAATAAGGATTACTGCAAGCGACAAAAAATATCAGTTATCTGCGGAGGGATCTCGGACAAAATATGCTTCAACGGTTAATCCACAAAGTAATATTTAATGCTTCCTAGTTCTAGTATTTTGTGAATTAAATGTACGAGCATTTTTGGAAATGCTGACTCTAGCTCGCCTAAGTGGTTCTGAGATATTCGACACGGGCTAACTAGTAGCAAGTAAATGGGACGATTTCACACCCACTGGAAACTAAGAGTGCACAGCTCCCACCTAGTTTAATTTTGCGCCGTCTGTCAAATTCGTGAGCTCTTAATAGATTTTCAAGGAATTTTGTAGAAAAGACAAATCTTGTCTTAAATCAGAATTCAGGTACAAAAAGGAGTAAAAACAGTAAGGTGCGCAACCAGATACGAAAAATCTTCATGAAAAATGATATTATGAAGTGTCAGTCGTTGTATACTTTCAAGGAAAAGTTAGAGTAAGCTGTACGTGTGGCACAAATTGAGGTACCATTCACTCTGTGTTCTAAGTAAACGCAATTACTCATTTGAGCGACTAAACATTTCATCCCAAAGATGAAAACGTATTACCTACCTAACGCGACTCGCCACGAACAACGGCCCATTAAGATGCAAACTCCCATGGCTTTAATTGGTAGAATTCTTTCTGTCCAGGTAAATTACGCAATTACTAAATTCTAACTCTGAACATCTGCATAATTATTTTTGTCCAAAAATGGATTTACACTGCTTGTCATGTTGAAATCAGGACTTAAGCATGGCATGAGATGTTTAAGTGCGCTCGACAATATTACCGGGATTTGAATGGGAGGAGGGTGTCTGTTAGTTGCAACATTAAGAAATATCCTAATGTAGTACGCTAGTTGCTTAACTCTCGGTTTTGGTAAAGGGGCCGCTTTGTGTGGCCGCCATTGCACCTTCGCCGGGTGGGCTGGCCTCCGGGTTGTGCCAGTAGCCCCAAATCCCACTGTATTCCGGAGATACATATTCTGCCAAAATATTACGTCTTCTTTCGCTTTCATAGAAGCCTCAAGGTTCTGCATTTACTAGCTGTAACATTAATAAATATGATGGCATTCCGATTAACTGTTTACAAGATCAAAGTATCAGCTGGGTAATCAACCAACATTTCAAATAACCAATTGTCATTTTTTATCATTAGAACCTTAATAGATCCCAGTTTGCTAAACAAATAGGGTATGGAATTTCTAATAGAAAAAAAATAAAGAATAAAGAACTGCATTCCCAAGCATAATTGGCATTTACCTATCCTCCTGACATATTCAAGGTTTGACGATGATTTACAAGAAGTATGCGGCACACGCGCAATCTTTAAATACAAAACTGCTCTTCCATCCGACCCATGCTATCGAGACTTTTATTGTGGAGATTTAGTAAGATCGAAGATTCTATTTTGTTAAGCTTATTCGATAAAAAAAGAATTTTTCAATGGGTCCGAGAGAACAGGGTAGCTTGTTACTATCTGAGCATTCATCAATTTATGCAGTGAATTACAGAGTAGGATAACATTATGGCTACATTTATCCCAAATAATTTGCACGCGAATGACTTAAACCAGGGATATATTCATAAGGGCTTCAAAAGACCAAAGGTAGTTAAATATGGAGTCAATTGTCAACTGGGTTAAGCATAATCGCACTTCTTCCAGAGACTGTTAATGCTACGCGCACAACAGTGCAGAACCTGGTTCCTTTTGGGGTGATAAAAACATCATCATGGGAAGTCAAACGATCATGAAATCTGTGTTGCATACATCCATTTCGGGCTCCATTGGTTGCATGAAGAATCAAGATTGCGCGTCACTTAAGTAGGTAAGAAGTAGGTGTCATAATAGCATTAAGAAGCTGCAAAGGATTTGGGGAATGCTATGCATTGTGTCTTTTGAAACGCTAATGACTTATTATTATTATTATTATTATTATTATTATTAGACACTGTATTGATGCATATGAAACATGCTAGCAATTTTTAGCACGCCTTTAAGAAAATTTGTGGATTTAACATTAATGTAGCGTCCCGGGACTCCCTGAAGACGAAAGAAGACACAATACTCGGGCAGAACATATATATATTCAGCACGGAGAAGGTGTCTGGGCTATTGGCATGGCCCAAAAGGCCAGCCCACCCAGCGAGGTACAAGGGGGCTAATTCAAAGTGCAAAAGTGGCGCCTCACCAGAACCGAGGGACAAACCACTATCGTATAACCTTAATAATACGGGCCTCAGTTTATTCCAACCTCAAAGCATGTTTGAAATTGATAGCCATTAGGTTTTTTTTAACAGAGATGGGACATGATAGGCAAAAGATGCATCGAATAGTGCATTGCGAATTACTTGACAGCTCGACTTCAGTCGAATGGTAGCCTTGATGATGGTCCCGAACATGTCCTCCATTTCAATAAAGCAGTGCTTCAGACCCATTCTTCTTGCAATTTTGCAAATCAGTTGGTACTTCATCACTTATAAGTACCTAATAATTGTTGCCGAATGTATAGATAACGTTGACTAATTCGTTGAGCGATTATCCAGGGTAGCACTAAAGTGAAAACAGTGGAAAGGAGGAATCGGAGCTAAATAGTATTCCCATAAAACTATTTTAATCCCAATTCTCTAGTAAGTAAATCTTCTTTTGAGTCAACACTTTTACTACTAAAAATGGACGGAGAGATGGCCGGCGCATTCTCCTTTTCCTGAATTTAGTTTTCAAGAGGTATCAGTGACGTTGCGTTCAAACATCTTCTCAGTTGCAAACAAATTCGATGACCAGCGAGGCTGGTCTGTGAAAGGCCTTTCTTACAGTTACGAGGGACAAAATTCAAAAGAAAAAGTGGGTTACGTAGAGCTTTGAATACTTGATCAACTCTTTGTTTTGGTTATACAAGCACTAAAGGCTCTGCAATTGTAATTTTGTTAAGGAGAATGGCCTCCGACTCATGCCAGTAGCCACTCAGACCTGCTGTAGTACGACAGTTGTTTATCTCTCGGTATTGGCGTGCAGCCACTTTTGACTTGGCCTTTGTACCACGCCGGGTGGGCTGGCCTTCGGGCCATGCCAATAGCCCAAATACCTTCTCTGTGCTGAACATATATGTATTCTGCCTGAGTATTATGGCCTCTTCCCTCTTCAGGGAAGTCTCGGGACGCTGCACCACTGTATGTCCTGGTGTTATGTCTTCCTTTGACACCAGAGCGCATTTGAGCCACTGCAAAAAGTCAGAAGAATGCACCATTTAAAGAACTAACCAGAGTCACTTTAAAATGAAAGTCGCGGAATACACTTTAATTGTGTTTTTTAATGGGCTGGTTGCATGGCTTTTAGTGCGACTTATTAATTTGCCGTTTAAAGCCCATTTCTCAGGTAGGGTAAAAGAGTCCGTCACTTCCAACGAAATTGTTGTTTTTTTCGAAGTTTATAAATGCAGTAGTGCTCGTTCTAAATCCCAAACATAATCTAAATTTGAACAACTTAACTAAGCCCTACGTTAAATTCGAATCCCGTTTCGAATCTCATTGATTTATTCACACTCGTACATAATAATAGTCTCTCATGCTGTATTATTGAATATCTGTATTATTAGCCAGGTAATTCTTGTAACTTTTCTGAATGTCTTTTAGGGTTTCGAAAGCTTGGCGCTGCGGTTGTCTTGTTGAGTGTCGTTTGGTCCTTGCTGGTTTGGGGACGCGACGAAAATGATCGGTGCCTTGTTCATATATAATCACAAGGGGGAGGTTTTGATTCAGCGATTTTTCCGTGACGAAATACCGAAAACTGCCGTTGATGTGTTTCGTGTCCATGTTATACACTCCAGACATCAAGTAATTGGTGGTACAGCATATCGTTCATGCTGATTACCTTGTGCTGTGATTCATCTAGAAATTTTTACCCAGTTTTTTTTGGTTAACCGACTGTTTACTTTCAACTCTGATTGATGGAATAGCTGTCACCTGTTTGCTGAAGGATTCATATTCCTCTTCGATTATATATCTACTGAGTTCTTCCGGCACTCTTTCGTCATTCATTTCTTTGGTTCTTTTTTTCTTTTTTTTGCACGCATGCTTTCCAAGCTACTGTTGTTTGTTTGTAGATCCGTTCGCCAATCGTTAACATTTCTAGGACTAGTTTTTTTCATGTAAAACGAGGAAATATCTGGCTTTGCTCTGTCAGTCGACGTAATTTAAATGCCGCAGCCGTTTTTGAGTTGCTGCAAGCCATTTTGGGTGTTTTTCAACAGCATTTGGGTCGTGTTACTGAGGAGAATATTAAAAACAATTTCGTCCTAATCTATGAGCTTCTTGACGAAGCAATTGATTATGGTTACGCTCAAAATACGGATACCGACGTTCTTCGAAATCTTATTACCCAAGCTGCCATCAAATCTGCAAACAAAGAAGAAACAACCCAGATCACCAATCAGGTTACTGGACAGATCAGCTGGCGCCGCGAAGGCATCAAATACAGGCGCAACGAACTTTTCCTGGATATAACTGAGTCGGTTAATTTGCTGATGTCACCTCAAGGTACTATTTGTTGCCCGATATTGGGTCGTAAAAATGAATCTTGATCATGTTGTTTTGTTTTTTTTTTCAGGACAGATTTTGTCGGCTCATGTTGTCGGTAAGGTAGTGATGAAGTGTTATCTTAGTGGGATGCCTGATTGCAAATTCGGTTTCAATGACAAAATCAGCCTTGATAATCGACCCAAAAACTCCGGCGCTATTGGCAGTGGGGATGATCTGTAAGTAAAATCCTTCAATGCAGTTTGTCATGTACCGTATTCGATTACTTTTCACTTGGGATCCCATTCATACTATTCTGTGCTCATTCATCAAGTTCAGATAGAAGAAATTTTAATGGCGTAGGTTTCTTTTCTAGAGCTCCTGAGTCCGTTAGTGGTGTCGCAATCGATGACTGTCAGTTCCATCAATGCGTGAAATTGAACAAGTACAGCACCGACCAGGCAATCTCATTCATTCCACCCGATGGCGAATTCGTTCTCATGCGTTATCGCAAGACGCGTGTAGGTTTATTTAATTGTCAACTTTCTGAATCTGTAGATTTTGCATAATTCTTTTTCTTTTTTATTTGACTTAAGAGAAATTGCTTATATACTCTTTAGTAAGCATTTAATGAGGTATGCGCCTTGCAAGTGTAGAAATTCGAAATTTGTACCCTTTTTCACTAATTGTCTCACCTGTTAGTACTGTTTCTGGAAAGCTTAATGGGAATTTGCGTGGTTCTGGTATCCAGGCTTATTTTTCGATTAATAAAGGGATTTCAGAACTGGTTAAGTCGGAATTCTTCTCTATTCACCCCTGAGTGATAAATTGTATGTCCTAGCTTTTAAGATGATATTTACCAAACTATTAAGACAGTTACCGGTGCTAAAGGCTCTCTCGTATAACTGAATTTAGCAAAAATGCTAGTTTTAACAGTTAAATTTAATTTCAATTAAGCTTACAATGTATTTCCTCAAGTCATTTCTCCCTGGACTTAGTTTTCGCTGATTTGCTGCTAATAATGCGTTTTAAGTAAATTGGAGGGTTCATTCTATCTGCTTCTAACAGTATATTTTTTGGGTAGACCATTCTTTCCCTCTCTGAAATTTGCGGTTCGGCTCGTAGTTATCTGTTTGATTCTGGCATGTTATAACCAAGAAAAGCAATCTAGCCTTTGTGTTGGTTTGCTCAACAGGAAATCACACTACCTTTCCGACTCATTCCATTGGTGCACGAAATTGGGAAGCATAAGTTGGAAATCAAGGTTGTCGTGAAGGCCACCTTTAAGCCTAGCCTCCTTGCCCAAAAGGTGGAGGTGCGCATTCCCACTCCGAAAAATACCAGTGGTGTTCAGGTGATTTGTTCGAAAGGCAGAGCCAAATACAAAGCAACGGAGAATGCTATTGTGTGGAAGTAAGTATATCCTGCTCTCAAATTTTCAATATGCAAGGATTTATGTATCTCAATTGATATTGCGTTGTTGAGAATCTTATTCCATTGGAATAAGTAGATATGGCAACTAAACATGTTGTTGCATGAAAGTAGTCTTCATATTTGACAATTGGGATTTACTTGTGTTCATCCGTTAAACTGAACTTCCTCTTCTTTTTCATCTTAGGCTTCCACGCATTGCAGGGATGAAGGACTCCCAACTATCTGCCGAAGTTGAATTGCTTCAGTCGTCGGACAAAACACAACGTGTCGGTCGCTCGCCGATTTCTATGAATTTCGAGGTATGCATCTGCGCAGTTCTTTCAAAAGTTGAAAATTCAGGCAAACGTGTCATTTCTTCATTTCAGCAATAGTACATGCTCTTTAACATATTTTTTTTATGCTCGTAGTAGTTTCCGTATACTCTTGTCCTTTACCGGCGCTTTATACTAACGATGCTAGGATTATTTTCTTGTAAAAAACCTGAGCTTCGTGGTATCGTTTTAGGAAGTGTAAATTTACTTGCGTCGTTAATCGTTAGCAAGGTCGAAAGCAGCGCTGATTCGTATTTCAGTTGGTAATCTGGGCTTGCTGCGAACGATTGACGAACTACTATAAAATTTGTTTTACAAGATGCGTGTTCCAGATCTCCTTTGTAGCTGAAGAACCCACCAATTACCTTTTCTTTTGGCTTTGACGCTTCATTTCATTTTTTGCTAATGAATTCAACTTCATTATACCTGCATTTTAGGTTCCCTTTGCACCTTCGGGCTTCCGAGTTCGATTCCTGAAGGTTTTTGAGCCGAAGCTGAATTATTCAGATCACGATGTCATTAAATGGGTTCGCTACATTGGAAAAAGTGGTCTCTACGAAACTCGGTGTTGAAGTCCCTCACATCTTTCTTCTCTCTCAATCTCTGCACACTTTCTGTACGAACATATTCCCCTCTAAAATCAGCATTTAAACATCCTCTGATAACTTTTTGTTGTGATTGTGTGTTTGTAAAGCGTATTTTGATTCTTCTTACTTTACCTTATTCCTTTAAATTCTTCCTCCTGTGTTGTCAGCCTTCACATCGAATTTTGTCCCTACAGTCCCTTCGTGCTATAATCTAATCCGTGATTTTACTAGGTAGCAAATTAGAACTTAGTTTTTGGGTAAATGAAACGCGATGTCGGCTTTGATCGGTTATTTCGCTAGGATTTCCCTTCGAATTACGTGGGTAGCAGGTTACTTAGTTCCCTTTTCTGAATAGCATTCCACGCGCGAAAAGATGGCGAACATTTTGACACCTAATGCTTGAGAGGTGTATCTGTGACAGATTCACCCACCCGTATCGTCACCAGGCTTTCGAATAATGCATTTATTCTTCTAAGCTACTCGTTTACTAATTGATAATAGGTCTTGTTATCCATTTGATTCTACCTGCAAGTATGCGCTGGAGACTTATCTCACCCTCCGATGCTTGAATATGTCTTGGGTTGACGTTTTACTCCTGCATTTAATTGTAGTTTTCAGCAATTCTGACTGAACACCTTAAGCACTGACCTCCGGAGGTAAAGTAGAAATAGAATAAGTCAACAAAATGGGTGGTATCCTCAACCGCTTGGAGCTCTGAAGTCTACCAGGCGTATTTCGTCTGGCGGCGAACTACCTCGTCGTTGTGGCCTGTACACTAATGCCGGAAAGAGAATTTCGGTTAGGTATAAATTTTAGTCGTAACAGATTTGAATCCTAAGTAGAAGAATCGGAAAATGGTAGGGAGTCAAGCGAATTAGTCAGTCCAAATAGGGTTTCTTGAGTACTGTGTGGTGGCTGTAGGCCGACAGACCGTAGCGCCTTCAGTCGTTAAGGTTCATAAAGTCATCTGATAACAAAGTTCATGATCCGGAAAAGGGTGCACTTGGGGTACTAAGTGTCAATTTTGAAGCTGCAACTGCATGAACTTTTGACGAACAAAAAGTTAACAGAGTAGGTTAGGTTATCGCCGCTGGACGGGGGAATTCTCACGAAAATGTAGTTTATTAAGCGTCTATGATTGTTCATGTAGTAATATTATTTGGCAATTTTATGCATAAGATGGGTGGTGGTCATTACCTTGTGTCACAGGTATACGTTTAGCATAGTGCACCAAAGTTAAGGTCATCATGCTAAGAACCCAGAAGTGCACGCAAACTCAAATGTTACTCCGCTGAGTAAAATCATCGAACGGTTTTCGACGAATCTTTCATCTTTTTTAATCAAGCTCTTTACATCCATGGTACGCTCAGCGACATATTCGTGATCAAACTTAACTTAATGTTCAATCCTATACAATTGTCTTGAAAAATTCTTTGCATCAAAATGATTGGTTTATGTTAGTCCTGACCCATCAGTGGCAAATATTACATAGAAGCAGGACAAGATAGCTTTTAATGATCGAGACTTGTAATTCTAAAATAGGGACAGCGTTTTTAGTCCACTATCTGTGTTGCTTGGATTCTACTTGTCGACTTCAGCGTCCTTTTCCGCTGGATCGGTATGCTTCGTCTCCATTTGTGAAATCACCCGTTTATGCAATTCTTCCCTCGACAGTGGTACTTTCAGTTCACCTCCATCGGCGACTAGAATTTAAAATACCGTAACATGCGGACTAGTAACAAGAGAAAGTGGCTCAAAATCGCGGACTTGTTACATATTTACAAACAAAAGCGGCCCTGGAGCACATAACTGTTAAATTGACGTGACTTCAATTATCGCTGGGGAAGCACTATTGACAAAGCCTCATCTAGGAATGAAAGTCGGACAATATAACTCATTCAAGTAAAGCGTATTCTATAGCCGGACTTCATTGTGATCAGTAGTAAATAAATATACTTTAGGCGTACAATTTTCTTACAGGAAACCCACTTAATCTCGCATTAACTTACGTTCATCAAAATCCGCGTGCAGGCTGGGTGGTATGATGGTGGGAAGAGAAGAGCTTAAAGGAAGCAGATTACCACCCATCAGAATCGGCTTCGCGATATAAGGGGCGTCAGAATCGATGTTGGCAATGTATTGTCGAACTAGGAGCAGGTTGTCGATACGCTCCTCAATCAATGCCAAGTAATCAAGAACCGTTTCGAGGGTCGGATCCTTAGAGGCCGCCAGTCGCCTTTCGAGAATACTCCTAGAGTATATTTGCAGAAAGCCTTATAAAATCCATAGCGATTTGCTCAGGCATCGGCATGTTGCTATTTCCTTTACTGCTTATTTTGCCTTATTTTAATGGCTTCTTTCTGTTATCGGTTCACATAACAATATTTTTCATTCATAAACATCCATTAAGACATATTTTTCGTGTAATGGATCGTGGAGTAACTTCATTGCTTTGCAAAGATTAACTTATGTGTGCTTTGTTTTAAGGCTATATTTGTTACAATTTACTAGTCTTGGCTTCCTTAAGTTCATACCAATTATCACGCCAACAGTTACGAAAGTCAAGATACTGTCAGCCAAATTGTCCATCAGTTTTGACACAACGATGGTGACGTTATTAATACATAAGTTTTCTAAGCATAAATTTAAATATTCCTTCGTAATAACACTTGTCATTCGTATCACTAGGCCTTACCTGTCTTAAGAACACTATATACAGGTGACTTATGACAATCCCCTGCACGCCCTGGGAGTTTTTTAAAAAAAGCCTTGAAATACGATGAAGTGGATCCTAATAACCGAACCTAAGTATTGGATGGTCATGACAATACCTAATTAGGTCTATCGTAATGATAATGAAGAAGCGCTGAGAATGGCTAGGAGGAAATCCAAATCGAGTGTTACGTACGTATCACAATCAAGTCTTTCCGCCAAGTCTCCTGTCATTACGGCAGTTTCTTGTAGGAGCTGTTTCGTTTTTTCCAACTTTGTGCGAATCTTCTCTGTTGCTTCCTCAATTTTGTTATTCGTGGACTCAAGATTTTCCAATTCCTGACGCTTCTCCGTAATGGTATTGTTCATGGAATTTCTGTAGTCATCTATTTGTTTCTTGATCTAAGTTAAATGCAGAGGTCGGTTTTGAAGGAAGAGAAAATTATGAAATAGAATGTATACCAAGCTTAAAGAGTTATGATTTAGCAGAGCAAATTTTAAGTAATATCTATATAATTTTGTATTGAAATAGGATCAAACAACTATTTCGCTTTGTCAGGTCCAAGACATTGAAGACTGAAGTGCTATTCTAGTTCAAATCGCCGAATCCTTGGTATCTAGATGTAAGTGGCATCATAATTAGTTACATTTTCAAATGTTGTTAAAGTATCACTCGAATCTGTGAAAACTTCCACTGTCCTATTGTAATTCGTAAAAGTTAGATATAATTAGAGTGATTAACCTCTTCATTCTCATTAAGAAGCCTTTCAATTTCGCCATTAATTTCGCTGACGTAGTTGAATAGAGCAAAGTTTCGATCTTCGTTAAAGAGGAAGCTGTCTACTAGTTTGTCAGTGCTGGACGTTTTAGCGAGAACGAGCATTCGATCGAAGGACTCCTCGTATCGTCGAATAGTCTGCTCAACCTGTTCCCGCTTTTCTTCTGCTTCTGCCTCCTTTTTGGCCTGCCAATAATATTTTACCATTAACAGTACCTTCTTAAATACCAAGAAAACTGCCTTTAGCCTTTGCAGCTATTAACCTTACTGAATACTAATATACAAACTGATGTTGTCGCCAGTGCCATCGGTGAATTTGTGAGACTTGGTAAAACATGCATGTGCAAATAGACCAGCTTTTAATGACTGCATAAAATTTGCTACTAGTTAAGTTCCGAGTATCTTTCAAGAAAAGTGCTTTATTTTATTATAATCTGTCAAAAACTATGCAAGTGTTTGCTTTTATTTTAATGACTTAATTCACCCTCCATGCCGTAAGTTGTGGATCCTCCTCGCGTTCGGCAGCTTTTATTTTCATGAACTGCTTTAACTTTCTTTCATGATCTATGAGTCGAACAAGCTCCTTCATCTCGATATTGTGCTGTTGGTTGTCCTTCTCGGCTTTATCAGTCAATGCTTGTATTCTCTGAGCTGCCTCTTCCCTAAGAGTTAAAAAGACATTATATGGACTCTATTGCCGTGAATAATTTGAGTAAAGAAGTATAACCTGAACGTGTGGTTCTGGGACAGGTCTCCACCCATGTAAGCCAAAATAATGTAAAAATTTAGATTCATGTTCCCAGAATGGAATATGGTAATCAAAGTCTGTAATTCATCCATGGTTTAAGCTTTTAGACAAATTTAAATATTATACGACAATCATAGAGTTAAAGTAGGCAGTCAAATACGAATAATATTCTTGACTCCTTAACACTAAACATATTTTGAAAAGTTGGCAAACATTTCTCAAAATAGAGCATGTTGTGAAAAGATAAACAGCTTATTGAGGCGTTTTCTTGGGAACATTAGCAATAATTCATGGGCAAAAAACTTTGCCCTATTAGATTGTAATGATTAAAAAAGCATCAACACACAAAATGCCTTAGAAACTGCCTGAAATAACTTCCAGTGTAAATGTACCTTTGAGCGTAGGCTTGAGTCGTAAAAGCAGTGAGGCGACTGATCTCGTTTCGCATTTTCGTTAGCGTTAAGTCGATTTTCCGATATATTAAGTCAAACCGCCCACGTTCCATTCTCAGTGTATCTATTTCACCTCGTAACTCTAAAGTACAAGCCAATGAATAGAACTATGCCATTTATTGGGATTACTGTAATGTCATTTATATTGATTACTTAATTACCCTTAAAAGACAGGTGGAAAAAGGTAACCATGTTTGTGGACATTCTCGATTTTTCGTCATAGTATAGTAAGCGTCAAGTTCATTAAATGTACGTTAAAGCATGCGGTCTCTTTACTTTTCAAGGTTGTACTTCCACTCTGTGGCATAGCCATCAAAGTTTGCTAATCGTGTAACACGTTGGCTGTTCGTTTATTCTCGGTTTTGGTAAAGGAGCTACTTCGAGCCTTCGCCGGGTAGGCTAGCCTTCAGGCCACGTCAGTAGTCCCAAGCCCTGTTGTATTTTGAGTATATATATATATACATTCCGTTGGAGTATTATGTGTTCTTTTGTCTTCAGGAAAGACTAAGGGCGTCACATTAGTGGCAACAGAAAGCAAACTCGATCTCAAAAGGTGGCTGTTATGTTTTCTATTACTGCTTGGCAAACAGCGATGCGGAAGAAGTGCATATGCTGAAGATGGGAGAATCGGTGATAACCCAAACGGAACGGCCGAAGACGATGGCTACTTTCAACAGCTACCTCAGTCCTGTAGTCTGCAGGAAAGCTATTAACACCTGAAGCCACAGTAGTCGTAAGCCATCTGGAAAAGTTTGTCACGAAGATGTCTACTATGCCTGTTTGCAGATATTGATTACATAAACACGCGGTACCTCCTCCACTTCTCCACCTACTAAATGAAATCCAGTTAAATATGCCTGAGCAGCTCTAAGGGAGATTAACGTGGCAAGGAGAAACAGGCTCAAAACTCTACCCCCATGGAACTATGTTTAATCCCGTCCCTTGTTACATAACTCTGCTTTTGGGTCAGTATTCTTCCGAACAGCTATGGATAAGCCCAATGGCCAGCATATTCTCCCTTCCCCAAATCTACTTCCTACACAGGACGAAACTGCAGATCTAGTTGAAATTCCCAAGGGAGGTCAGTGGCGTTGTAGCCAGACATCTCATTCGCACTCAAATTTGATGACTGACGCGGTTGGCTCGTTGGTGCTTCCTTGCAGCACCGACTGTATTGTGATGGCCGACGAAAAAGATGCTTAAAATGGGAGGGGGCTATGTTATACATAAATTGTTTGGTTAACACTCGGTTTTGGTAAAGGTGTTACTTAGCGGTTCTGTCATTGTATCTTCATCGGGTGGGCCGGTCTCTGAGATATGCCAGTAGCTCCAAGCTCTACCCTGCATTGAATGTATATATTCCGTTTAAGAATTATGTCCTTATTTTATCTTCAGGAAAGTCTCAGTGTGCGTATGCATGCATAAGTACGCATAGTGATGCGTTCTTAGGGTTAGTATGGTTTAATTTTTTTATAGTTATGTTGTGCTTATGTTATTATTGATATGGTTAAATAAACTTATGAGAAAAAGTAGGTGTAACGAAGATTGGTTGTGTTTTGTAAAACGTGGACTTTATTTACATTCGAGTAAATTGTATGCATTCAAATTACACCTACAAGATTCAATAACATTTACAACACAAACAATATATTTATTTGTTTTTGGAGGTAAATGAAGATTTTCCCTTTACTGTCACTTTGTCTGTTTTTTTGAGTGACAAGGAGAAAAAACTTTCCTAAATTACTACCCTTAGATAAATTAAAGTCGTAAAAGCTTTCAGAAATTCTTGGTAAAAGTGGTGTCAAGAATGTTAATGTCCAACAATGCAAGAAGTAATGGGCTCGCAATATTTTGTCTTTTAGATATGCTATTAAATATTTACCAGTAATGTCTAAATAAATAAACTATGCAAATATCTCGAAAAAAATGAATCTGAATTGACATAACTCACGCATATTTTTCCCTAGAGCATCATTGTATGTTTTGAGAGCGTGTACCACACGGCCTTCAAGGCAGGCCTGCTTCTTTCGCAGTTTGTCCATGGCCTCCTGCGCGCCTAGAGTTGTTCCGGCTGTATGAATTAACGACCAGAGATTCTTTTCTAGTTCGCGTGTCTGTATAAATGACCCACTAGTCAATTTATGCATGTAGATAAGCTGATAACGTTTTTTGTTATAAGTAACGGAGTTTTGATATACAAGCTAGCACACTAAGCTTTTGGTGTCAGTTACTTATTACCGCCGTATACTTGCAAAAAGAAAGGCCCTGGTCGAAATAAGTAGTGGTTTAATTCACTTTTACCTTAACATCTAACTCGACATGTTTTGCCTTTTCTTGAGCAATTTGTTGTTGTAACCAGTCCTTATTATCCGCTAGATTAGCTAAGTCCTCGCATGTTCTTTGGTCCTTGGCCTGATTAATTTTGCTATCAACGATCGATATTTGCTCCAAAAGTTCATTTCGTTCAGCTTCAAGTTTTTCTATTGTTTTTCTGTCAAATGAAATGCATAACAATGCACAGGTATAAGCCAGCTATGTAGCGAAAACGCTGTAATAATAAGAAAAGAGTAAAGAAAATTACCGATACCTTAGAAACTGCCAGAAACAGAATAACAATTCACAGAAATGAATATAGTGAGTACATGGACTCCATGCTTCATTGATAAACAAGTGAACAGAAAAGGTAAAAAAAGGCAAAGAAAAAGGAAACAAAAGGAAACAAAGAAAGTGCCAGGGAATCCTACTTCATTTTGCTCATTGCCGATTGCATTTCTTCGATATAATACTGACGATCAGCCTGAGCAAGGTGGAGAGCATGTTTGAGTTGACCATATTCAGCTTCGCGTTCGGCGAGCACGTCGGCATCAGTTTCGACTATGGTCTTGTATGGCATCTGTTAACAAATTTAATACCACGGTAACATAAAGCAGCAGTCAAAGCAGCGGCTATTGTAGGGCATATACTAACAAGGCATCAAGGAGGCAAATGTTAAATTACACATATTTCGAAATAGGAACGTTGCTGCTTTTCTTTACCGCGAATGATAAAAGAAAAATATGATTGCGCAGTAACACAAAAAGGCACGTCTAAAAAACAATTTACCCATACTTTTAGGGCAAAAGGCAGTATTTCTGGATAAATGTCTAAAATTTTAATGGTGTAACTATAGGCCTCTAGACTTCCCTGTACCTTTTAGTAAGTAAACTTATTCATTATTGTATGCTTATTGTTTCCCATAAATCTTGATTAATATGGTAAAGGTACTAGGCTGCTGCTGTTTTTCAAGGCATTCAAACATGGGTTACAGATGTTACATCACCCGAAAGGCGATAAGGTAAGCATGCAATGAGGTGACCTAGAAAGAACGATTTAATAAGTTTAGTGCGGCTGCTCGGGACTTTTCTAAAAACAAAAGATTACAAAGTACTTTGAAAGAACATATATATTCGGCACAGAAGGCATTCGGGCTACTGGCATGACCCAAATGCCAGCCTACCCGAGGTAGCACAAAGACCAAGTCAGCAGTTCCCCCTTACTTATACAAAGAGTTTAAAAACTTCTGCATTTTTATTTTATAACAATTTTTCCTGTTGTTTTTTCTAATAGAAAAAATAGTGTATGCGGGTCAATTTCGCTGATTCTTAGAGCCGCCAAGCCTTTTCTATGCAGGGTTTCTCGACTTTTAAACCTTTTTTGTTTTAAAGTATTGTCAAATGTTTTTTTCCATCAGCCTATTTTTTTATCAAGCCTTGGATAGCGCGGCGCCCTTGGATCCGTGTTTCTCTGAATCAGGTATGGCTATCGCCAATGTACGTGTATTGTTCCCACTGAGATCTATTCCTCGGATTCTTATCAATGTGGATAGGTTCCCACGTCAGCTTACTTACATTCCGAGTCGATCTGCTGGGCATTCACATTGGCAAAACATTAGACACACGAAAGAGGCTAAGGATAGGGAGCGTGCACGTGTTACGTCCAATTTCCTTTTACAGATAGATGCTGCCATCAAACGTAATGTTCTAGTTTTGCTTATTTTAAGGTAGTTGGTGGAGGTGAACGAGATCCCAAACATAATGGTCGCCTTGCCTCTGTTATCGCTGACGCAAAATCCAAAAACGTGCCAATGGATACCATAAACAGGCGACTCTCAGCTCATGATATGGTTGATCCTTACATTATAGAAATCCAAGCCCCTGGTGGTATTTTTGCCCTCATTGAAACACGCTGTAAGGCTGTGAAGCCCACACGTGATAAGGTACAAGGCATTGTCAAAAAGTATGGGTACGTCACTATGTTTGTTTGTACTGAAAAAGGTTTAAGGTGTCGAGGTCGACTCCCGGCTCAATTGCCAATGAATTTTTTGAGCACAAAGGTGTTATTTCTGCCGCACCGCAAAAAACCCTGGAAAATATTGATGTGGCAACCGAGTTAGCGATCGATTGTGGCGCGCATGATGTGACAGAAACGGAAATTGATGTTGGTGTAAAAGGATTTGAAGTAGGTTCCTACCTGAGTTGTGTGGAGTAGATGAAATATGCTCATTCAAGTTTTGCCCCCTTTCACCGTGAGTTTTTAAGCAATAGTCCGATTTCCTTTTGGGCAATTTCGTTACCTCTTTTGGTTGATTGGTGGTGGTTTCACATGATAGTATATTTTGACCGGGAAAATCATATTTCTTAAGCACTTATTGTATTGGTTGGAAATTTATGGGTATCAGTGATTATAGCTTCATAACGTGGAATATATTCTTTTCGCAATTTTACAAAGGGCAAAATTGATTCGAATTTAATGATGCTCTTACTTGAAGTCGTTATCTTTTACTTAAAAGTAACAAGTAGTGTGCTCGTAATCTTTTAGTTTCATTGTGGCGTTAATGATGTCAATAATGTGCGCCAAAGTTTGGAGTCTCGCGGTGTCACCGTTTACGAATCCTTTTGTCCGTATTTGGCTGTTCGGAAAGTTTCCGTCTCCTCCAGCGATTATAAACTGATGAACCAGATGTACGACCGCATTCGTGATGCAATTGATTACACAGATAACTTTTATGACAATTGCGATGAGGCCGAGTGAATGCATATTTTGTTAAGATTGTAACAGTGTTGGATCTGCCTATACATGCTTTCTTAGACTTGTACATTCTTGAAATAAAACTCTGTTGATATCTTCATTTGTTTTTAATAACGGAGTGGTTTGTTAAATTTTATTCCAAATCAACGTCATGAGTTTCTGTACTACTCTCGTATTTGCGATGTTTATACTTATCTTTGGTGGAATGGATATCGTTTCTTAAGATGTACTGACTGGAGCGATGTAGTGCATAGCTTACTGCGTCAAGATACTCTGGGACTATCGGTTCTGCATTCATGCAGTGAAGCTATTGTGAGGTGTGCTTTATCTGTCTTGTCACCGTCACGTCGTATTGTCTGTGTTATCGCTTTTATTAATCTATTCCATTACATATGAATTAAAATCGCTATGTCCTCACGGTTACTGAAACATGACCTCTGGTTGTAGATTTAAACCAGATTTAAATAGGTAAAGGCTCGAAAACGAATCAGCACCAGTAGCATCCTCTTCCGTTATTCATAATGTTGACTGAGGTTCGTTTAGATTTCGGAAACCATAGTGGCGTGGTAATTTCTCGGGTTGCTTTCAGCAACAGTCGTGTAATGTACTTCCACGTCCCTGCGCTCTTATCAGGGCTGGACTCGTAATTATTATACTTTTGGTTCCATAAATGACGTTCATTGGGCGCTGATTATTTCAAGAATTGAAGTGTATGGCGGACTAACCTGCCATTCGGTATCGAGTGAAGAATTTGTGGATGAGGCCATTGGTCTACTAATACTAGTCGGCTGGCTATTCGGACTTATTTGAAATTAGTTAAGTTGGCTGTTTTTATGAAACTATGACCAACACTTCGAAGGAATTTCGCTGAGCTCTCTTAAAGCCCAAAAACAATATGTTTCGATGGGAACTACTGAGCTGCGGCAGATTAAGTTGATGCTTATTAAGTGGTATCAAAATAAGACGTTAAATTACCAGGTGAACAGTGTAAATTTGACCTACAATTTCAGCTACTGTAGAAATACTCCCATTGGGGCACGGTGCGATCATTCTCAGGCAAAATAGTGATACAATAGAATCAGATTTTTCGAGAATCTCAAAACAAAAGTATCTTAGGAAGATGCTCGACGAAATATTGTCATTAAGCTAAGGCAGAACAAGATAAAGCTATTTCCAAAAAGTTTGTGAGGGAAACATCTGCCACCCCCTAAAATATGCGTTCATAATGTCGACGTGCATTTACCTCACCATGAAAGGAGAATGTTAGGTTGAACAGTTTATCCGGAAGGTGTCGTTTCGACACCAATGCGGTGGAAAACTATTTTGGATAAACGGACCTAAGAGGACGAGCAAAAGTAAAATTAGTGAAAATGAGGGTAGATTAATTTTCCAGGAAGTTTCTGTTAGTGTAGCGCTGGATGCGTGAGGTGGCGATTATGCGTTCGCAAGAACCATATTCTCGAAGTTACCGTCTTGCGAGATAGCACTTTGTAAAAAATTTAGCAACTTTTGTACAACTATGGACGAAACCAATAAGTTGAACGCACACTACCTGTCAAGTTTGGTTGAAAGATAAATATGGCGCTTGCAATGACCATGAGGTTTGCTATAACAGATTGAGGAATAATCACGTAGGCCTTAGAACCCAAAAACCGCTTCTTTAAAGTACCCCTTACCCGAGCCTAACTATTTAGTCTAAAATTTTTTTAGGTGCGCTAGCTGAGGAGCGTCCCAAGACCTCTCTGAAGACCAAAGAGGGCATAATACTAAGGCTAAATACGTATTATCAACCCACAGAAGGGCTGGAAGAGGGAGGGGAACTTACTAGCATGCCCAGGGGTCATGCCACTAGGCAGGGTACAATAGCCGTGCCCTTTAGTACCTGCGATACCATAACCCAGCGTAAAACTACTAAGCGAAGTATCACAATCAAAGTTGTGTTTTCGGTATAACGCCTTAAAGGCATAATAAATTAACAAATCTTGAACGGACGTGAATTTACGGGGGTGCGGAGCCGCACGACATGCCAGATTAGTCACGTAGCGTGCTACTGCCACCCCCGCCGCCGAGCTTCATTAGGTCCCATGACAAAAGAGCACGCATAACCCGATGTGCCATGGCTGAAGGTTTCGTTTTTGCTACCCTAAAACGACTCCTGTGAAGATTTTTGAATGCCATGAAGTCGAAGTTTTTTTCAATTCATATGGTCGATGGGATGTGTTGTTCGCATTACTTCTAACAATTAAGCTCAACTTAACACCGAAAGTTTTATGATTGGGACAAAAAAAGCGATTATAGGTAGATACATCTCATCTTTTCTGGGTTGGATTTTGAAGTCAGCATTGTCATTGGCTTCTGAGCCTTGGCTAAAATATTCTCATGGAAATCGTGCATACCCCGAAGCGTAGTGAGGCAGCGTTGACCTGCCTCAGTGACACACTTGCAAAAATGGAAGAGAATATTTTGCTCGAAGTGTCACCGCTTCGGCCAATTTAGCACGATGAGATGGCGTCAAGCGTGAGCACAGGTCGCACCCCACGAATGCGCATGCGGGCGAACATTTGACCGCCCCATGCGGTGGATCAGTGATCACTGACAAGGGCTCGAGCGAGGGGGAGAAGGGGGGCGGGCGGGGAGCTACGCTCGTCCGACATGAGCTAGACTCGTCACGAGACGAAGCCGATTCGCTTCTGCGAGGAAAACTTAAATACGAAATTGCAACGCATCCAGGCGTTTGTTCTACACGTGCAATCCCCTAAACCTATAAGCAAGTAGAAAATTATCCACATTCTAAAGCGTGTATTACAAGACGATCTAATTTGTTTTATACTGCTGCTTTTGATCTCGGTTCCATCTACAGAGAATTTTGGATTAAGGCACAAAATTATGCTTCTCGTATTCAGGAGTAGGGTATTTGTAAAAACAGCCGTGTACCTTGCATTGCACCCTTACCACATGTAGAAAAATACAATAATAGGCTTCTACATCTAAATGTTGCATAAAAAACCGAAGTGTCTGAGAAGCAGAACTGCTAAGAGCACAAATGTGACATAATAGTACGAACAGTGAGATGAGATAATGCAGTCTTTTAGGGTGCCACCTTCTCCTCCTTTTGATTAGCGTTGACCACTCTGGAACGTTTCTTTTTGCCATTTCTTCTAACCATCGGTCTATCTTCCTCCTGTTTAACCTCATTTTCCTCTTTTGCATTTCTATTTGCGCTTCCTTGCACTTCATCAGCCTTATGATCACCTTCAGTGTTGGGTTCTTGAGGTTTTGGCTGTGACTTGAAAGCTGTGCCGCCTTGTTGCGGTGGTCGCCTAGTTTTTACTGGAGCTTTTGTTTCCTCCAACTTATTTCGCTGTTGTACTCTTTTATTTTCATTCTCAAACCGAGTCTGCCGGCTGCTGGAACTAGTGGCTGCTTGATTGCCAAAGGTAGGACGGATGAACCGCAGCCTTCTCGGACGACTGGAATACTTCTCCAGAGTCTCTCGCATCACCTCCCCGTCCTCTAACTTCAAAGCGTCAATGAGCATAGTGAGTCGATTCCTAAAGGTTACCAATGATTCCAATGGAATGCCAATGACATTTCGATGGAGATCTGTGACCTGGGAAATGTGCAAGCGGTTGCCATAGGGGGTGTTGCGTATGTCAAAGAAGAATCTGCGCTCACCAGATGGACTGTATAAAAAATTGAGTTGTGGAGGTTGGTCCAGATGCTGGTATCGAACACAGATATCACCTAAAATAAATACAAAACATGTTGTTACAATGACGACTGATGTCGAATGAAAGCTCACCACGCTGATAGCCTGGACAAACTCAATCATAGATTACTCTTTTAAATTAACGAAAATGCTTTGAATACTCCTAACATAAAATCAGAACGTTTAGAAAATGATAATGTTAATTGTCTCATGAAAATAACTTTAGATCGATCAAAAAATTCTAAAACGAAAACTGAGTGACTTGAAATAAGGCTATAACGAAGCAGAGATGGCAATCAGTGCCATTCTGGCAAGAGTGAGAATTCCTCCTTTAAATCTCGTGAACAAGGCATTCACTAAAAAATATTTTCGCGCTTCAGTGAAAGCCCAGAAGACCCGCCTACATAAGGAAGAAATACGCAAAGCTTAAGCTTTACACAGGCATCGCCCCAAGCAATTGAATTTGATCAATGAAACTGCATTTCAACACAAGGCAGAGGCTTCCCCTAATCAGTTGCCCAGACGCATCGAGACAGTGCCAGACACAGCACAAGTCGAATTCAGGGGCGCCCTTTTAACACCTATGCGGCACCTAGACCTCCGCCGATACTCCTTTCACCTTCTGGGTTACGCGTCATGCATGTGCAGAAGCATGATGCAAACTGACAGGGCCCGAATCGTCTCAGTCGTTTTCTTTTACGTTTCATATCGTATTCAATGTTAAGTACGTTTTTTATGGTAGGAATTAACACAATATAGAAGAATGACAGTTTGAAAGACATCTAATGTAATCCAACCAAAAGAAGGCTAGGATCCCTTTGTGAATGCAAAAGAGGGATAGAACGTGCAAGGAAGACTAAAAAGGAAAATTTGAATTTCTTAATTAGTAATTGACACTTATGGGAAACATTAAAAGGAGGCCAGCGGTTATTGATCATTCACTGCAAACCCTAAAAAAAGCAGATATGCAGAGGCATCGATTTTCGTGAAATTAATAACTGTAATTATTTATCAAATACTAATTATTACGAACTCTATAAAAGCACTTGCGGACTGGAAAATTACCCATCCCCAAAACACTATCTAGATAGAGTGATCAAAATCAAACGATAATTTAGTAAATATTCGTTTTGTGAAAGCTCTACCTTACGAGAACAAACTAAAAGTGAAAAACGAAAAAGGGGTGAAAGCATTAGAAAGTGACAGCTTACTCAGAAATGTAATTAAGTTTGGAAGAAGAATCTCATAAAGTTCCAAATACACAGTCCTCATGTGCATAGGTAAGGTATGAGGACCGTTTGCTGATTTATCTTCAGGTTTATTGAGGGGCCCTGATTGTATCCATCGCCTAACTTTCCCAAACTCCGATTCTCTTCCCGATTTGCTTTCTCCCAATGTAGGTTGTTCCGTAAGAATTGTAAGAGAACAATTAGTAGCTTCGTCAATAAACGCCACTGACCTGAGATGAGAAAGATCGAAGGCGCAGTTTTCGTCATCATTTTGATCTGAACCCTGTGTTGTATGAGCTTCTCCTGAACTATCGAGTTCATCTTGTCTCAGCTGTGCACAATGAAGCAAGTGATTGTACAAATCCGCGCACATGGAGATGGGAAACGTTACAGCTTCTTCACGTGTAAAACGCGATCTCAAAACCACCCATGGCGCTAGATCTGGATCACCATGTTCTAGTCCATCATATTGGACTCTTATTTGAGAGTTCGGTGCGTAACTCCTTTTCAAAGGTGATTGAATGACACCCATAACATAACCAACGGTTTTGGTTTCTGACACCTTATTCACCACTAGCTCTCTCATTAACATCCTTCTTTGGATTCCTCGTAAATGAATTCCTTGCTTATTGGGGCTGCCGTAAGGTGCACAATTGTAATTCAGTTGTCCATGTTGGTGACTCATGTCGTTGTTGAAGGGAGCCACGTGAAGCTATAACCACACTGACAATCCGGCTCTGAAAATAGCGAGGTCGCCTAAAAAACTAAGCTCCCTGACATTTCATTGGCTTGCATGAGAACGCATCAACCGACCGCACCAATAGAATACGTGCGCGCTCGATACCAAACCAGTACCTGAACGAATGAAGGTTACGGCAACCTATAAACATATCATTTAATGATTCAATATGAATTTTTTAATTGGCATGGGAATGTTCCATATATTTACTTTAAAATGAAGGGAACAAGTTAAAGTGGTAGTTTTGAGTCTCGTTTCAGATTTGTCAAATTTTCAATTTTATCCCCCCCCCAAAAAAAAACAAACCATTATATTACGAGAAGCAGGTGGATCGAACTAAAATTATCGTATTTATTTCAGGTAAAAAAGTCATCTCAAATGTTTTGGTTTTAATTATATCTTATTCAAAATTTACACCAGGTGTTTTAATGAGCAGCTTTTGTGCGGCGATCCGATGCGCGGGTAACTCAAGCACCGCGAGTTGTCTCTATTCCATAGCATGGCCTGGAGACCATGCCAATAGTCCTCCCTCTCATACATCTGTAGTATGTGATTTTCCACAGTACTTCGCATCATTGCGGCCCCAGGGAAGACCTGATGCACTACAGTTAACTACGGGAGGGAACCTTGACATTAACGCACCATAATGCTATAACTATTTAACGTCCAAAATCCTACTCGCTTCAAAATGAAATGGAATTCTTCACCCTGACTTCAACTGATGAAAGTGAGCAAGTAAGCCACAGATGGAGTATGCTTCAGTGACCAACAGGGCTTGCTAGTCCATGGACTTACTTATTATATGACAACTCTAGTCAGCGGAATAATTCATACACCGAATTACCGTACGTGAGATAGTTCATGCGCAGCATTAATGTAGGAGCTGGACAATAAGCACTTCTGCAAATGATACGCACATCCCCTCGAGCTATCGACGTCTTTCAACAAACCCATCTACTTGAATTGGTGCCGTAAGTTTGATGCATAACAAATGCATAATGGCGACGTAAGTGGACCAAGTAACGAAGCACAATTGAACCGCAGCAGCGGTGATTCACAATCGAATCGTCGCAAACGGCAACACATCTTCCTCCGACGACAACCTATTCATTGATTCAGTTTAGATGTTTGATACCACTTCGCAGGATTATGAGAATACCAAGCCTTACAAGTAGCCAAAACAACGAGCCCATTAAAGGCATTCCGAGGAAGCCATTTAGAGTAATGTGGAAATCAAACAATGTCACATGCGACAACCTCCAAAAGAAAAAAAAACATTTATGAGAGCGTCTGCGTACTTCCGAACCTATTACTGATAGTGTCTAAGGCAACAATACGGTCGAAAAATCCCTCAACCACATTTACCGTGAAAGTCCTTACAACAGTCGAGGCGTTCCCCGATTGCTACCCACCATCCCAACATGTCTCGGTGTCTCACATCAAATTAGTAGCCTCTGTAGCATTACGCATACCAAAATGAGCAGTATTGTGCAGAAGGTGGTAGGCAAAAGAACGTTAAACGTTTGGTCTTAGCTGGGTAGTGTCTCAAGAAATAAGAAAATAAAATTATCAATTTGCCTTAGTGGTCAATAAACTGGGGAACCAGTAGGAACGTCCAGTGTTATCACTTTCATCCACCCATGCCATCCCCTCTTGCATGAGGTACTCCAAAGCTGCGTGTGCACGTTCATGTGTCCACCCTAACCTAAAAGACAAAGTAGACACACTGCTTAATCGGAACTTTGCAAATACGGAAAGCGTCCAAGTACAATAAAATAAAATCGTAAGGACTACAATGACCCAGAAAGGCGTGGGCTCAGAGAATGGAAGCACTATAACGGCACCGCAAGAGAGTTTCCGCGATTAACTACATTGGATAAAACATCTCCACCCACTTTCGTGTGAGGTCAATAGCCTACGCAAATTATCCCAAGACAAGACAGATACGTAAACAGGTAACCGTGTGCCGGATTGAAAGTATAAACCATGCATCTAGACAACAGTTGCAAAAAACCGATTAACGAGTTTTGGAAAGCAATGGGGCTTAGAGTCTTACTTTTTCACACATTGCTGTACATTAATATGAGCTGCGTGGGATTCAGCCAGTTTTAAAACTTCCGTCTGATCCATGCTCAGTTCGCCTGGAACCGACTGAACTAGTTGACGCGAATCAGAAATTCTGATTAATTTGAAACCATTGCCTAAACACTGGAGCTTTTTGATGGCTCTTATAACATCGTCTTGGCAAATGTCAGATTCATGGGAGCTCTTTGTTTTATTTAGTTCGAGAATGAGTTCTTCAAGAGGCATCAAACCAGCAGTTTTCCGTTGGTTTGCCATGCAAATCTACAAGTAAATAGAAAACGAGTAGCAGTACATTCAAAGCAAGGAAGATTTTATGAGACTTGGGCTGGTGCTAGCTATAACAGCAACGGTTTATCGCTGTGAAATATTGTGTATCAGATAGACATAGCCAGAAAATAGCAAAAAAGAACTCAGCAGGGAGCACAAAATTTACTCGCCACGTATAATATCGACAGATACTAGGCAAATTAAGTAACTAGTGTAACTAGTACTCTATTGAACAAGACCAATTCAAAGAAAGACCTGTACTACCAAATCTTGTTAAAAAATATGCAGAAGCTACATTAACGAAAAATACTATACCAGGAGCGGTTAGCAGCTGGTGCAATGCCCTTGAAGTAGTTCAACGGGATAATCCTTCTCCTATTACAAAATAATGAAGTCAGCGCCTACTATATACACTCGAAATGACACATATGAGAGCAAAAACGTGGGAACCACCTAAGACACTGTACCTCAATTATACGGACAGCAAGATGGTAGTAGAAATCGCCGATGCCCAAAATCTTCGACCAGTAACCATCACTGGACGCAAGAGGATCAACACCAATATTAGCGCACATGGACTGGAATTCCGTCCGAAAAGCATGGTCTTGCCGTATTCTTGATTGGTACTTCGACGCGAAATATTCTAAGGACGATTTAACCGTTTCTAATTGGCGGTGAAGGTTCGCTGCAGCGTCTTCAGCCATTTGTTTACGCTTTTCCTCATATCTAATCTGCATTTGGGCGCGCTCTTTTATTCCGGCAATACCGGCCCGCCTATACATAGCTAGTAGCCGCTAAGATTCAAAGTGCGCAGTACGTCTATGGCTTGGATAAAAGTGTCAGCAAATTAGGGGAGGTTAAAAAATACTAAACGATTATAAAGTTAAACAATGTTTACTTTAGCAGCAGTTGTTTAGATTTTAAAATGCGAAAAAGTAAAGTGTTTTTATTTTGAAATCCCTACAAAATTTAAGTATTTAGAGGAACCAAATTATATTTAGTTGTAAATTCATACATAATAAAGAAAAACAATTTTTTAAAAACAACTGTTGTGAAACATTGTTAAGCTCTGTTGGGCTCCAAAATTAAGACAAACGACAAATTATGTTGCAAATATATACTAATATAGGGTCTCGAGGCTTACTTAAAGACAAATGTAGGTATAATGTTCTTAGAAAAGTGTACATTTTTATCATGCACTAAAACTTGGGGCTGCTGGTATGGTCCAGAGGCCGACCCACTCGGCGAATCTACAATGCCTGAAATCCGAATTGGCTCTCTTCTAAACCTAGAGTTAAACAAATAACCAGTGTGTAGCGCCTCTAGACTTCCAATATGGTGAAATGTTATTTAATACCTGGGCGGAATATACAGGTTTAACATAGAGCAGGGCTCGGGACTACTGGTATCGCTCAGAGGCCAGCCCATCAGGTGACTGTGCATTGGCTAAGACACAAATTGGCCCTCTGCCAAAATCAAGAGTTAAACGATCAACAAACTTACCTGTGAAGGAAATAAACTTTGATTCTCTTTAGGCCCTAATAATCTGAAGAAACCCATTTTACTGCTCAAATAAAGATATCATCGCTTGCACACTTTTACTATCCCAAAGGTACGAAATCCTCTAAGTAGACTCAGAGTCCACACCAGTTACCTCTGAAATAAATATAAAAGAACAGTCCATATACCTTTTTGTTGTTACAAATGCGGCAAATGCGCACCAGCTATTTAATGTTTCCTTGAAGTAATCGAAAGATCATCTTTGCCATCGCCTCTACCTTGTTCATGTGGTGAAAACCTTAGCTTATTCATTGCCTTTATAGATATGCACATTTATAGCTTATTATCAACAATCACGCAACAAAATTTGAACAGGGTATGTGTTTTTAACGCTCGTCTATTGGAACCCATAGCAAATGAATTTCCCATTCCAGAGGCCATGCTGCCCAGCAGAAGCATAAAGGTAGGGTCTTAAGTGACCGTAAAGCCAAAACGAAGAGTCAAATGAATAGTCGGCGCATCACACCCTAAACCTAAAATGTGGATTTTAATTTTCAGTTATATTGTCAAATTTAATAAAACGAACGGCGTCTGGATGTTTATAACTTCGATTTTAACGTGTCTGAATAAACTTGAAATAAAATATATCAATGTCTAAATAAAGGGGAAGACCATGCATTTCGGACCCCTGATTTTCTCTTCAATGCATTCAAGTGTTTGCGGTTATCGTACTACATAAACTATGTTCCACATGCTTTGAAGATCTCTGTAAAATTATTTTACAAATACCTCAACGAGAAGCGAAAGTAACTTAAATGCTGTATCTAACGCAATATTTTGGTGCGCGTAAAAGAAAGTGTGTACAACGTTTTCTGCATTACTAACAGCTCGTATGATTTATTCGTCCTTCTTTTATTTGCAAATTTATTTGCACTTTTACGAGTTCTAAGTGGTAATAACTTCAGATTTCATCTCCAACATATTATTAAATCCAATTTTATATCGAAATTAACTACTTTCCTATCCAAAACACTCAAGGCTAGTTACTTAATTAACGCAGTGCAGTCTAAATAAAATTTAAGTGATACAAATTTGCCCTTCGTGTTCACCTTTGAAATGACATGGTGCAATCGAATGGGAGTGCCCACAGCTGATCATTGGTGCATCTCCCTGTTTGGCGGAATTATTGTCGGCTTACTGCACTTCGATTTGCACAAATTATTTTGTTTCTAGCTCTATGTCTTATGTGAAATATTAATAAGTTGGTTTGTCAGAATCACGTTATCTTTCAAAAATTCGTGCCAATGATAGTGTGCTTAGTGAACCTAAGATTTCACGGAAAAGGTCTGGGCCTTATTCCCTAGTAGGTTATTACGGAATTTGAGATTGCGAGCCCTCATTACTGTGACACTGTAGCTAGTTGTTACCACTCCTTCGCACCGGCTCTTCGTGAGGATGCAGGCGTAGTCTGCTCATTTGGTTCGTCACTTAAACATTGGAGAGGAGTAGCACTACTAGGCAGCAGTATTATAGTCCTGCTCGGATCCATTAAGAAACTATAGGATTAGTCACATAGCAAACGTCATTTTTGTGTCCGGCATTAAAAAATGAATATATAAGTAAGTTATGTATAATACTATTATTTATCACAGTAGTGACTCTAGTCTATTTTTCCCCAGTTAATTATATGGATCCTGGAAAACTGTTTTTGTACGAAATTCAATAAGAGTTATTTTAGAGTTAAAAACTGTTATGGCTTATGATAGCTGGAAATAGGTATCCGGTTAAACTCTTGGCCACTGTTTGGTAGATTATGCACGAATTTTGAGTCAATCCAGTGGTAATAGCATGTTTGAAATATCCGATGGGATAGTACGAAAAAGAGTTATCAGTAACAATAATAAATTTCCAACATAAATTTTTCCGGATATAAATATGATTTGTATGATAGAAGATAAGCTGTGCTTCAAAGCAGCCCTCATATATTTTTCTCCAATAGAAGGCACGATTAACTTACAAACAAATTCAACTACTTAAATATGCAATGCGCTGCCTGTAAGTTTTGTAGATACCCATCAAATGGCTTTGGTCAAACTTATTCATCACTAACAGCTTTAAGCTGATTGTGTGACGAAAGTCTGTTATGCCATAATTAAAGGGCCTGAACGATTAAATTGGCGTTATTTGAACTTAGAAACTTCAATCAAAATATTTTTGGCCACTGGGATGTACATCACATGAGCGTGAATCAGCTAGACTTACGAAATAGTGGACATTTGTTTGCTTTATTTTCCAAGCAACCCAAACTTTGGTTGTAAACACATTTTGTCTCTTCGTGACCCAGGTATCATAAATACCAGAAGCGATCGGTCTACACTCACCGCCTGGGTGAGCGAACGCAACCGATCCTCAAGGAGGAGACCAAAAACTTTTATAATCTGCCTTCCTCCAGTTGGTCTTCCTGGTGCAAATGTCTGGCGCCGGAGGTAGAGAATAGCAATGTAAATGCTACAACTGATTTACCTTTAAACCCCCATTTTTTGACGGAAAAGTTTAGATGATGGGTTTTGAGTAAAAGTATTTTTCCGTTTTTTTTAGTTTTTTTTCCGTGGAAACTAATTAATATACTTAGTAGAATTGACGAAATAGTAGATGATGGTCGAATTTTAATGTACGTAAAGTTTCCGGTGATTCCGCACTCAATGACATTGAATGCTTCACAGGTCAGGTGCGGTTAAAATTCCCAACCATTGAATCCTGCTACGAACACATTTGTATACATGTTTTAGTCCATCTGTTCCACAAGTGGAAAAATATGAATTGAAACCAGCTCAAACCTGGAGGTTTTTGTGAGTTAAAAATTTTGTGTGGTATAGCAATCACAGGGAACAGGTTTCCTTCTCTTATTGATGCAAAGGATGGAAAACTTTTCCATTCCACTTCGAGCCACTTTTTGTCCAAACGCACTAGTAAAATTGCACATTACTTTTGCTTGCAATATATTCACAGAATTGGTCTAAACTAGTAAAAGAAGTGCAGATAATGTGTGGTGGCGCAGCAAAGTGGTGGCGTGACAGCAATTTCGCCAATTTAAGTCAAAAATGGTTTAAATGATCACAATACCAGTAGACAGTGATAAGTAACTCGAGGAGTGCCTTCATTTCTGTGACCAAATTCGTGGCACATGATTGTTCTGCTTGAGCATATTAGCCGCCTGATCGAGGCTCGTTTATTAGCTAGATTACTAAGTTATTTAGAATTCCACAGGTTACTATTAGGCATCATTTCCTTACTATTTCTCCAAAATGTCCTATTTTTACATTCTTTTAAAAAATTTGCCCAAGTTTTAGAATTATTTTTGCTTGAGGAAAGATGTTTCCGACAGTGTTTTCAAAGTAAACTGCTACCACGTTTCAACGAGTCACGTTGAAGTCCGCGTTAAATCTATGGTAGAGGTTTGGTGATTAGTCATACCTAGTACTTATAATCGACTTCTAATACTCCACAACTTACTTCTTCTTACCATAAATAAAAACGAACCATTACTAAAATCTGCAGTGATAAATCTTTAGGCATGGGAAGAAAGCGCCCACTCAACCTGCGAGCAACTGCACTTTAAAGGCCTAATTCAGAAAACAAATTTTTTTGAGAAACCCTTAAAATAAAAGGCATTTCTGAATGCATAAATAAAAATTACTTCAAAACAAATTTTAAATTAGACCTAAGATGTATTAGGCAAATAAATGTATTTCCGTTACAAACACCAGCATTCAGTTTTACTTTCAGCCACAACTACAAAGCTGTTATTATTTTTATTTACTGAGTTATCTGACACAATATACCCTCAGATTTAGCGTGTAATGAAGGGCTAACACCTTGGACACACACGTTTTGCGTTAATCAAATGTTTTAGTGAATCGAGTTATGTAAATCATTTCTGGAGTACTTTGCCTCAATGGAATAACCGCATACTGGAAATATTGTAGTTAAATTTTCATGTCTCCAACTTGGAGCCGCCTGTGTCAGCAGTTTACTGTATTTGCCTTTATTAGCGATAAGTAAGGGGAGAAGCAGAAATGGCAAAAAGTGTGCACTAAGTGGGCAGCAGAACCAGGTTATCGCATTGTCATAGAGTTTTCTACATTGCATAGATATGAGAATAAAAGCCCAAAAAAGGGTATAAATTACCGGACATGAAAGCGTCTGCTCTTTCCAAATAACCTATTCCATGTTTTTGCCTAGCAACCTGTGTTTCTTTTACTTAGCTTGCATGCATTGCTTAGTTTGTTCGTTAATGTTTCTACTTGCATTCCAAGAACATATTCCTTAGTCTTATCCAATACCTACGCTAAAACAATGCAGTAGAAAATAGTACCAATCGAGCGTTCATAATACCTTGGATACAGTATAAATGATATAGTTCTGAAACAAGTTTTCCGGGAGAATTTGATTAGCACCACGTCTATTATCATGGAATGCGTTGCGACACGAAATTCTAGACATTGATGAAACTTTTGCTAAATTTTAAAATGAAGTTTAGCAGTGGATAAGCATTAGTCGATTTCAAATAAAATTGACAGGTGTGTTTAATTGTGTCTGCATACAGACGCAACTTTTGGATGCGTTTTTTATCTAATCAGACCACATGTGGGTGAAATATGGATTTATATCCCTTTGATCTACTAACTACTAAAGAATTGGTGATCCATTCATGCTCTAAGCATTCTCCAGCACGCATTTTCGATTGCGCTGCAGCAGAACTATTCTATTGAACTGGCAAGTAGACTAATGCTGGGGCTGATGGCGGTTGTTACGCCAGAGCGAAACGCAAATGCACATCAGTAAAAGCCACATTGGCCACGGACACGAGCCTAGACGAGAGGGCAATGCGATGCTTATGTGTGTGCTCCTTCTATCATGATGACGTTAATAGGGGGCGGTTGAAGATTAAATTGTCGTCATGGTAGCCAAACAAAAAACACATTTAACGTTTTGGCTACGCCCAAAATAATAATGGCAATAACAGGATCCACAAAATTAGCTGTTATCAGGGTCCATTGGAATTTGGTCATTCTATGTTAACGTAACACCAGATGAAAGTCGCATGTGTGACTCTCGATATATTGTTCTAATATATAAGCATGACAAAATGACGGTGATGACAAAACATTTTACCTAAAACATGTATTTGAGATGAAACAAATGTTTCATTACTCACAATATCTGGAGTACAGCACCTGTAACTTCTGGGTCTTCGATAAGCATCATAGACAATTGCATTAAAAGTTGTCAAGTTTTTTGAAGAGATTGTCGAAAATGAGCATCAACGTCTCTACGTATGATCAAGTAAGACGAAAAAGTGGTTTTCTTTCTTTTGACAGGCATAATGAGCGATCTTTGAAGAGGATTTGGAACAAATCTTGTGCATGTTAGCATTTGCAAAGTTAAGTGTAATTTGTGAATGCGTATACCTTCCCACTATTCATAACCCAAATTTTATTTGTAAACAGAAGTAGGGAAATTTACTGCTTTGAACTTTAGCAAGTGAATCCCTCTTTTGGAAAGTGTCGTATAAGTTAGTTTGAAATGACCGTGGCTCACTGTTATTTATTGCTGGTAGGAATTTTTACGATGCTTAAACCAATCCGTAATGCCGGAAATCTAAGTCAACTTTAGATGGATGATGTAAAGGAGGAGTGGTGATGGATCCTACGTTGACCCTAGTAGAAATTATGGGCATAGCATGATTTTCCGCAAATGGAGGATACAAACGGAAATTACGCAAGCACCTCACCAACTCTGCAGTGTTATGCAATCAGGCCGCCACGTGCGCACTTGAGCTCTCGCGCGTGAGCACAGGCCAAGTCGATCGACTCTCAACGCAGTGGCGCTCCCGCCCAATCACCAAGAGTGAGGGACACGCACATACGCACGCAACCGCTTCTCTGTGGTTTCGCTTGCCAGTTTAGTGCGCGTGTTTGGGCGTTCACTTTAGCGCACCTACAAACGCGCGCACGCTCCTCCACTGGGTGTGCACACGTCGTGCCCACGTCTGCTTCATCACGTCTCGTACGTCTGTTCAACAAACCCGGTCGTTCATTCTCTGATGTAGGAAGTCTTTCTGATGCCATCAATAAGGTAATTGCGCAGCGTTTCCATATCAAGCGGATGAGTGGCTTATATGAGATGGACGAGGCTGTGAGCCACTGATGACTAAAGAGTCCATCGACAGCGGCCTATCCAGTGAGCAGTCTCAGACATCCACATCCAACTGCCCTCCACAACAATCACTACTGTCGCTTCGCCAGTACCCCTTAACTGCACAAGCTTCGCGACACTCTCAGTTGTTATCGCCCTCTGCCGAACGGAATCGCACGCAGCTGTATGCCGTCGTGAACCCAAAAGACTATCGAATGTCCACAGGTGGTGGAATAAATCCTAATAACAACAATGGCCAGAATACTCCATCAAGCACTACTGCTGTCGCTACAACACTTTTCCCGCGTTGCCCATCTCAGATACAGCAAGCACCTCCGAGGGTGCATTTCAGGGATACAAAAGGACGACCACGATTCCGCCATCCATCGGAATCCACCAGTGTACGAGCGCCACCACCCTTTGTTAGAAGTTTCTCTTCGAAGGCCTTCGAAATTTCCGATGGTTTGCCTCCTCCTCCTTCTGTACCGCGTCCTTCGAGCCCCCAACACGAGCTTGCTTACCGCCACCGTGATACACTGTTGGATAAAGGAATACAGTGCGAGCCAGAGGCAGGAATTACTCAACAAACGAAAACCCACTCAAATCCCCTTTTATCGGCACTACTGGCAGCAGCTAATGCTACGGTTAATTGCCCTTTGGGATCGTCAGAATTGGATCCTGCCCTTCGAAGGAAGCCACAATTTCGAGCCGGGACTCTTCCCTACTGGTCGGACTCTGAGGTTAATGCCTACGATTCCCTGGATGCATTCAACGCTGCTCCTCAAAATTGCCTTGGTATGGTTGGCGGAAGTAAAGCGTATCCGTCAGCCAGCGTTGTTGCAGCGGCCGCCACAGCAGCTGCAATGGCCTTGGCAGCTGTACAGTCCACCTCCAGAGGACCTACGGCGAAGTCACTGGAACCGCCCATGGGTACCCCTATGTCAAGAGCCAGCCTTCATTTGGAGGATTTGACTTCGGAAGCGGCCATTATGCGGAGCTTGACGGGCCAATTTGCAGACACCTCCCTGTACCCACGTTTCCCCACAAGTGTTGATCAAAGAAAATCTGTAAATTTCGATGCAACCTCTCTACAGAAACCGGATATTTATGGCAACGCCGGCGTAGATATAACACATTTTACTTCACAAGCACCTCCATCTACTTCCTTATTGGATACAAATAATCAGAGAGTAAATATTGGACCTCACTATTGTAAGTTTGTAGCCAGAATGTGGAATGATATCATTATTGCTTATCCTAAAAGCTTTTTGATTTGTAACTGTTCCTTATGTGCACTTCAGGATTTCCGAGACTATTAAGACGGATAATTTGAGATTGATTTTAAAATTTGGGGCAATAAATGCATACATTCATATTTTAAATAACTCCCGTCGGCAAGATTATGATAAAGATTAGTTTTATGAAGCCACAAATTACGTGAATTGAAACGGTAAGGAGAGTACTATCCTACGGTGCCATTTATGCAAGCTAATAGAACAAACAAGTATCGACTTAAGTGAGTGTTCTTTAGGATTGACAGAAGAAATGTTGCACTTTGTATTACCGGAGAATAATATAGGATGGCAAGTAAAAAAGGCTCACCTTTCATCTGTGGTGAATATTTTATAACAAATTCACCGATTTAAACGCCTAATTCCAAGTATACCACTAACTCTCTTCCTGTTGGTGTTTTTGAATCAATAGATTTTAAATTCCTTTCTTTCTAACCCTTAGAGGTTTTCCTTTAGTTTATTTTTATAAACAGGATGCCTTAGCAATCGCGGCCGAGCTACTTGATTTAAATATCCCCCTATCTCCCTCTCATTGCACATTCAAGTGTGGCTGTCGAATGAAGTAATCAAACATACGTTAAGTAGATGAGGCTTCCTTGTCTGTCACTGATCGTTATTAATCATATGAAGACTTATCCCGTTATAGACCCTTTTTGAGGCTGAAGACACCGACTTTCTACGTAAAAGTTGAAATATTTGGTTGTTTTATTTGAACTCTGAAAATAATGAGGACACAAAGTTTACTACTAATGTTATTACATACTTAACGTGTTGCAGTAATTTAGTCTCATCTGTCCATAAAAAAAGTAATGGGGATTAGCATGGGGTTCAATTTAACATGTTTACAAGGTAATTTGTAATAAAAGTTTCGTTTGAAAATAGGACCTCCGTGAGTCTTTTCGGTCCCACAGCCTTACAACTTCCCTCAAATTGCTAACTATGTGCTTATCGTCTTTTTGCAACTCGCCATTCAGTGTATCTGCAAACAAGCAATTCGCTAGAATGTCTACCTCAAATTACTTGCTAAGCATTTGGATTAGCCTTTTCTGTGGAAGACAAAACTCATCGAAGAGTGTCAGTAGAAATATCGCCTCCGAATTATGGCAAGCTGTGTGAGATGTCCTCTGAGGGCGTAGTAGATTGATTTGACGCCTCGTTATGTAAACTCCATACTCAAGTGTCTTTTCGTGACTTTAATAAATTTCTTGTGAGATACATTTTAATGGATTTATTTGCGCATTGGAAAGTGAAGGTTGATTTCCTCGCTATCTCTTTTGCATTACGATCCATGCACTCCGAAGTCTTAACAAAACGAAAAACAAAGTGATTTAGAGTCGTTTAAGGCCAAATCTTTATTTATAACTGCCAAAACTGGCATGGGGATTTACCAACAATAGAGTAACAATGAGTTTCTCTAAAATTTATATCTCTTATTTGTACCGCATTCCCGAAAGTGCCAGAGGTAGGCGTGCATCACTTAAATGGCGCAGTGCGCTAAATTTTATTCATAATCAGAAGCTGATTTTATCTTGTTGCTTAACCGTGACAGTCGTGGAAACGGCACAAAACCATGGTTAGTAAAGTGCAGTCCATTTAGGCTCTGCGGAAAAAGACATTGAACACGGCATACGACTTCACCTATAACGTTGGAAGAATCGTTAAAAAGGCATCTGCAGAATAAGTGTTAGAAACTTCACAGTATAAATGAACTTTCAAATGCTTATAAATGTTGTTGAAGATGGAAATTAATGCATTCTCTTGCTGCAGTGAAATGCTAGGCATGTGGTCTCGGCAATAGACGATTCCAGTGTTAAGCACCTTCTAGTAAACACTGGCAAAGACATAAGACAAGCCGATCTTTGCCAAGATGAACGGCGAAGGAGCACCAGTTTTGCTCTAGAAACCGCAGGTCAAGGTGGTATTCGGTTAAACGTTTTTTTGCTAACAAATCCACTAGCGTTTTTACGATATTATTTACTGACTAAGGGTGTATTTGCTTACCAGTTAATGACTCAAGTATGCATTACCACAGTTCTAATATTCTGATCTCCAAATTACTTAGAAATTGGGCCTTTTCATCTGTTTTAGTACATCAATATTACACCTATTTAGGAAAAAAACGCGCAAATTACACGTTGTTTTATGATTTTTTGATTTACCACTAACTAAACTTATCCCCTTGTTGTAGGATTCTACTTGAAATGGCATTAGAAATTACATGCCGCTCTTGGAAAGTGTTTACTTTCCGCTAATTGTATCCAATCGACATTTCATGGCAACTTTAAATTTTATTTGCCAAATTATCATCCATAGATGTAAATGTTACTGCTACCACCATTAGCTTCGCAATAGTGTCTAGTAATTTTCGTTGAGTCGTACATTTGTGATACAGCAAGTTCTAGATAACACTTTAAATTACTGCAGAATCACTGATGTCACACTCAAACGTCTAAGAATTTGTGTTTCATTAAACATGCTTAATGAAAATCTCATATCATAATCCCTAAAATAACTTTGGGACAGGAGATCAAGAGGAGGGTTTTTAAAGGCTTGCCACGTATGCGAAAACATCGCGCTCTCTCTGTGGAATCCTTTTATGATGCTTACGGGAAAGTGGAACATTGACTGCACTTAACTTTAAATTTTAGGATTTCAAACAAGGCAAATATTTGACACCGCCATTACTTGTGATAGGTTTTTAGCTGTAATGCCAAAAATGGTGTGAATATCTTGTCATTTTTTACTTCCGGGCTTAGGGTGGAAATTGCCATTAGAATTCCGAAATCCTTAATACTTCATCTCCTAGTAACCCATGCAGTTTGTGTGGGAAACAGGCATTTTAGAATAATTTTATGCGTTTAACGGAGGTGGGGGTAATCATAATAATTTTACGCCCTAACAGTTGGACCTATCAATTAATGCTAGCTTTCGTCAGGATTCAATGGTGAATATATAAAGTCGTATAATTACCCTCTTTACATGACATGAGATGGTGGTGTGCGATTCCAAGGTTGGCTGGGTAAAAAGATAAACGACAGTGATATCTCACCCCCAGTACTCAGCGAGATCAGAGTTTCCGTAGTCTAAATTTATCTGCGATAGTCACCTTTATTTTATCCAATCCGAATTTTAGGCACAAATGTATTTGTTTTAACTGGCTGAAAAATCCCATCTTAAGATTTGCTTCATGCGTTTTTAATATATAATAACACAAAGTATTGCAGAAAAAGCAAAATATTAGACATATTTAAGAATCGAAGTCTCTGGGTTTGTAGACTTAGCTTTTGCCTTCAATATTCAATTTTGAGGTACTTCTGCCATGCTTCATTTGAGTCGCAACTGCAAGTACTTTTGTGAGCATTCTGTAGAAATAGCATTATTGTAATCCCCAAGAGGCCAACTCACACCCTCTGTAGGCTTTGGAAAATCTTGGCTTGCCGCCGTTTTTTACGTGCTTAGTTTTATGTGTCAAGCCATTAAAACTACAATAGTATTACGCTGTCTCAGAAATGTGCTTATATTCACAACTTCTAAATTTGTTATATGAGTATTGTTCCATCGTTTCTACAATGACATTAGTACTTTTTTCTCGAACCTGATGTGGGCCTTCTCATCATATTAAATCCACCTTCACAAGTGGTTCAGCGACTTCATCAGTGGTGTTCTTTTTGATTGCTATTATTGGCTTATGCTCAGTAGGATGATTTTGAATGACGCATAAAAGAAACTGTCCAAATTAAGCCGTTAATTAGCACAAAAGCAAGCTCTGTAAATAGAATCAAAACCTTAACGTTACTTCCATTTTAATACTCACCAGATCAGTCAGAGCCTCTACAATCTAACCTCATGTTCTTTACTGTCGGCGGCAAGAAAGTCTGGAAGTATACTTGCGTCAATTTGAAACTGAGGAACCCAGTGATGTTAAGATTAGTCTTATGCTACTGCTGCAACCATTACTACTTCATCTTGAGGTGCATCCCTTAAGGCAGCGACGCCAACGGCGGCTTAAGAAGCGCGCACGGGAAAGCAATTGAGTGGATGACGGTGTGTGTGTGTGTGTCTGTGTGTGAATTAACTTTATGCCATTAGGTCCATGCTGCAGGCGCGCTCACTTGCCGGCTCACACAAGCGCAGAGGCAGTAGAACCCCACCTCAAAGGCGTTTAGTCCCACTGCCTTTGAATTGCCTTTTTAGTTAAAGTTGCCGATGTTCATACCATTGCTTTGGCAAAATTGAATCTTAAAATGCCGACGAAAACTATAGACTGCAACTTGAATCTCATAAAATCAGCCTTCAGACGGCAACTTGACGCTAATCTGATCGTGCGCATTTCTATTTTGCTACTACATTCTATTTGCAACTTTTCAGATTACTCCTGGCCTTATTGATCAGATTGTTTTACCAACTTGTACAAAATGCCATAAAAAGAGAAAATTAACTACAAATATTTGTTTTTATATAAATACTTGGAATGTTAGCAGCTCAATACACCAAATCACTTCTCACCTGTTCATTGTATGCTTCCCATTTGATTAGGAGATACCGTTTTAAAATACGTGTGCTGCAGACGGAAATTTTAGAAGGTTATTTATTTTAACCATCAGTGTTCTCATTAACCCCACGAGTATTTCTTCGGCGTAAAATAACCAAATTCGGCAAATGGGCAAAAAGTGCGATATTACGGTACTTACACTTGAGCTCTGCCTGAATTTTGCATAAAAAGGGTTCTGTAAGGTTGATTTGACGTCTATGAAGAAGGCACAAGGCGTGGATTACGAGAGCATAAATATTAATGAAGCGTGTTTTTCTAACATGCAGCATGAAAACTGTCTCATGTGAGTTGAATTAGTTTAGCGACAATACGCGTTTTAAGTCATGTTGGTAAAAGCACACTCTCCCTGTGAGACTCATTGTTTTTTCATTTTTAGAAATAATAACATGGCAACATTTAAAAACTTTATCAAAATATAATATTGTAAAACAGATTTTAGCTTCTTGTATGTTTTCATTTTATTACTAAGTTCACGAAATCCCAATCGGACAAATGCGATACCCTCTGAGTGAGGAGGCCAACAAGATGCAACAGCCACATCTCCCCGATGCCCTTGCTGGAAGCAGTCAGGGGCGTTATCTGCCAGGCAGCAGTGGTGGGGTCGTCAGCTCGACTATCCCCCGATCTCAGCTTCCTTCCAACTTTAACTCCTCACAATTCAACCTGCTTTCTAGCGAACCGTATCCCAGTCCCAGTCAAACTCACTGCCCCTTCAACCCAAGCCAATCACCTTCACAGGAGATGTCATCTCCGCGCCACAGAATATGCCTCAATGTGGACGGTGGAGGCGGCGAATGTACCGGTAGCGCCGGTGGTGGAGGATTTCTTGTTGTCAATATAATCGCTGGCAGTGGCCTCAAAACCACTCAAATGCTTCTGCGCGACCTGTACTGTGTTCTAGAGACAGATTCTGTGCGCAAAGCACGATCAATGATCCGTACGAGTACGGATTACTTTGAATGGGATGAAGTTTTCGAGATGGAAATTGAGGAATCACGTTTTCTTTCTATCCTCATCTACCAATGGGACGCTCGCACTCGTCACAGGCTATGTTTCTATGGTGGTATTGATCTGACCTCCCTGACACAACCAAATCTCTCCACATTACCGAATCGAGAACAGAAGGAGGTGGACGAACCAGAAGACGAATGTCAACCGCTAACAAGTCCCTTAATTGCGCGATCAGGAATGCACTTTGAGAAGATTGCCCTTCAGTTGGAACCACGAGGAGTTCTCTATTTACAAATGGGCTTCCTCCCAATGATTGCACTGTACATGCGACGAAATCTATCAGCCGCCTATGACACATCCCTCTTTGGAGTGAGCCTGGACGAGCTCGTGTATAGAGACAGAATGCTCGCCAGTCTCGGTGTCATTTCCGACTCAGTTGTCCCCCTGCTGATAAGGAAGTGTGTCGAAGAGGTGGACAGGCGAGGCACTGAGGTGGTCGGAATATACAGGCTCTCGGGATCGGTGTGGATGAAACTACAGGTGCGCGATCTCTTCACTCGCACCGCGGAGAAGATTGCTCAAGGACTAGTAAAACGGAGCGAAAAGGCGGTGAGGGGGGCCCTTGCTGCCTTGGATCTCTCGGCTGATGCTGTTCCAGACATACATGCAATAACTGGTGAGTTGCATCTTCACGATAGATGAGAAATTGGTAGCAGATTTTAGTGAGTAGTTTTCAAGTACGTGTCTAAAATAGTCCGACAGCTTTGGGTGTATATATGGTGCCAGTAATAGAGATAGAAAATAACAAATCGCTTCGATTAAATGAAACTAGGTTCATATTACCTTACAAATTACACCTCCAAGTAGTTTTGTTTTCTATTTCCACCATCTATATTTAAGAAACATTTTTCTGATCCGTGTTACTCTAATTTCGGATTTCAGGGTTGCTCATTCATCTCAAAATAAATTTTTAAAAAAATTTAGTGCAATATTCAACATTTTCCATACCTTCCTTCAAGTAACATATAGGACCGGTGGGTTCCTCATCCTTCCGAATAAGGTGTATCCATTTTAAGCTAAATACCACAGTAACTCAAATCAGTTATTGCCACTCACAGATTGGCAGGTAAAAAACACCATAATAATCGGGTTCAAGTACAAAGGCATTCAGACTTCTTGAACATTGCCTAGTTTTCTCAGTTAGCAATTAATTTAAATTAGCAGATGCCCTTTAACAAAGTCTTTTTAGAACAATTGGAACATGTGTGCATGGTAACGACCCAAAACGGAAAACTTGATTTCCTTCAAATGGGTAAACTTTTGTAAATTAAATACCATCAAGGTAGGACAGACAAAACGATTAGTCTGAATAACGCATCTGGTAATGCAACAATTTTTTTTATTTTGTCCACGACTTTTCAATGTTTGACGTTGAAGTACTTAAAACTCGTAAATAAATTTCAATGTCATTTTCCTTTATAAAGTATTCCTTTCGCATCCTGAGCACTTCAGGTTTTTACTAAGTACAAAACAAAACGTTGCTCCTATGTTATCTTACGGCAAGATTTCCCTGTCGATTTTACATATGATAAGTCGGAACATTAGCTGTTTGTTGAACGAACAGGCACATCGTCCCGGTGTGCACAAAGTTAACACTCATTTCGAAGATTTTGAAATTCATGAAATAATTCCACTTCATAGCCTCATCCTTATATGAGGCTTGGTACGACACCCTTCTCTTATTTCGAGTAAGTTTTTTTATCTTCCCAACTTATATTTGCAAAATGATTTTTTATTGTCGGCTTTATGACATTGATGAATTTTTAAATTATCTTCATAAATATAGAGGGCGGAGTGTATATGCATAAAGGTAAATGGTTCCAAAATTAAGTAAAAATTTTTGAGACGTTAAGATGCTTTATTTACTTCCCTGTTTCGTCTTCACAGCTAGCAGTATATTCTACCATTAATAATATTCATACCGCCTCATAATGATTATAGTGCACGTGGAAAAGTAGCGTAAATAAAATATGTCTACATAAAAATGCAACCCAAGAGTTCCACTTAAGCGACTAGGGTTTTTGATGGAGGAAATGTTAAGCAACTCTTGTTACTTAAATACCGGAGTGAACGACTTAATGATAACCTCCGTTGCGATTTGCTCGAAGCCCGAGCGCTCCATTTACCACCGGTACAATAAATGCCCACGCAGATTAGATTTAATAATGCCTATGCTCTTCCCATCATTTCACCGTATGTAATACCATTTGACAGCGAACTTCGGAACTGGAGCATCTAGGCGATTGGTTTGACCTGATTGAAAGCACACCGTCCATTGATGTTTACTGCCACGCTCTGGTTGGTGGCTTACAATTTCTTCTCTCCTTAAAGGGAGTGGCAATACCCAACGGAGTTATTGTGAAAACAGTATTTAGTAATTCTTCTTGATTAAACATAGCATAAAACTATGTTCTCAAGCACCTTATTTGATGCTTACTATGTAATTACTTTTCAGATTTAACTTAAATCTTAGCTTCTGACAATTTCGAAGAATCGCACCCAAGTTGTTAACGCAAAAGCACATTTGTCGTTTCGATTCTAAGGTAGCCGTTAAACGTGAAAGTGCAATTCCGTTTCTTTTTATGATGTGAGGGGGGGGGGAGACTCAGACCTTCCAAAAGACCTTATTTTTACGACTTAGAAGGTGTACCATGGTGAATGCAGACAAACATAATTAAGGGGCTTTTACGTTTCCTTCTGATTTGTTTTAGTTTTAGCGCCAAATATTTTTGTGCTCTATCAAGACGTTTGTGCATTAGTCAAAATTCATCTTTCACTTTCAGTATAAATTTGCCCACACCCACCTTTACGCGTTTTGAAGCACCTTTTTCAAATAAGTGCCGTTAGCCTTTCCAAAAGGCAGCTAATTGTAGCCTCTCCGAACGTTACCTTTTATTCTCGCTGACCAGTTCTGCATAAGTTTATAATCGATGAGCATTTTACAAATAATATAACTCCTTTATGAAGTAGTAGTCTAGGCGGGAACGGAAAAAATGTTGCCGGAACTAGAAAACAACGTCTTCCACACAAATAGGCTCGGAAAAAAAATACATATTTTACACTGAGAACCGCAATTTCTGCCACTAAACCCGATTTTGTAATAACTTTAGCTTGATTCAGAAATGTGTTATATTCATTACCACTCACATCAATGGGTTGTAGTTCACAAGTCGCACTACTTTGCAGGAGTTGTCCTATCAGATCATTGTCGTTGATTTGCGGTCAAACACTTCATTTCCAAGTTTAATAAATGAAGGGTGTTGCTCATATAACCATACAGTGTGCATTCGAGATAGTAGTGTCGATTGCTGCCCTGGAATCCAAAGTTGTTGTCAGGCCACTATTTTATTTGCTAGTAGTTATGATGGCATATTTAAAATCCATAGCACATCGATGCCTTCATTCTAACAAACTAGTGCGTTTCAATGACTTAAGTAATCCTATTTACTTTTGATAGCTACAATGAAAGACTTCTTCCGAGAGCTGCCTGAGCCCCTCTTTACTAATGCTCTCTACCCAATGGTCTACGAGGCAACCCAAGTCGCAAGTCCCGGCGACTCTCACATGGGCACCAAGCTCATATTAAACATTTTGGACTGTCTTCCAACTTCTAACCAAGTAAGGCAGAGCACTTCTTACGGAAACTTACATTTTATCACATTTGTCCATTATCTAATTACCAGTGTTTCATAAAATTCTGTATTTTCTCAAATCATTTAACAACTTTCCTTTCCTGTGAAGACAATCTGTAAAATATTGTGAGGTTAAATTACGTTTACGAATCACATATGCATGTTCAAACCCTCGAATAAAGGTTACACCACATCCTTAGTGAATGCACTGTCGTAGTAGTTGGAGTTGTTGGAGATGTACTTTATCCTAAATTAGTGGTCTGTGCATTGAATAATGCAACCTAATAACTCACCACGGGAATATGATTCCTCTGTGACTGTCCTGAATATCTCGCTCTACCAATTATTCACTGAAATGTAAAGCTAAATTTTTGATACGTGTATAATCAGATTTGCTGGTTATGGTAGTATAAGCTAGTGTTTATGGTCCAGTACTAAACAAATTCTGAAAACTCGGATTCTTGAAGTGGTGTACTTTTGGGATGGCCGGAGCATATCGTTGCGCTATCCGCAGAGTCGTAATTTGCGTGTTATCGTTATTGCCATTTTTCCATTCCCACTTTTTACCGTAGAAGAATAACGTGCCTTTATTCGGCTTATACGGGGCCTTATTTGGTCGCATTTCAGAAGACCAGCAAATTCAAGGAAATAAAGAAATTATTCAGGATAATTTGGGGAGAAGTTCAGCTTTTTCTTCCCCATGCAATGAGTGGAAGTATGACCATGTCATGGTGCAAAAACGTAAGATTTTAATTAAAAGGAATATGACGGTAAAGGTATTGACAAATGTGAACGTCTCATTTCTAAAATAACTTTCGAATGGTTGAGGAATGGGATAACATTGTACCTAGGCATAACCATAAACGCTACGTGACATTTCCTTTTTTTCTTTTATGTTTTATTGTGTAAAGTCGATTCGAGAAGGTTGCCAAAGATTAACTTCGGAGGCAACATTGTTTCTGTAAAAAAATACTTCGTACCCGATAAGTGTGCTTTTTTTGTTGGTGTACATCCTACATCAAGAGGTAATGGCTTATCACAGAAGTGCAGGCTTTCAGGAGGTTTATGTACAAATAATGACAGCGCACTGAATTTGATCATGACTGCTATAATGTCTATCAGCATAACTGCACTCCATCACTTTGCAGTATCTATACACATGCATATTTTATCCTTGTAACAGCCAAGCAATTGATCTACGACGAGGTGGAAGTGAAACGATGCGGCTTTCCCGTCTATGAAACGTTAAATATTTGTCTTTCTAGTAAAGGGTTTTGAAGTTCAGCATCAGAACATGCATTCTTGCAGCTCGAAATTCCATCAGTATTATTATTACTATTACGCATTACTTGGACTTTCTTCTTTTAAAATTTGCCTAGATACTAGACTAAAATGTTTTTTTTTTTGAGAAAATGACCACCCACTAAAATTTTATCGCCTCAACTCAGCTCATTTGGAGGTGATACTTATGCTGTATAGGAACAGTCTTGTTGTTAGGCAATAGCTCTTCGTAGTCGTTTAGGTTAAATGAGTGCCGTCGTTAAAATCTGTAGAGGAGACTTCGACTTAATGAAGTACACTAGACATGTTTACATCATCTAGACCCTAAAGTTATAAATAGGCAGATATTTGAGGTTTCTGACTCCTCCCATTTTGCAGTAGTTATGCATTCAACTTGAGGGGGGCTCATAACGGCCAAAAACATAATCAGAATAAAACATTTAGCTTGTTAATCATTAAACGTATTTTCAGTTTTAAAAACAGTTCCATGTTTCTAAATTTTTGTTAATTAATGCACGGAAATGGCATTCATTAACCTGATTTTAATCCTGAAATGTGGACTCCGCACTGTTGCACAACTTCCCGTAACGCCCTCAGAATGCTATTGCCCAGAGACAAAGTGTTGAGTGTTTCCAGCTCGCTGATAAATGGCTTCTTACCTTAAACTTCACTACGGCATTGATCTATCAAGTTCAACAACTTGAACAAAAGTTTGTACAATACTTCATTTTCTCAGTAAGAGTGACATATTCGCAGTTTTTATTTTAATGTTTTGTTTGGTCTAGAGTAATGAGATATTTTAAGACCTGAAGTCAGGAAATGTTTGTACGATTTGCAGCCATAATTCTCTTTTAAGAAGTCATGTGTCTTTGTTGTACTTCAAACCTATTCCAACTAGTAGTATTTGCATAGCCACTCTGCTGGTAGAAAATCCATAGGTTTCTTTGACGTGTAGAGTCGCTTCCTTCAAATGGTAGTATCTCGTACCAATATTTGCTTACTTTATACGGCAGCATCGGTTTTAGGGATTAGTTACCCTCCCTACCCTCTGCGAGGCGTATTTCTACAAGATGAACAGTGTGTGGTTCGCCACGGCTTTCAATAACTCTCCTTGAGGAAAAATTGCGTAAAATACCGTAGAATAAACCTACATATTTGCCACCCAAGGACTTGACTATGTTATTTTTTCAAATAAAAGGAAGTCCTCCTTTACCTGTTGGACCACCTTAAGCGGATAACAAGTAGGTCAGTGGTGAACAAAATGAATTCTCACAACTTGGCCGTCTGTCTGGCCCCGTGTCTCCTTCATCCTTCGCCCACGGCGGCCCGCGACATGGACTCCGGCCTCCTGCAACCCAGCAAGATGGTCAGCGTTCTCGAGTGTATACTTGACATTTGGCCGTAAAGACTCATCCATCGCCGTCGCCACATTCACTACCCGCATTCTCCTCCACAACTAGTCCCATTCTACTGGCTGGCCGGTAGCTCAAATTTGAAAACTTCTAAAACATTTCATGTAAGTGCATTCGCCCTTATCCCTGGCATTGCTCGAGAATCTTATACTAATAGTCGTGATCCACCAAGAAGGACAGAAGCCACATGAGCCTAGCCAAGTCCGCCTTGATTCTGGTAAAAGAAATTTGAAAATGAGGTACGATTAATGCATCAAACACATTTGTTCAAACAGTACTAACTTTCGGAAATACCACTTTACGGACACTCGTCAATAGTGTGTGGCTTGCGCCTATTTTATGATTACTGATACTCTCTCCGCTATGAACTCTAAGTAATTTACTAACTACAGTTTATAACTTATCATATATTAAGCAGTTAGGAAGCCTGTGGATAATTTTAACGGACGTACACACTTTCTTCCCATTTGAGTAGTTCAAATATGCGCTCATTTTTCTTAATCATCTTTTATAAAATCCGTACTAACGTGTTATTTACTGGGCATGAATGATTATCTTTATTTTGGAGAACTAAAAATTCTCAGAACTGGAAAAATGTGCTTTTTATTTAAGGTTTTGGTGGGCCTAAAGTCGTTTAAGTTTCCTATTCATGTAAAAAGTGTCAGTTAACTTAAAAATTGCCAAGTTCAATTCAGACGGCAGACTGCTAAGATATATCACCTAATTTTCAGGCGTAAAAAGTCAACTCTGAGAAGATTGAATGGAGACCTCAGATTGGTCTACTTCCGTCAAATCGCAACCACACTGTAAAATATGCAGTTCATTTTAATAACGGAAGAAAGGGATCCAAATAATTCAAGCACTCTAGTGGTTGGTGCATCCACAGACTAGATGAAAACTTGAGTGAACTACGAAAAGGCTGCTTGGTTGGCAAATAAACGGTACCACATAATCAAGGGAAGGCGAAATAAATGTGCTTCTATTCAATGTGTAAATAGAAGACTTTCATTGATTGAACACCTACATAAAAAAGGCACAAATGTTGGGTCCAAGTACCCATTTACCTTTGTTTTTCGCATCTCAGTTTAAACAGCAACGATTTTTGTAAAATAGATATTACGACTTTGAGACGCTGACTTTTTAACAATTTTTCTAGCATTCGCAATTACAAATTTTGAGGTTGCCTTTATCGAAAGCACGAAGGACTGCAAACCAAGATATATGTTATTAATTTATTACCTTGTGTATGCTAGTATTTTCTGAACTTTCAATCTGATATTGTACAGCCTCGTGACTTCTCTGAAGGCAAAAGATGACAATGCTGGGGCAGAAAATGTGTTGTCAACGTACAGATGGGCTAGGGGCTGCTAGCATGGCCCTAAAGCCTGACAGGGGCAGAGCCTCCATTGCCCGCAACACCTAAACGAAGAGCGTCTTTCCCGGCGCTCCCCCTTAGTTAACCTCCCGCGTCAGCCATCACTACATCGGTCGGTCATTGAATTTGCGTGCTATGGAGGAGACGCTTGACCTCAACGTCACTGATCCCCCTTGGCGATCCTATTAAATCTGAAGTTTCTTACTGTTTGTGAGCTGGAGTCGGGGGCAGAGGAATGCGTTAGCCATCACGTGTGTCCATCGCTAGCAGTAGAAACACTGACCCAAAAGGAGAGTTGTTTAATAAAAGACGGGGCTTAAAATAGTTTTGTGGGAATAAGGTTTCGCATCTCTTCCTCCTTCCCACTTTGCCCTCACGTCAGCGTTGCCCGGCCATATCTAACTGGGTTCTATCTAGCTCGTAGAGAATTGGAAGAGGCATTGCGAGTTTTCATAGTTAGCATCTTCCTCTAGGCACTGCAGACAGCTCCGCTACGAATGTTTCCAAATGGTTTGTGACTAGTGCCGCTTCAGGTGTTAGCACCATTCCTGCAGAAGATGGGACGCCATTGCAACCCTTCTGTTAGGGATCGCCGCAGATGCCCCCACCCGCAGCATATGCCATTCTTCAATTACGCTAAGGATTATCACTCGACAGTATAAACCAGGATAGTTATTTCTTAGGGTCAAGTTCGCTTTTTGCTGCCACCAATGTGGCGCCTTACTTCTTTCCTGAAGACAAATAAAGACAACACTAGGACAGAATATGTTTTAGTGGCGTGCAAAAGAGCTGGAAGGCTACAAGGACGACGACCTAAGTGTCCACGTAACCAAAACGAATAGTTAAACCAAGCACTTATCAAAGATTAAATACCTATTTTTTGTTAAGCCTAATCAATTACATCATTAGTCCAATGACCACATACCATTTTACAGAACTGATTCGTCCGCTCAGTGATTTGGGTGCGAACATATTTATACATCAAAAACTGTTAATTCCTTCTGCATATAATAATCAAATTCCTGTTGTGTAAATAACGTCAGGAATTCCTCACTTTTTCCATTGCCAAATTAGTTTAATTCATAGAACTGCCCCTAAAAGTGGCTTGCTTAAACTACCCACTACTTTGCTCATATAAAGAATTCCAATGAGCAAGGCCAGGTTGAATTGCTTGAGCAAGTCCCATGTATACACTCAGAAACCACCTTCAATTTGTTCCAATACCCTTCAGCCCACATTCACTTAATCGTGCAACTAAGTGGCATCCTCACATTTGGTAACCACTGGCAGTGCTACTGATCGCAACCCCAATAATCATACAACTCCTTCAAAAAGGCTATTCAAACTTTCAGTATAAGAGAACTAGCTTATCAAAGGAGGCCCATCTAAACACCAGGCATGAGAAACTTCATGGAAATATGAACTCCTGGGAAGCTAAGTTTTTTGGAGTCGGAAAACTGCATGGGGTAATCAAAGAAGCTGAGGAGAATCAAGCATATTAGCCTGAGTCATGCATATCAAGTTCAAGGATGAGCAACGATTCATTTAATGCATAAAATACTTTGATATAGTGTGATTTACTCCAGACTACTTCGTAGCATCGATTATATATGACGATATTCACATCTGCAAGTCTCCAAGTAGTATTAATGACTTTTTCAAATAATTTCACTTTAAGCGCTACACTTATGCAGCTAACGCGAAAAAAATGCTTTTTTAAATTCTTCCGCGGAAACGTTGTAATTCAAGTGAAATCCAGCCAAACGGCCAATTACTAAGGCTTCTAAACCGACAAACATTGGGCTTATAATTTTTACGAAGGTGCAGAAGTTGTCAAGGTACATTGATAGTTAAACTACTTTCCTAATGATGGCGTAATTCTGCAATTGTTGGTTGCATCATTTATTAGCATTTTTGCACAAAGTGAAATGATTTCCTTAATTTTATCTTTAGCTTCTCCAAATCGTCGGCCTCTCATGCATGAATTTCATCCCATTCCCTCAAAGGATCCGATACCTCCCTCCAGAGGCACATGCATACACGCAATTAAACGGCTCAAGTGAAACCCAATGATCAAATTCCCATCCTCTTTCATCCCCCCCCTCAAACTCCCTACCTATATCCTTTCAACTTCATCTCGCCCTGGTAAGTTCCACATTGAGTCAGAGGGGCATGTTTCGGCGTTTAGTTAGATAGCGCATTTCACTATCAGGGGTCTTCTGAAAAGCGCTTCGCCTGTCTTGTCCTACGTCAACACCTCCCTCCCTATCCCCCTTTACTAAATCCTAGGCATCCCAACGACGTGCAGGTTTGTTCGGACCTCCTTCTCCCCTCTGGTCCACACTGCTTAACCTATTGTAGATGTGCCTCTACCTGCTCATTTTGTAAAATTCCCAATACATGCCCGCCCCAAACTCGCTACACTCTGAAGGATATGAATCGGATTATCCTTAAAAATAGAAGAGGTGCAATAATGTTTGTGCTTTTTCAGCAATTCATTAAGTATGTTGGCGCAACTCCAACCAATTAATGTATCACATCGAGAGATTGTCCAAAATACCGTAAAAGCACGCCATCTTTGTTACACTCAATAAATATTTTTAATAAAATTGGTATCTGATGAAGGTCCATATAAGTAAAGTTAAACAGTAAGAAAAATATCACTCTACAATTGCCGACCAACCTTATTCATGTTTGGCCTCCCCCAAGTAAAATGTGGAATGAATACATCCAAGGCATTTTAGAATGGAATTTTAAGTTTGCTAATGCCAGAAAGGAAAATGTATTCTATATTCACTCTCAAAACCCCAGTTTTGGTTACCTACTAGATAAAAAGTTAAAGCAATATCTAAGTCACTTGAAAGTGCATTATGGTAGTGTTAACTTGGAATCTACTGAACTCATCTAAGTTGAGCACAGTAATTTGTCTGCCTTATGGGATGTTGAGGTTCTCAATTTCCTACCCACCATCATATTGAAGTATGATGCTAAAAATATTAGGGACCTTCGTCAAAACAGCAATTTAGTTTATATCTCCATTTCACTAAAATTTAATAGAATGTCTCATGTTAGACAATAAAGTGCAAGAAAAATCTTATAGCAAAGTCTTGGTGGCCTAGATATCTCCCATTTGAATATTTTAGCAACAGTGAGATATTTTTGGTGATTTAACTGTCGTCTTGATATAGCATCCCATGTGGAAACTCGGAAGACTTGAAAAACTGAAAAGAGGAGTACGGTTCTATTTCCTGGTTATCGTGAAGGCGAGAGGTGTAGCGCCGCTTGCCGCGTAAAATTAGTGCAAACGCGTGTTTCGGTTGGAAGAATCAATCAGGAGGAGGAGTCGCGACGAGACAGACACGCGCGAGAAGGACGGACTCACGATCGATGTTATCGCAAGCCAATCAGAAGTTTCGCTTGAAATTTTCAGTTTCCCCCACCTGCCATGACCAACGAGTAGCAGATTATAAAAATCCGCAAACACCCCATTGTCAATGTGGAACTTCGATCGTTCCACTTTGAAGTAAGAATATTGAATTGTGCACATGCTTATATCCAATAATACAATAGCATGCATAATGGATCTTAAATTCTCGTACCTTCTTGAAACGAGAAGCTACGAATGATATTGAGAGGAAGAACTTCGTTTTTACATAACTCGAAATATAAGACTATGTGCACAATTAAGATAGGTATACATGTAGTAGTGAGATACAAAAGAGTGCACTCTCCTTGATAAAATTACGGGAAATTCAGTGATGCAGAAGCCAATTTGCAGGAATGATCAATCAGTGCTAAATATTAGATGAAAAAATTAGCTTCTGACTATAAGGTCTTTTACAGTGCCAATCAATTATAATTGCAAACATGTTTGAGCGAATAGACCACTGAGGTGACAGGTGACCAATTTGCGCCAACTAAGTGACTGAATGAGGACCAGCGACTCCTGAGGAGGAAACGAACTTCGGTATCCTTTAGGTCTTGATAACCTGCAAACTTTTGCCATATTTCTCGAATAAAAGATGACATCTACCGCTCATTATTCTCGTCCAAAGAGTATTAAATTAGAGGTGAAGTGGAGGAACACGGTAGTAATATAACTGTATTGCTTTTATATTTTATTTAACTCTTGGGCTCCGGTATTATACCTTCGACGGGTGGCCTAGTCATTGGACCATGGCAGTAGCTTTTAAGTTGTTCTGTAGTTGAAAACTACGTATTTTACCCCAGCATTGTTCCTTTTCTCGTCCTTAGGGAATTGTCAGGATGCTGCGCAACATTTTAAAATTTTAAGGTTAAAGTCTAAATTGCCCTCTAAAATCCCCGTTTGGCAACCACAAAATATGCTCAATATCGAATCATACTAATAGAAAATATTTCCTTTTAGGAGGTTGAAATATTTGAACTGCTAGTTATGCAAAGTTATAATGACAATGCTGCGCGGGACGTTATTTGGTAGAGGGCCACATTGTTTGGCATTCGACTTAAAGGAAGTGATGATTGCGGCCAGGCTGCCGGTTCTGGTATGCAAAAGAGCTTATAGGCCGATCGTCATTCGGTCTAAAAGACCAATTACAACAAAGGTACTTCGGACAAATATGTTTTAACTTTAGGAACGTGTCGGCATGTGCATAGCTTTCTTCTCTATTTTTATTCCACCATTATTTGTACTGCGGAAGATGATGGCTTTCTCGGAGTACAAGGGACCGTAGGTCTCACAGATAAAGTCAGTTATTCGGTTACCTTCAGTCCCAGCGAGTCTCCTGGACTTCTTTCACAACTCAGATTCCGGAACGTTGGCATTAATATAGTGATACCCTGTTGGGTGCACTCCTCCTTGTGTGTTGTTCTCGGGAGGGTCCGAGGGGGTTCCCGGTTCGGTGTGCGGTTGGACGGGTGGGTTCCCGCGGTTTGAGGGCCTTGCCGGTTCAGCGGTGGTGCGGTCGATCGTGTTGTGGTGCTGGGTCCTTGTGGGGTGGGCTTTTCTGTCGTGAGGTGCGGCGGTGGTGGGCCTCATTAGTTTGGTAAGTTTGCGACTGGAAGAGGGGTGAGGAGCGGTGGGGGATCCAGGGGCATTAACGACCAGGGGGTGGTTTTCCTATCGTCAAATTCAGCTGGTGTCTTTATGAAATTAGTCGTATTTCGACCGATGTTTAAGCGACTTACTACCCGAATTCCCATATAACATGCACAAAATGAATGAATCCTAGGCGTTCTAGACTGTTCTTTAAATTTAAGATTAATTTGTTTTAATTTATTGTGGCGATGCTAATCTTGCAAGCTGCCTTTGATGATTGGTGGGGGTTGTTTTACTTCAGAAAGCCGGTGATTTACTTATGTGTGCTCATTATCGGTTCTAAAGTTTCAACTACGGGATCTTCATAGTCTACAGGATTGTCACTAGCAGTTAGACTTTCATATTCATCGGAGGACTCCGTACGTGTTTACGATGTCATTATACTGATTTTCAATTGGGCATGTAAATATTACGGTGATGTTAGGTTTGTATGGCTTTGATGCAGTATTATAGCGATACTTCATTTTCTAGTTTTTTTTTTCTATCTACCTTATGTTGATTTGTCACCTGACGTGCATTTCTGGCTGAATGGCTTAATGGATTCAATATTTCTTTGCTTGGGAGATGTTCGAAATTCTTATATGAGTTGGTACATACATATAGATTTTTTAAAACCTTATTTATGAACCTATTCTACTTGGAATGACTCACAGTGCACTTATTGGAACTCATCCTTTGAATAATATATTAGGCAACCACGATTGGCGCCGATATGCTAATTAATAGTGATATTTGGACTCTAATTGAACAAGAAGTCCCAGCCTTTCGAACACTTCAACTTTACAATGCTACTGTTGTTGTCCATGCTCATGATTTTTTGAGCAATGTTATTCGAATGTCCGACCATCCTCTACACTATGGTGGCGATTATTTACTTCTGGAAGAAGATTTGGCGAAGGTTTTGAACAGTTTTAATCAATGCAATATTCGGCCCATTTTTATCTTCGGTGGTGCATCAACTTTGAAGGTACGTTATATCAAATGTGACTTGTGAACTGGGTCAACCTAATTAATTTGTTCATTTTATTGCATGAGAAATTCGTTTCATGACGACAGATCATAGGTAATTTGTAACTCACGTTTATATTCAGTCATCTAGATTGCAAGAAAATATGCGCAGCCTCCAAAAACGGATCAGCAACCTAAACTGTGGTCTGCAGCAAAGTCGCACATCAAATCAAATCCCGAAAGTTGATCATCGCAACGGTTCATTCTATACTCCTGTTTTCGCGAAGGAGACCTTGGTGAAAAAACTAGATGCTATGGGCTTCTTGCATGTCACTTGCGACGCCGATGCCGTTTCCGCCTGTGTTGCCCTGGCAGCACATCTTCGCCGCCCTCTGGTAGCTAATTCAAATGAGCTTCTTTTGTTTGAGTTTGAAGAACCAAGTGATAGCCTCGAGTGCTTCATTTACATTCCTTTAAGATTTCTTTCTTCTCAACCGGTTCCTCAATCTTCGAATCCGCACTCCCTGTGTCTCGTTGCACATGCATTTTCTCCATCGAATTCTAGTATTCATCGCATACCCTACGTTTTGCGTCCTTTCTTTGCTATCTACTTTAAACCGCCAAACGGTTCTTACTTTCCTCTACCTCATCGACTTTACAATGTCCTCAGTAACCGAGAAAATTCGCATCTAAAGGATTCAATTCGACCTATGGTCCAGCGTGCGAAGGAACTCGTTAGATGGCTGGAATCAATTGAGTCCCCCGTAAATGCTTTCTGCGAGTCTGTTGAACAACTAGAACAGAATGCTGTCTTCTCATTTACTAAGGAACTCGTGGAGATTACTTTGACTCTCAAAATCGACCTGATGCAGGGCGAAGATCTGGCGAGGTATCTGCTTCCTAACGTGAAGCCAAGCAAGGGCAATTTAGTAACATCAACAGATCTAATTACTTGTTTGGCTCGGCAGCCATCTTGTTTAAAGTATATAGAGCAATACGTCAATGTCAATGAGCCTAAAAGTACCCTGCAGGAGTGTGAAATGGCCAATTTCTTATCCAGGGTCCCACCTAGATTTCTTCAGTTGTATCGCTCTGGCTTTCTTTCCACGGTCGTTTTTACCCATCTTCTTTCAAGCACTGTGGTATTACCCGTCCTAGAAGAAAATCCAACCCGTGAATGCGCCGCAGAATGCTCCAGAGGCATTCGCTATCTCCAGTACTGCTTGGCACTAGATTTTATTCGACGCTATGATGCTGAAATTGCGCATCTGAGTGGGTGCACAGAGCCCACAATCGTTGAATTTTCGCGATCTAAAGATACTTCACATTATCGTCAACACACAATCAGGCTAAAGCCTTCTCCTCTTCCGACCTCTGAAGATTCAGCAAAAGCGTGTGGCTCATTTATTTACAAAAATATTGGTTACCAAATGAAATCTGTGAGTAACTGGATTGAGATTCTGGCGTTAACTTTGACATTATGGCATATCAATACTCATCCCGATGCAAAATTCAACATTCTGGATCAAACAACCGCTTTGGCAGTCGCTTTAATTGTTTGCGCAGTGGAGGCCTCCAATGGTAGTCTGGACTTTAGGCTTCTTAATGACTTGGCCGATGATATGGCTTGCGATTACAACGTGGATGTTGTCCATGAAATTATCGAAATTCAGCTGCTCCATATTTCAATGCTCTCCCTTCTGCGACTTGCCAATGCCATTGGCGTTTGTGAAGACGTCAACAATGAAAATCCCGAAATTTTACTTTTCCCACGGGGAGGACGCATCTTTCCTAGTTCTCGTCTTATTCACAACTTGGCTGTCACTCTTAAGGTCTCGCAAGACCGTGAGTCACTTAGTATTTGGCTAGAACGACTTTTGTCTCCCATCCAGAACGCTGAACATGTGCGGGAGGCCACTGAAAGTATGATTTATCTGGCCAGAACCTTGTGCGAAATGTGGATTGTGCGACCAGTCGAGTTTTTGTCACATTGCGAACTTCTTCCCTTTCCTACGTCGGGGAACCGATCTTCCATTAGAGGAGATCATCAAGATAAAAATGGGCTATCGCCCTCACAGCAGGTTCGTTCATTTTATCGTGGACCTGACTTGCGAAGTGGTCGAGGTGGTACATATGTAACTCGTTCCTCAGCGCAACGAATGGCCCAAAGTAGAGCAAATGACAAGACATTTACTCGCAGTATGGATTCTCGTGAACCTAGCGACAAGGATACAACTATAAATGGCGTGACTACTCATGAGAAGGTGCTCCTAAATGAAGAAAAAACGCACTTTATGCAAGAAACTGTTAATAATTCGTATAAGAAATGGGGGAAGAATTCCGGTTTTCATTCAAGGGCGGGACCCGGTCGTCCATTTCGTCCAAGGGGGCCTGGGTTCGGTAATGAAAGTGAGTGTGAAGGACGTTCGACCAATCCTTTTCTGCCGAATTACGTCCTTACACCTGACTTCAATCAACGCCTTTCGTCTCCTAAGATCGCTAAATCAAAGAACCCTTTTTTATCGGATTTAAATCCAAGCTGTCGACGTGCTGCTTCAGAATGTCGTGGAAGACAGGGTTTTGGTCGAGCACCTCATTATTCTTATAGCGGACGAAGGGAGTCGGTCACCTTGCCTGCCTCTGAGCATGGTCTTAGAACATTCAGCGGTAAGCGTTTCCAACCAACGATCTCAGAATCTGGCAATGAATTCACAAATGAAAACAGTCGGGACACTTTCTTGAAATGGAATGACAATTTCAGCATGATCGGAGAAGTGCCTCCTACTTCATCCTCCGGCAACACCGGTGCTACAAAAACATTGACCAGAGTTAATTCCGAAGGAGATTGGAAGGATCAAAGTCAAATGAGTGGTGAGCGCATATCCCGGTTTAGAGGGAGCAATCTTAAAAGTGGTCCCTCGGGGCCGTGTGTACCTTTTAATCCCAGATATCCTGTCACTAGTCCCAGAAACAATTGGAACAAATCACACATGGGACGAGGCAAACAGTTTGGGCCCTTCAATGGTGTTCCTCGACGTGGTAGGACTTTCAATGATGGTTTTTATGTGAATAAAACTCCTCAAGGTCGATGTTCGGATTTTAATAGAGGAATGTGGGATCCAAACGATATCGATGATGCAGTTAAGAAATTGGCTCTGGACTTTCCTTGACGCTGACATATTTTGTTAAAACGCGTTTTTTTCCGTGTACTTTCTGCGATATTTACTAGCCATCAGTATACATAACAAAGACATATACTTTGGAACTTTTTTTGGTATCTATTCTGTGTTTTAATACCCCGATTACACAAGTATTTTGTTAAAGTGATGGAACACCTATTTTCATTAGTTGATATAAAATTAACGTTAGCCACTATCCATCAAGGAATTGTACTTTGTTATTTTATTTAGAGTGTTCCATATAATACATCAAAGTTACTCGAGATGTGATTGAGCTTTTGCTGTGGTCCTGAGGTGCAAGGGCAGAGCGTGGAGAGGGCTTGATTAGGATGCTGTGGTGAGCGTGGGATTGGGCGCACTTTCATCACCCGAAGATCGACGAAAGTGGACTTCAGCTGTCTCCACAACAGAACTCTAAGTATAAAACGGGGATTTATGGGTGAGAATTCACTAGTTTTCGCATTCAATTTTTGTCCCAGTGTACTCGGTTTTTTTTCGACTAAATAGACAAACGCGTAGTTAAAATGAGCATTAGCATTCGCTTATGCTATTACTGTGCGTTGCCAATGCGACACTCGATCTCCGCCTTTCACTCAAGAGGTCACTAACAACTATTACACCAGTTAATCCATATGGATTGAGCTGATAGGTTAGCATACTTGGATTTATTACTACCCTAAATGATGCTTCTCTAGGGGGTTCGTTGTTAAGCCGAAGGAGTGAGCGTTTTGCATAGGTAGGTGCGGAGGTGTGGGTAATTGCAATGCGCAAGGATAGTAGGTGGTACTGCTAATTACCTGAAGAGCGCGATCTTTTGTTTCGATGGGTAGAAAAAGGGCTATGCTTGCACAAATTAGACAAACACCGCTATAGAGTGAAAGACCAAGAAGAGCTGACACGTCGGGCATGATGACCTCGGCCACGTACGGTGTCGACATCGCTCCTAGACGAGCGAACGAACTGCAAACACCCTGACCCAGGGATCTAATTGTTGTTGGATATACCTAGAAGGGGGGGAAAATCCTTTCAGTCGTCAGGTCTATCTTGACCAGCCGACCGTTTCCAAGGATCGGCAGTTATCCTTTTAGCAAAGTGGTAATCAAACATCCCTCCCATGATTAATGCACTGCAAAATACATGCTTCGGTGGAGAAGGGTGGGTGTTACACAAGGGAATGTGTGATTGCTTTTCCACTTTCTTGGCACTTTATTTTTCAGCTCTGGTTCAGCACACACTCAACTCCCGAGGGTACTTTCGGCATGCCTACGGTACAACTGCGACAAATTGTGCGTACTTAAGTATCTCGGTAATGGTCCTGTCAAAAACATCGGAATTTGATTACGCGGGCACTTAAGCCCTCGCAGATTGTGCCTTTGCTCGTCGGCGGGTTGTGCTGCTCGGCCCATGACAGTAGCCCCTCAGCTCTTCTGTATGCTAGCAATATATTTTTCACCATACCACTGTGACTTTACACAACTGCGTGGAAGGCTCGGTGCGCTATAACAGCGTTTTTAGATCTAAAGAAAACATATGCACATAGACAGTGGTGGCGTTGTATCGAAACCAATATTGGAATTCACTTTTCAATGTGTGCAAACCTTTTGTCAAGTTACCAAATCTGGGGTGAAAATTTCGAAAATCCGGCCCTAGGTTCTTGCAATTTATATAGATTTGAAGAAATTACGGTAGGTACAGCTATTTACGGAGACCTGGGTTTAAATCGGTCCGTGAAAACATTCTTTAAGACCTGTTAAAAAGCAGTGAATAGGGAACCCAAAAACGTTACAAATTCATCACTTATTTTTACCTCTATGGATGCAAAAAGCGTTTTAATGAAAATATTATGGTTCACTGCACATAGGTGCGGAGAATTCATGCCTTCCAATATGAGGCTGCACTCACTTCGCTTGTGTAGAGGTAGACAATGCTAAACATGCCGGAGGAGAGTGCTCGCGCGACGAACAGAATGGCGATGGCAGCCGCCTTCGGCATGCAAATGTACAATATCACGAATAAGAGGGCAGAGAGAGTCGAGATAAGGGTGAGTGATATACGTCGACCCATCAAGTCATTCGTGATAATGGTCAGCGGAATAACTGCCAAAAATAAGAGTACCTAAGCTAAGTAAAGCCCTACCTCTATTCATCAACAGCCTCTCAATGTCTAAATTTGCGCGCATTTTGATTCGCTTGGGTAAATTCTTAGAAAGATAAGGTATTAAGTCAAACATTCTATGCGCAAAACCGAGTTGATGATTTGCCCTTTTCAGAAAAAGACATTCTTTGTGGTGGTAAGCTATGACTACTATTATTAATACTAGTAGTGCAAAAAGACTTCGCAATTTGAAATGGTATGTGCGTTAGCGATCGTAAATATTATATAAAAACAATATTATACCAAAAGAAATGGGTCAAGCCTTGTTTGTAGACATTTAAAGGAGGGCTGTAAGTCTGAAGTCCGCTAGAGTTAAAGGTTGTTCCCTAAATGACTTAGAGCATTAAAACTACTTTTTAAATCTAAATTACAGGACTGCCTAACGGCCCTGCGCCAATCATGCGAATCTACTTCTAGATTGAATTACTCATCGGCGTGGGACCACTTTATACCCCAATTTTAACAATGCAATTAACAAAGAAATCGGAATTAGTTTTGAACCAAGAGATTAATCTATTGGAATTACTTATTTGCATTTGCTGATTTTTTTGTCTAAGCCCAAATTATCAAAAGAATCCATTTGTAAAAGACCCAACTGCATACCTGTGAATTCACCCAAGGAAGAAGCCAGCATGGATAAGTAGTCATCATCGGTGAAAGCTATGCAGCATGACTGATCAACTACTGCAGTCTTATTGACACCAAAGCCATTGTAATCTGGGTGTGACACCAAATCTAACAGAAGAGAACAAAAAAGTTGCCCATCTGTTAGCAGAGGTAGTATCTGTGCGAAATTCGCTCTCTATCCTACCGGTCACAACGCACTGACTCTCGTTCCCATTTTCGTCAAGCATACATGGCTGTAGATGGCCCTCTCCTTACCTATGTCTTACCAGCACCATTAAGGGTGATTCAGTTAAGCACTACTAAAATTCTATGTTTGAAATACATAAAAAAACTATTTCACATATGAGTTTGTGATGAATATAATTAAGAAGTAACTTCATTAACAGTTATTTCGACGATCAACATTTAACACATACATGCTGCCGTAAAACTTTGGTTAATTGTACAGCACTTCGTTTCGGTCTCGTGGATGATTAAGAGGCTGATTTTGTACTTTCGCGGGGTGGTATGACCCTTGGGCCATGCCAGTAACACACCGGCCCTTCTGTATGCCAGCAATACATATCTCGCCCAAGTATTATGTCTCCTTTTGACTTCAGGGTAGACTCGGGGGGGGGTTACACTGTCTTGTCAAATGCATATAGCATCCTTTAAAATTTCAAAACTCTAGAGGTCAATTCGTTGAGTTCCTTTTTTTCAAAATACAAATGAGCAGCTTGCTGCAAATATATGTTATTAATTACGGGGAAAGCAATTTATCCCGTGACACGTTTGAAATGAAATATTCGATCATCAAAGCGACTCCACTTGAGTAAACATTTCGATTATAAGAGCTGAGCGCTTTTTCAAGCCATAATTTACCAAACAAAAAGGAGGAATAGCTTTACCGCGTGCATGACAATGAAAGAAGAAATTGTATCCCACCACTAGATGCCCATGGCAATCAATTTGTCATTAATGTGGCAAATGAATATAGACCATGTTACCTTTGTAACAAGTCCCTCGCACAGTGAAGAGAGTTGAACTGATGAGAATGATGCCGTAGTAGCAAAAGGCCGCTCCAAACCACAAAATTGGTTGCATCACAGATAATAGCTGATAGCCCGGAGCCCATAGATGTGACAACTTTCCCAGTTCAATCTCCTCACATGGGAAGTGCGAAAGGGTGAATAGTAAAAATCGTGCACAAACAAACAAAAGGCAAAATAGTTGTGTGAATGCATAATGTCACAGCAACCCATGTTAGTTAAGTCGAGTTTAATGTGTTTTAAATGACAAATTATCTACAAATAACATCTTTATCCACTGTTCACCGTTTGGAGAAAAACGTGGCTAAAACAAACAGTTCAAAGTTCGCAGCATCAACGTATCTCGCCGCGCATAAGGACGCACCGTGCGCTGGGAAGATCGTTTTCGCAAATAAAATAGCGCGAGTAAAAGGAAACCGGCTACGATTTTGTAGTTTCGCGTTCAATGTTACTGCAGAGTAAATAAGGATTGAAACAATTACCAACTTTTCAAGATGAATAAGGTCCTTTGCGTGGAATACTACGTGTGATATTTCATGTTCATGTTTCGAAAAAAAAAAACGTAAACCTTTGATTTCACCGTTAATTGGGTCTAATTTTCGTGGCCATATATCTGTAAAGATCTCTGTGAGGGAATTCGTTACACATTTGATATTAAAATAGTTAAAACGCTTTTTTGTAGATTTACCGATTTAGTTTTAAGTGGCATACATTGATACGCTCCTTAAAAGGAGGAAATGTAGAAGGCATCGGAGAGTGAATGGAAAGAACCATTTCCTTGTGGTAAACAGATGTGTGATTTTGGTGAGTACTTGCACATGGTAGGATTTTGAACCATCTCTTTAATGCGAACGGACGAAAATGTCTAATCTTAAACATTGTTCCATAACTAAAATATTGAGATTTTTAGTTAAAATGAAAAGAATAATACTTTGAATGAAGTTGAATAAGTATGCAAGATCGCAAAAGTGCAAAACGTGACAAAAAATAATTAAATATTCACCAGCTGAAACAAAGAAGCTTGAGTGGATAAAATCGGCTATGGCTTCAAAAAATCGCAATATGGCTAAGCAAATGGTGAGAGAGGGAGCGAAGAGGCATTAACAAGGAAGAGAGACGGTGAACTCACAGTGGCCAGAGGTGCCGAGTGGACGAGTTCGCCCTCCAAAGGAATACACCGATTCAATAAAGCCATTTTCTTTATTACTTCCGCCGCTTCCTCCTTTCTGTTTGCGGTCATGAGATAGTGCACCGACTCTGGTAAGCACTAAGGTTCACGATAAGAAACCTGGATTAAGGTGTCCTAGATAGCTAAACATGCAATTTTCACGTTGACGACCGCCATACACTTCAGCAGACAAACGCGTGCTCATTTTTTTGCAGTTCTCAAATTTCATCTTAGGTAAAAAGTTGCTTATACAGGTGCAAAAGGTAGTAATGTGGTTCGTAAACCCCAAAAAGCTGCCAAAATATAAATGGGAAATTACCGGAGTTAAGAAACAGAACATGACAATAGGTACTGCTGAGAAGAAGACCAACCAACGCCAGCCTAATTTGGGCAGAACAACAAAGGCCAGACCGATTTCCATGGTGCTGCCGATTGCCCAAAATATCTGTAAAATATGCATATATGTGTTGATAAGACCAACAATACGCGAGTAAATCTTATTTTGTTCAGGATCTTAGCTTACTGAAATTCCTATTAAAACTTTGGCTCGATATTTGACTGGAAGAAATTCAGACATCAAAGTGTATCTAAAAAGGACGTTTGGTTAAAACGTGATTGTAGGGAAATTGCAAAAACATGAGCATATTTCATAAATGCAGTGCTATTTTGTATCAAGTCATCAAACAGCTGTTAGAAAGAGATGTCAACACATGATTGTAGCACCTAAGACACGGCAGCATCAATGAGAGCAAGGATGTACTTAGAACCTATAGTTCTGAACAAGGTGTAGTGCGCTTTAGCAGCAAATACAAAAAATATGATCACGCATGTCTTCAGACTTCAGGCTAAAAAGACCAGATGTATTCTACTCGCCGCTTCGTGATGCACGGTGCATAAAATTGCCTGCCAAAACGGTAACCTGAATCCGCCAGAATAGCGTGCCCATGGACAGAAAGAAGAGCAATTTGCATAACTTTAATGAAATATTTTGGAGAGTCGAAGAACCACTAATTTTCCTCAACTTACGCGCTACCCTCTCCACCAATACCGAATCCGACCAGCCCACGAAGAATGATCAGCCAGATGAAGTTTGGGCTCACAGCGGTGGCAAGACCTGTGTATGAAACCCACGAAAGCACGAGGACAAAACACTAAAGTCAAAGCAAATTAGACTAGAAAGAGGAAAAGAGGGTTCACAAAGGTGATTTGGTTAGTTTTTATTCCGAATTTCTCCTCTCAAGCATAAAGCCTACCTCATATATCCAATTGCATATTAATGCCAATATCTCCCTAATATTTTGGCGGCATGAATCGATCACACAGGATCTGGCACGAGACGCCCGACTCATTGAAGTTAACATCTGTGGTCACTTTTCCTTTGCTATTTATACCTTAGCTTCAGTGTTCATAAAACACGGCAATCGACTCAAAGTTGGGCTTTACCTTGCCGTGCATGCTTAAGCGGTTATTTGAACCCAAATGGAGCGTTATTTGGCACTTTATTAATAGATTATCACGTAGTTCTGCCTCACTTAATTATAAGCACGATACCTACAAGGAGGATTAAGAAGTTGGTACATTTACACAAGCCCCTATCTGTGTTACTTCTCACCAGCAATTTAAAAAGCAAATAAAAGTGAGTGTATTATCCTGTTTGTCAGAATTATTAAATGGAGTTCGGAAAACGAAAACAATTGCACGATCAACAGCTGTCCTTTTTGGCGATTTTCCCGGAACATTCAACTATGAAATACTGAATAAGATTTGTACTGATGATAAGATTGAGACGGTAAATTTATGGCTTGAGTCCTGACATTTCTATGAAGACGCTGACTAGATACAATAAGCCATAGCAGTGAATGAAAATGCCTACCCCAGTTCTGTCATCGCAATCCAAAGACCAAAGACAGAAATAGGGTTCAAATGCGTTATAGAGGAATATACAATGGCCGAGTCCATTAGTACTATTGTTGGATGTAAAACATTTTTACAAAAGTAATAAGTTTCCCACAATTTTTTGTTTATGTAAATATAAGTTAACGGTAGGTAGTTTTTTACTCCAATGAAGCTCAGGAATTACTTGTGTAACCTCTTTATAACATTAATTATTAAAAATCATAGCGCAAGGCACTTTAAGCATCGCAACTCTCATTTCTATATTTACAAAAAAGTGCTTCAAATAAAGAATTTAGACTATTGAAGGTCAAAAGTATGAGACTCACCCTCTTCCGTCCAAACCTGTCTGAGAACAAACCCCAAATTGGCGCACCGAAAAAGAAGCCAATAAAAACCACCTGTAATATACCAATTGTTTTATTGCGATTACAATCTCAGGCAGTATGTCCTACGCAACGCAGTAGAGATCATAGGCTGAATCTAAATGTTACAAAACTAAACCTGAGCGTATGCTACGTATTGTTATGCACAGTTAAACTGTGCCAGAGCCACTCTTACATTATATAGTAGAAAACTTTTCCGTATGCTTCAATTAACGCCGTATAATATTACTTTATATAAGATCATTTTTTACAACTGATGCACACCGTCTTGCAAAAGATATTAAAATTGAAATTGATTATTATGATAAGTTAATCGAAATTCGCTGCAGTATTGTAAGTAACGCTAAGCCAAATAAGGTGGCATTTGTTGGTGATGCTCAATAAATGAAACTCAGCATGCATATGACATACAGGGATAATACAGACAGAACAAGCATGTTTAAGAAATAACGTACAGTGGTGATGAGTGCCACCTGAGAGGAATTGAGTTGCCAAGCGCATCGAAGCACAGGCCCTAATACGGAAAGGAGCAACATTTCCATGGCATTTGCAGCCTATAATAAAGAAAATGTCAAATGGATTCATAAAAGTGCAAGATTTAGGTAGAAAGAGAATATCTTTCTTTGCCATGCATGTGTAATCCAAGTTAATCCTAATGAACCAAGAAATAAAGTGGCCTTTTTCTTTTACTTTCACAGAAATACCTCTCAAATAATGGGAAAAACACTTATTTGATCACATTTTAAGTTCATTTGGTTATATGATAGGCATCAAACTGATTACAGAGAAGCCAAACAAATGTATTTGAAGCTAATCCTTGCCTGAACCTCTGCTTAGTAAAAAGCAAAATATTGCTTATTCTTTTGTAGCTCATGAAATGCAGTGCAACTAGTGGGTAAGCATTAATTAGTAAAACAATTAAGTAGCCATTTAACATGACAATTCGAGTCAATGGGTTCTACAAAAGGTAAGTAAAGAGTAAAAAATCAAAAAATTTTTGTCAGATGCCATTGTATCTAAAGTTATGAAGCAGATTTTACGTAATGAGAGAAATAGATAAGAATATAAGTAATTATGAGGCACGCATTGGCAAGTAAGTTATCAGGTCGATAAAATAAATAAATAAAATCAAATCCTAAATTCTAAAATGCGCAAAATTTCAAAAAACAGTTGTTTATTACACAAAAAAGTCGTTTTTTTGAGAAATACGTCTTGTACACGAACCTTACAATATAAAGATGTAAGAAATTAAAAGCAATATTTTGAGCAAATTGCTTTTGATCTCGCAAGGAAAACGTCAACAATCTTAATATTACGTAAAATTTTTTTGCGAAATTTTTAAGGCTCAGAATTATACTAACAAATTGCACAACCCTAAAAGTAGAACGGCAATGAAACATCAATTACGGAAACCAAAAGTAACACCTTGCATTATATGCTTATCACACATTCCAAAAGAAACTTTAAACAAACTTGCAAAATCCCACAGATAATGACTACTCTGAATTGAAACCATCCTAATCCATACGCCTCCACGGCCTCTTCGATGGTATATGTTTTTGTTGGCAAAGTGCCTCCCAACTGACCCCTGTCATCTAAGATATCATTCATAGCATAATACCGACGTAATGCTATTACCTTTATCTAAAATATCAACATCATTTAAATTTTCGTGCATGATGACTGGGTGAAAATTTCATGTGCAGCCTCACCCAAAGATTTTGGTTGTCTTAAACCTTGAGATATGGATAGCAGCGCTATTTATACATTTACAAATGTAGAACAGATAAACACCAAAAATGCGTTATTTCACGCAAGTTTTTTCGCAAATAAAAAAAGCTTTTCTAAATTTAGGTTAGCTTTTGCATGTGAAATCAGGAATGCAAATGTTTAAAAGTACTTGCTCAGACACATCTAAAAGTAATTACATCTACTACAAGTTGTTCAACCAGTTTCTTCAAAATTAGCATAATTTTAAAAGTATGCATAATTGATACTAAGGGGAAGAATAAATCCACTTTTTTGGCACTGTTAGACTCTTCAATATTAAAAAATCAACGGACTTGCTTTGCTTCAGCAAATTTTCAAGTGTGCAACCAACAATATTAATATTCTATTTTTGTTTTTAATTTTTTCATCGGGCCTCATCAAAAGCGGTCTGTTCAGTGTTCGTTGGTACTGCTTTTCTCGTCAACAGTATTATTGTTAGATCTATTGGCCATTCTCACCTGAATGTCTTCTTTGTACCTGTGAATTTATTCTCGCCTCTCTAAATGCACAGCATTTATTAGTAGGAAGTAATGTTCTCCCTTTTCAATAACTTTATTACCATTTAGAGATTGTTTCCGTTCATTTTTGTGTTTTACTTGGTGGCTATTTTTATGCCTTTGGGTTTTGAAGGGACATAAACATAAATAATTATAGCTTTTTTTATCATTTGTGTAGAATGCTCTATGGCTTTATCTCGGTGTTTAGATTTGTCAAAGACTAGAGACTACGTTCATGTCAATGAGGAAGTAATATTTTTTACGGAGATAGACAAGTCGCTTCATATATTCGCATACTTTCCCAGCAAAGGATATGGATACAGTGGATCATTTCCACCCCTATCCCTTAGAGAGCTGGCCAGCAAATTCAACTTTCCTAACATGAATTTGCTCCTTACGTGGGCAAGGGATCGAATCTCTGAAAAAAAATTTACCTTCCAGGATGTTGATTCGGAAAGAGTCAATTTCATAATAGAGTCAGCTTCGCCGGTTCAATTAATATTTCAACTTTCCCGATCTCAAAGTGAAGGTAATTTGATCTTATCGATTGCGAAAGCACTGCTTTGCAAACAAGCCCACGTTGAGGAGTTGGAAAAGTCAAATGCCGAACTACTTAATCGTTTGAAGTGCGTGAGGTTCTTGTATTGCTTGTTTTCTCATTTTTTTTTTTGAGTGGATGGATTCCTTTGTAGAACCTCTTCATTACACTGCCAAATTACCGAAGGATTTTGCGCAAATCTTTCTAGACTGTTTTGATCGCTTCTAATTTACGGAAAATTTTGTGGCTAAATTGTGAAATGTAGCTTGGAAAGTGATTTTTCTTCCCACGGAGATTTTGTAAACATTTGCATGCAGTCCAAATACTGTTTCTTTTACCCTAGTGTTTTGTGTATGCTAGCCCCTTTAACCATCTTTACAATTCACAGTTGCTATGCTTAAAGCTTCCGTGCTTTTTGTTTTTTGTAAAAGTAACCTTAATTACATTGGGAATCGTATAGTTGTCAGGCTCATATCAAATACCCTTTGTCAACCCTTCGCCGAGTTTATTGGATTGCTTTTCATTAAAATTTAGTGATTATCTTTTTTGTGTCGAGATGAATCCACAATAATTTTAACTTGTCGCGATCTTTCAGCATTTGGTATGTTATCATAACTTACGGTTTTCTCATGTAACATTTCGTTTCTTCAATTAGCGTTCAGGACTCATTTCCCTCGCCCTCACACAAGCGCAAGACTTCCGGTATGAGTTTCACGAATCCGCACCTTAGAAAGCGAAAGCCGGCAACTGGACTCACTTTCATCTCCGACACCGGTGTTGATGAGACCTAATTTTCCTATTTTTACTTACATTTCTTAAGTAACCAGTGCTGTGGTAATGGCTGTGCAGTGGCGATATACTTTCTTCTTTCTTTCGATCCTTACGCAATATTATCGGGTCAATCTGTCGATGAAGCATGATGTTGGATGTAATGGGGAATCCATGTTTCGCTTTGCAGCATTAGTGGATAGCTAAGTTACGAGAAAGTTAATCCGCTAGGCGGTTTTATGCAGAATTTGTTTATTATTCCCCACGGTAACCCCGTCGCATTGTAACTGGCAGTTCTCTATCGCATGATCTGAGGCAGCAGTCACTACAATTTGTGTTGGCCAAGTGTTAGTTCATTTTTTGGCAGCTACGTGAGTATTGGTTGTAATGCCAGTCTCTGTAATAGTTGTTTGAGCAGTGGTAGCCGCCAAACTGAAGTCGTCCATTGCAATAATTTTGGTAAGGTTTGTGCAAGCTTTCGTGTTGTTTGTTCTGCATCTGGGGTGCCTTTGACATTGCTTGTGGTAAACACACATTGGGCGGTTCTTTAAATCGGGCCACGTTTTACTAAATTGTGGGTGTCTGCCAATTTAACCTGTCCATGAACCCAATGTACATCAGTTTACCACGAAATCTGTTGCATTCTTCTTAATGAAATCAAATCTGAACTTCGTCGGAATTGTTGAAATTAGTTTACCGGTAAAGAGTAGCGTCTTGGGTCATGGTGCATTTCTATTGTGAAAATCATTGCTTTGACACAAAAGGTGTTTACAAGTCCCATGTCAATGATGCTTTAAAATCATTACATGAATTTGAAAATATGGCAATGATTTTGTACTACCCCTTTGTTCTTACGACCACATTCAGTGTATTGTTTGGATGGGTTCCTATTTTTTTTCAAGGCCGAAGTTGATCATCCACCCTGCGCCGAGTAGCCGATTCATGATCCCATTTAATCGTTTCACCACGATGCATATTTAAAACAAAAATAACGTGCTTGGAACCTCTTAAAACACTAAGCCTAGGCGACACGTTGATTGGACACGGTGATCAGAAGTATCCTACGATTAATTTTGATCAAGATCAATTTACTATCGAACGTATCTACCCACTTTTTCTTTCACAAAGCTCTCTAAGGCTCCTAAATATTTTTAATTTCTGGGCTCTTTATGAACTGACCCACCAACTGTTATAACCTAAAGTTACTAATGTACGCGAGTCGCCTAGATTCTCCAGAGGTCGCCAGCTGGATAGTTAAGGGGTAGAGGCTTCACAGCAGTTGTCTTTAGTGACGGACGCGGGTGCGAAATCACGCAGGCTTTGCGTGCTCATACGAGCCTGGTGTCCGAACAGTGGGGACTGACGAAGGTCGGATCAAAATTGCTAGACCATCTAGCCACATGTGCTTGTAGTAATAAGTTGATCTTGACCTCAAAGTGAGCGCTAGCACATTTAATGTGTGCCTAAACTTGAGCACCTTCGATCCTGCGGGACTGGGCCAAAGACGTTTTCTAGGATGTTCTAGAACTTTAAACAAGAGTGTTTATCTGGGATCATAGACATCCTCAGAAGGTCTTGCCCTGCATTTCACCAAAATTCGCCAGGATTGGTAGATAAAAGAGTTCGTTAACTTGGCTCTAAAAGAGTACATAGGGCACCGCAAGAAATCAAGCACGGTCTTGTTTTTTCAACATCTCCTTTTGAATAGAGCTAATGTATGCAGTGATTTATTGTGTAGTTTAAGAAACGTTCCGAAACTGGCCATCGCTCAAGACCTTATCCCTTTGAAGCAAAATTTACGATTCCTTGGGTTCTCTCCCTTCGTAAATGAAATCAACAAAATATACTATTTTACTCGTCCTTATGCTTTTTAGCTATGGAAGAGGTCTGAATACTGACTCAACGTCTTAGCGGTTTTACAAACTAACAGGTTATATATGTAATGCAATAACTATATATATAACTAAGAGGTTATAAATGTAATTCTTTATTTGTTTGTTTAGCTCTCAGTTTTGAGAACCCATCACCTATAGGGCTCCTCCAATGTTCCTCTGAGGGGCGGCTGGCCTCTGGGCCATGTCAGCAGCTCTCAAGCCCTTTTTTAGTTCAAAAGTCCATATTCTGCCCCAACATTATGACCTTTTCGTTTTTAGAGAAGTTTCAAGGAGCTACATGCAGTTTGTCTTCATTTTTTCCCGAGTTTGAATTCCCAGTATCACAAATTCTACTTAACAGCTTTAATCCCAATGGTGCTTACTACGGTTCGCATTTCATAGCTCGCACTATCAATTCTCACTTTCACGTCTACATTCAAAATTCTCCACTCTTAAAAATTACATCACCTGTTTGGTGTTAAAATTAAAAACCTGCAGATACTATTGTGGGTCATGGAACTTTCCTTGAAGTGCTCATTATGTGTGACAAAAATACGCCATACTTTGCATAAATTGTTCTTTATGTATTTTTGATGGCGGAATTCATATTTACAAAATTACAAAATAGATTTATTGAAAATGGATATGTGCTTCGAACATGCTCCCATTTGGACTCATAGTAATACATTTCTAGAAAACCTGCGGTAGAAATTAAGCTTAGGTCTCTCAATATCTTCAGGAGAAGCCTCGCTGAAACTTGGCAGACAAGGCGTTGAAAGATGTCATTTTATAACAGGTAGTACTGGATCGTAAATGCATCCTCAGGAGGTCCACCGATCCGATTCAATAAGCTCTACATTTACTGCAAAAGTAGGCCCATATTTCATGGAATAATTTTTGGGAAGGGTTGAAAATCCCACACTACCGCGTAAATGTCAGACACATCTTAATAAAAATCACCGGTTACCGGACCGCTGTCATAAACAAATCTTCCTCTTCGGTTTCTCACCGCAAAATGCAGATTCTCCAAATCCAGGGGCCCTCAGTTCGAAGCAATTTTGTAAGCTTGCGGTTTGCAGGGAGTGCAATTATCAGTAGGAGAAAATCCTTTTTTTAATGAAAAGTAGTAATACATTTTGTTTCGGTTCTACCTGCTTCACTCAAAGGGAAGATAAAAAAGCATGCATATGAGGCTCAGGTTGAGGCGATATTTGAGGTTGGTGTTTCAAAACGATCTCTTGTTCACCTTACCCAATTGCTTTTTCCCCACAGTCGATTCATTTTCTCAGAGTGGTCTCTAATTTACGGCGCAATACTTTACCAATAGTCAGTTTTATTACTAAAAGATTTCCATGTTTTATCCACAACACACTCTTATTTACGCGACTACTAGACACGGGAGGGTGTCTGATTTGTAGAATGAAGATGGAAACATTGAGGTGCTTCCACATCAAACGTGTTTAACCAAACACAAAGCTGTTGTCTCGGCAATGCAGCAAAACAAATTTACAACCTGATTGCTTACGACTTTTTTTGCAATCAGCCACTATTTTGACTTTTGTACATTTTGACGACATTCAGTTAAACCACCGTAGCCTCTTGTAAATGGTTTAAGTAAATTTATATCACATAAAATTTAGCATAATAGTAAAGTGTGTGCCATGAAAGATTGCTTTAATTTGAAAGTTTCAAATTCATCGTAAAAAATTCTATGCTCTACACAGTTCCACATATCGTCCTGTAAGTTGCCTTTCCTGAAAAAGAAGAGAAAGACGGATGAAGAGATTAGCGCGAAGTTAATTACACTTCAAGCGTAGATTATATCACCCAGAGGTACGGTCGAGAATACCTTTCTACGCCCTCCACTGCATACTTACTAAATGTGCTATCTTTTGCTCCGGGTTGCGTCGCTTCAACGAGAAGATAATCATCCAGCCAGAAGGCAGGTAATATGCTGCAAAGAAAGTGGAGACGCCTCTGGATGGTAGGTTGCGTATTTCGTACGCGTTTGCCTCGTGTTTATAAGAGTTACAATACCGAAGAATAATGTGGGACTTGCATTTTTATAACTTTATAACAAAAAGTGCTCTCACACAGGATAATATGTCTTCCAATTTTAATCGCACGATAATGTTTGCCTGTGGAAAGGGGCATCCACGTCATTGTTTTGACCGTTGTAAAAAGTAATTATTTATTCAAATGATGGAATCTTTGGCGTTATCAATTTTGTACGTAGCTGGAAAGGCTAGTGCTTTACGGAATGGCATCAAAGTCAATGACTTATTCAGAAAATCAGAGTATAGAGAAATCGTATTAATAAATTTAGATGCATTCCCACATAATTTTCAACCTTTAGTGTGCCTCTGAGCATGGAAATAAGTGTGCGAATGCTCCCCACGTCAGCTGTGTCTCCAATTCAACTGATAGCATCTAATGTGGAGAGGCCAATATGGCTATGAATGTGGTGGCAAAAAAGGGAGAGTTTTCTAACAATTTGCGATGTAGCGGTTTCACTGCTAGTACATATGGCAATATATTATAACGTTCAATTTTTCAAAGTAGGACTCTTTTTGGATATTCGATTCAGGTAGATGTGAAAAGTAAATCAGCGCTTCGACACATGACCATCTACGTTTACTTCTCGACGGTTTACTGGCAATCCGCACTAAAAAATGGAACGTTTGCCTACCCCTAGAAAGCATTTAATGGCAAATAGCTAGCATAGTAACAGTTTTATTTGCAAAAATTAATGTGTGGTCGGTGTCTAATATTTATTTGTGCATTAAAGTTGATTGCAACAGCTTGGCCCAACTCACTTTCCACGTGCATAAAGTACTACTTAAATGTTGAATCGTGCCTTCAACGTCTACTTTACGGCTTCATGATGATATTGCATGGGAAAAGATTAGATTGAGAGCCCCTTCCCCCCTTTTACTCAAGATAATATCGGTCGTCCTAAACAATTTATATAGGTTATGGAATTTCCAATCCTTACGAAATTTTACCTACTATTTAATCCTGATTCAGTTTTATTTCCTCATTTTCAATAATTTCTACAAGTTTTTTGCGAAAGCACCCATTAAAATTTTCCATAAATTGCTTTGGTTGAGACGAACTTGAGTTGGAGTCCGGTGATCCGCCCAACTGCATGAATGCCTAAGTCTCTCAAACAGTTGAAAAGCCTCACCTTGCCATAATCCAAGACCAGATAAAAGTTAGCCAACCGGTAAGTTGATGAGGGGTTGGTCGCGTTACGCTAAGACATTGCGTGTAAAGTGTGGAGAACTGGTTGTTCAGCGGTGAGGTTAGCAGAATTGATTGAATTGCCACCGCAGTGACGGGATTGTGGTGGCACTGTCAAGGAGGCTCCGTGCACTTACATCGACGAACAAGCCGAAACTAAGAAGACAGTTCCCATTACTACTCCGGGCCTTCCGATTTTCGGCATTGTTTTCATCGTCAGCATGGCATTTAATAAAATAAATTTATGCTGAAGGGACTGCCGACTAAGTCCATTCATAAATTGCTATTTTATTGACTTTCAGTTGTCTTGGGTGGTCAACTTTTTCGAACGGCATCACTATATGTATCTTCGAGACATACTGACTTCCCCTCATTTTTACAAAACTGTGTATTTTTGTCAGTGTTCAACATTCTCATATACTATTATCTCTTATGCAAACGACTTCTCTTCAAAACTTATTTGTTTGACCTCTTACTGAGGTGCATTTGTCAAGTAACGTTCTAAATTTATCTACACTTACAGAGTACTTCCGTTACGCTATTGAAAGTAAGTCGCAGGACAGATAGATTTAATGAGAAGTTTACCCATTTATTCTCGACTTCACGGTTGATGGTTTATTTATAAAAATTGTGCCTAACATTGCCTACTTGCGCTAGCACAGAATGTCCACCTTCCTCTACTTCTACTAGCTTAATTCAACAGCGAATTGAAATTTTTAGTGGGTTGTGCTTTTAAAATTAGCTGAGGGACGGGAAAAGGACTAATCTGTAAAAAAGTGATACTGTCTTCTATCAAGCACTGTTGTTATAGCCGCACGAATGTAATTGTTGGCAGTGTTCGGTCGTTCAAATTCTGCACAATAATTACCGCAAGAAAGGGGCATGAGGCTTTCTCTCTACCAAAGTAATGAGAGTTGTAGCCTCAGTCGCCAGATGCTAATAATACAAAGTTACTTGGTTCCCGTGACAGGACTGTTCTAAGATTTGCCCTTGACTATTCGAAAAACCTCCTTTCCAAATAAACGGAGAATCGCAGGCGTGCGCCACCTGCCATGGTGAAGCCATAATAAAATCTTCCAAAATATACTGGGATTTGAAAGGATCTTTCATCAACTTCTTCATCCTAATTATTTGCCACTTCCTTTAAAGGGTATAGAAGGAACATAAATCGACTTGCCTTCCACAGTTTTGCATTGGATGTATTATGGCAGCTTTTTGTTGCCTCAACTGCGTTCTTGGGCCTTGGATAAATTTTCTAAATTTTTGCTTACATTCAATAAGCAGAAAGCTAGGAACATTTTACTTTAATTTTCGCTAATCGCGAACTGCATTCTAAGTTTACTTAAGTGGCTTAAAAAAAATTAGGTCTAATTGCTTGCATTCCAAAAGCCGATTTTTATAGCCAAATGCAAAAGAAAAGGCCTTCTTTTGGTTGGTGCCGTTTCAGCCTTACTTTCCCAACATCTACAGATATCAGATATAAACTAGGGACAATATGAATACGGACGCTTCCTTCAAAAAATGATTATTTCAAAACATTTGACTGATGAAGCGATTGTATATTTGCGACCGCTATGCTAAATTGTCATTACTTAAGCACGGTTTTCTGGATCAGAAGACTTTTTCGAATGTCGTACCACAGAAAATGAACCTATGACGGACTAAGTAGACCTGAATTGTGGTATGAAATGTGTGCAACTTCACCGAGAAACCTCAGGCTACACTTCTGAAACGCCGTTAGCACCAGCAGGTTGGAGTTGAATGAAGAGAACTAACATTTAAATGACTATGCCAATCGCTCTGCTGCACTGCCTACGTGGGAAGGGTTGTCGGTATTGAAGTAGAGTATTATTAGCCACAAGCAGCGTCAGCACATCAAAGATAGTTTGTTGTTAAATGACAAAACACTCACCTTCACCATGCCTAGTATTAGACTCTAGGGACTGCAAATTTGGGACCCAGTGATTCAGTGGTTACATCAAATGCAAACTGCAACACCTCATTCTGTGTGAGAATGTGTCTTTGAAATTAAACCTAGGTAGAGACTACGCGAAGGCCTGCACGCAGATCATTGAGGCGCATTACTGAGAAGACAGGCTTCCATCACTTACTGCAGTAGGTAGCAATGTCTGAATTATTCCGCTTCATCGTGATACTATTACTGAAGAGTTGAGTCCCCACCAATGGAAGCCCTTGTTTGCGCACGTTTTACTTTACATTTTCCCTTTCTTGAGCCACTTAGACTCCACAATTATTTGTTAAAGTCAAAGTCAGTTAGGAATGTTAAGTTCTTACAGCCAATGCAAATGAGTCTCCTTTGAATGAGGAGAAATGTTATCAAGGATAAAGCTGGTAACACTTACGCAATTTGATTGAAAAATAAATAATATAAAATGACAACTCGGGGAACCGCTAGTATATACCTGATTTCTCCTTCTTTTCCAAGAAAAAGTTCGTCAATTTAGAAAATGCAATGCAAATAAAAAGGGTGAGTTGAAGGACAGCGCTATTGAAGTGCTTTGTTCCTAAGCTAGAATTCAGAGAGAGAATGTTTCTCTCAATAACTTGTTGAAGCTCCAAGCCAAAATGAAGGAATATTCACCGAAATTTATCAGTTTTGCTAAAGAGAGAGAAAAAGGTTGATACACTTGCATAGTCAAATAAAAAAGGCATTTTTCGTGACGATTATGAGCAGGAAGTCTATGTCACTACCGAAGTATATGGTGCTATAAGCAGCATCGCTGAAACAAATGCATGACTAAACGGGTCCAGAATTATGACTTGGCAGAAAGCGTCCTACTTTTGAAGAATGTACTTTTCAAACCTCATGCAGTAGATGGGCTGACTTTAGTGATAGTCAATATGCGACAGCTCTTTCATCCTGTAACAAAAATCGACGAAATCGCCTCTATTGACTTGATATGCTAAAGTTTTAAAACTATCTGCAGCAATTTAAAGAAAGTTTACAGGAGTTTGCAGCTGAAGTGTTTCGTGCTTTAATTTTTTAGATAATTATTTTTTGTTCTGTTGAAGGTGAGAGGGGTAAAATTAGCCTATATTTTATTTTCGAACCTACTAATGTATCCCACGTATTACTAGTGTTATGGCCTATAAGTAAAGATAGGAGTTTTTGTAAAACATTTAATATGTCCTGATAAAATCACAGAATACAAACATTTACTGGTTGAAATACAGCAAAATAATGGCAAAATAGGGCATTATGTCAACATGACGCGCGATCAAACGAGGCATATCGGAAACACTTGCGTGGCGGCGACTCACAATCATCCGCGTTCGGGTCAATATACGTCTCACTTTTAGTCTCCTGCTCGCAGTTCCGTTGAGGCACTACCATTGTTTCATTTTCCACTTCACTTTTACATCCCACATTTTTGGCTCTTATGCATGCTTTCGGTTCCTTCAATTTCTGCAAGTTTCTGTAGCACGAATCGGTGAACCGGAAGATATGCTGGCCATGCTCACGTCCGGTCTTATCTTTTGATTGGCTTACCCAAGGGGAGTATTCCTCATCATAGACTTCTGATTCAGTGTAGGAGGCAGTTGCAGATACTCGATCTTCGATATTATGAAGGAAATTTCCAGTTGATGGGTTGGGATTCTGATGGCTTTCGTGACTAAACAGACGTGCGAATGACCGAAAATACTTCTCCACGTGTAGCATAACTGCTGATTGATGGGTCTCTAGAGGGTGAAATTGGTTCATTATTGCGTCTTCACCGTATGAATGCCTGGCAGGTTGATTTTTCATGCTTGTAACTTCTTTGATATGTGATATTTCTTTGCACTGAATGGAACTTGTGATCGGTCCAGTGTCATCATGACGACCTGGCGGTTGATGATTGTTCATTCCGATGACAGAATGAATAACATCACCGTGAAGGCGTCTCAATTCCTGTGCTTGGGCTGCTGCCTCCAAATCATCCCTTCGTTGATCGTCCGTATTCATCGTAAGGAACCGCAGTACAAGCAAGTTCATCACAGAACTCACCACCGTTAACCCAAACAGGATAAAAATTAGACTGAAAGCAACATAATCGGGCCGTTTGGCCAAGGAATCCTCTCTTTGAAGCGCTACAAAATCCCCAAAGCCAATGGTTGTAAGAGTGATGAAACAATAATAGACCGCATCTAGATAGTGCCACTTTTCGTACTGAGCAAACACTGCAGCACCAGCAGTCAGGACAATGGTAACAACGTTTGCACTGACAAAAATCAAATGGGTCTGAGAAACGGTTCGACTTTTGCAGTTTAGTAAACTGATTATACGTCGAAGTAGGCGCGTTATGAGGGTGTTTATTCTCTCCCCAATGCTCTGGAACATGACAAGGCACAGGGGGATGCCGGGTAGGGCGTAAACCATGCAGAATATCTTGCCTCCTACGGTTTTGGGAGTACAGTGCCCATAGCCTGAAGTAAAAATTTGAAACAGTTAAAAAGTTCCATACATTTAATTTATTTTTATTAGGATGAAACAGCCGAATCAGTTGCAACTCAGCTAATCTAATAAAAGGCATGTGATCCGTGATTTTATTAGAGCAGTATAACCTTTGGCCCAAAGAGTGAGCATGCATTGAAGCCACAGCGCTGAAAAAAATTCTGGTTAGCTTGGTCAGGACGCTTTATCGGTGAAGATATCCACATTTTCATAATGTAAAAAAGACCGAGCCAATGTTTCTTGCATTAAACACTCAATTTTAAAGTGGGTCAACCACTTTAAAATGCGTAATGGTGTCTCCCTAAAGCACATTTCTGCCCATTCAAATCAAACTTACCAGGCGGTAATGCTTAGGTTAAGTAAAACATTTGACTGAATAGGGTCACATTTAAGATGCAGGATTTTAGGCCAACTTGAAAGGCGCCTTTTACCGTTGTGTAGCTCATAGTCGTCTTTGTGAGTTTGGGATTAGTCATCATTTGTCTCGGTTCAATGTGCTTAGCCAGTAAACTAAGGCTTTTATGGCTAAAAATTACTGTATTGTTTTTTTCCCAAAGTGACTCAACAGTAATTACCATTAAGCAAAGTACAAAATGTCGTTAAAGAATATTTATCATTCTATTCAATATCAGATCTAGCAAAGTATTTACTTCCTCAATGCCGAAAAATGATTTTAGGTTCTGCTTTGCTGAACCTTTTCTTATAACATCAAATATTTATCAGTAGTCGAGTACAAGCTCGCGTACCTGCAGTTGTAATCAACAAGTCACGCGAATTGTAGTGGGGAGGTGTTGAAGCAAGAATGTCGCTTGAGTTCAGACATCGGAGTTGGCGGGGGGACCACTCACTTGCTCTCAATATCAATGCGGCAGCTTTGTCCCGGTTTTTTGCATGCATTTTAGAGACACGTTATTCATTAATTTAGGTAGCAAACACTAATTTACAGATTGAGTGTAGTGATTAGTGCTGCACTATGCTGAAGTGTTTAGGAGTGATAACAGCGCAAGTCAACATCTATCTATCCGAAAGGATTTGCGAGTTCGAAATAGCACATACCAACTCTTAAAATAGCAAATCTCACGGTTTTATTGGTTGGGTTTAAGATGGCAACACGCGGTCGCTAGTGTTGAACTAATAGTTCATAAAATTGGTCATTAACAGATTCAGGCAACCAAGGTAAAGTTGGGATTAACACATCACTCCGTAATGACGATTTATTACATTTAGCTGGATCATGCCGAATTGGATGCTATGCAGCATGCCCTCACTTCCGAAATGGACTTGCTTACATTTACTCCCCTAAAAAGTATTGGTCAGGCACTTTTGGTTTTAGACACCTTATGATTGATTTTTGTGCGCAATCAAATCAAACTTATCAGTGAAGGGCTGAAGTTAGGATCTCACAAAACCTCCTCTAGGTCGGAACTTTCATTTATGACTAAAAAAAATTTGTTTTTTGTGATTCTGTCAACCAAATAAGCACCAGCAAAAAACTGACCGTCGTCGGGCGCACTCGTCCATCGCACCTACACAGATAAATGGCATCTCAATTCATCCAACCCGAAATTTTGATCCCTAATTTTGAGACCTTACCGTGCGATATGATATTGCAGAACTAAAACTTGGAAAAGGTTTGCAAATTACCCACTTCCTCTATTTTGTTGTTGCGTGTTTGGCCTTGAAAGGAGTCGACTACCAGTTTTACGTCCCCATTCTGTCGATAACTGGAGCTATTGAGGTCACGTGGATTTTTCTTCCCTATTTACTACTTATCCAGTATGTTGTACTGCAGCACCATAAAAATATTTATCTATGAATTATTTCTCCCATGAAATGGCGTTGCAAAGTTGATAATGGGTACCATTAATCCCTAACTAGCTAAAATAATTAATCTTCTCTGCTATTCATGTTTC